CCAGCATGAATAACCTGGCTATCGTGCTCGGCAAAACAGGGAAATACAAGGAGGAAGAAGAAATGCATCGATATATATTGGAGCTTAGAGAGTCTGTGCTAGGTGCAGAGCATCCAGATACACTCAATAGCATGCATGGCCTGGCTATTGTGCTTGACGATTCGGGGAAGCATAGGGAGGCGGAGGAGGTCTATCGAGAGACCATCAAGCTTCGGACGCAAGTTTTAGGATCGACCCATCCACTCACGTTGCGGACGAGCAGAAATCTCCAACAACTTTTGGAAGATCGCAAGGAGTATCACCCAGAGGAAGTTTCTAGTCCGAGACGGTCATTTGACCAAGCATTGATAGATCGTGAGGAGTATCACCCAGAAGAAGTTTCTAGTCCGAAACGGTCATTTGTCCAAGCATTGAAAGATCGCTTGAGACATCACAGGGCCAAAGGCACGGGGAAAACATCAAGGAAGTCTGCTGATCTGGGATAGTGAGCTTTTGGACGAAGAGAATGGATCTCCAAAGTAGAGCAATCTCACTGACATTTTTCACATCTTGTCTCGCAAAGTTTGACTAGTCCTAGTGCAGTAGACAAGTTTGATTCCGGTACAGCTTTCTCGACAGAGTCATTTCGCTGAACCATGAAATTTTCATCTGAGGAAGAAAGCCCTGAGTTTGAAGCATGTGCACACCTTCAACCCTCGGCGCACAGGTCTGTTCGCGGAAATCATCCTTGGGCGATTTGGGTTCCGTCAATGCCTGGACTCTGCTCAAAGTGTCAGGTCTGGCCAAGTCGGTTATAACAAGGGTTCAGTCAAGATGAACGACTGTCCGTATCTCAGTCAAAGAAGGGAACGTGATCCCGATGATCAGACTAGGGTATCTGGGATTGGTCATGGAGGCAGCTGTAGAAAGCGTACCGGGACGAAGTCTTTCAAGAGGACAACGATCGTCTGCCCATGTATGAAGCGCCATCCAGTCAAGTTTTTCAACTGGAGGACTTGTACAGGTCCTGGCTCTGATGGGATGAACAGAACAATGGAACAAAGTGCCGAGACTCGCGGCCTATCTGCAAATGAAAGGTCCAGTCCAGCTTGTCGATGATAAGCCAAATCCCAATTCACTTATAGAGCCAGTCATTTGAGATGGTGGCAGTTTGTAGGAGATTTTCAATCAATTTGTCCTATTCCAGACGGACACGCTTTCCGCAATGTCTGTCTTTTGGCTGAAGTTTGGTAGTCGTCAAGTAGCAGGACGAGTTTCTTTTTATGAGTCTGATTGAAAATAGATATCGGAAAGAATATTGGCGGCTCGTCTGGAGTCAGCGTCGTTGTCAATGCTTACCCGAAGATATCTATAATATTCACCTTTGCATCCTCAATTTTTATTTGTTGGTCATGGTTTCGAAGTCGCAAATTGATTTGGCTGAGCTCAACAAACTGGCGAGATTCACATGGCCCTTGATTGGCCACGGCCCGACTTGGCCTCGACTCTAGGGCAGTGGCTCGATCGCGGAGCGTCATAAGACGCTTGGCATGTAGTCCGCTCATGGCGCCTAGCTGAAAGTGCGAGTCTATTTCAACGACACCTTGGCCGGGAGAACAGATGCGCCGCCATCATGTTAGCTCACGTGATGGGATGTATTAGGCACTCAAACCCTCAGAGGCTGTTGGCATCTCGAATTCTCCGCTTAAGCGACAAGGCCTGGGCAATCTCAATTCAGAGTCTTCAAGTCTCGAACCATGATAGGAGGATGAAGAAATAGTAAACGCAGTCATCTCGTGTAATAGCTCCAAGAAACGCAGGCGCGGACACGGATTGGTGGCCTTGTCACTTGTGTGCGCAAATTATCCATTTGCCCAGGTTCTCCCTTGGCAGAATCCTAGGAGACGACTCTAGAATATTGGCATACCACTTGGGGCTGACCACCGTGGGCCAACCTAACCCAGGTGCGTAGGAAGTAATCTCGACAGTCGTTGTTCAGACTGGCACCTCAGTCGGGCGTCTTTGCCCGTTAAGGTCATGGCGTTGGAACAACCGGGATTACGCCTTACTGTGTACTTGTGTGTGTGTGTGTTCGCCTAGGTAGGGTGATCCCCTTTCCCTTGGGCTAAACCTCCCTAGCCTACCTACCTACCTGCATGCACATAACTCCGTGGTAGCCAAAAGACTTACCTGCGGTAGCCGTATGCGCATCCGCGAAACGCACTACGCCGCGGTCGTGCGCCGTGGGGATGATGCGATGGTCAGCTTCCGCGTTCGAGGAAAGACCGGGGTGGCTCTCCGTCTGTCTCTGTCTCTGTCTCTCGTTTAGAACAGAACTGCTCAGCTCCCGCAGGATTCTCATCCTGGTTGAAAATCCCCAAACGGCCGATCGAAAAAGACGACACTCCTACTGTGTAATGTCCCCGGGTACGTCTAGTACCGTAGGCTGCCAACGATTACCTCGAAAGCAGTAGCTGGTTCATTTGGCTTGACTTGACATATTTGGTTATTGACCTTGAATGAGGATTGAGCGTGAGCTAACGCCTGCTGGTTATGGTGATAATGTCCCCATGGTAAATAATACTCTGCTCATAAGAAGTAAAAGAGTCTCATAAGATGACAATGTAGCGCGTCACTTTTTGCAGCTGCTCGTTTGTATAGGTGACAAGAATGTATGCACCGATGGCCTAGTTGAGCAAGCTCTGACGATTGCGAAGAAAAAACGCAGAGGGGCAAGATAATAATAGCCGTATCAGAGTGACCGATCCATGCTTATCATCTTTAGTTTCTACTCATCGAAGATCTTTGCCCAAAACACAGAACAAGCTCATGATTCCTATCGTTGGCAAAGCTTGGTCTTGTTCAAAATTATGATACTATGGATCTTGCTGCTCGAAAAAAAAAACTGCAGCATTGTCCAGCTCTAATAAGGTTAATTGTTTTCAGATGAAATGGACAATTTTGGTCATTTCAGTAAACCTCGGAGCGACCGCTTGAATAAAGCTAGAGTAGACCCAGACGTTTGGGTTCCGTTATAACCTACTGCCTTTCTGGGACGCAGCCTAAATCGTCACGTAGCATTCGCGGGTCAGGCCACTTGGTGTTTGTGTGCTCTCTTGCAGATTATTGTAGCATTCAACGATCCAATGATCAGGTTCAGGTTGCTAGCCGCAGAAAAGGGATTTTGCAGCAGGACCGAAAAGAAGGATTCTAGAAGCAATAGAAGGGCGATAGAAGATATTCATGTGGAGGCAGCGCCGCATTTGCCTGGGTCATGGCGACTTACGACTGGCCGAATCTCACCAGGCCAATCTTGTTGATGGAGGGCAGCTCTGCATAGATGAGTGGCGACTAACCAAGGGCATGCATGAAAGGTGTCGCCATGGCTGACGGCTCGCCATGTCGCAGTACAGGCTGACATGAGCACCGTGGTGTGGTAGAGCCAGAACCTATCACAACAGCTGGCACAAGTACAGTTGTGTCTTGGCGAGACGGACTTAAAATTCTCGGCATATAATTGGGTGGCATCATTTAATGAGCGCGTCGGAGCCGGATGGGCTCGTTTCTAATGAAGACCTCACCACTGGCGGAAGGTCCACTAGAGGTTATATGAAGAGGTTCCGTCTTGGGTAGGTAGGCTTTCATAGTCGATCGGCGTATTGGGGCAGACAGACTAAAGGTGCTGAAACGAGAAGGCTCATGGGCGAGGCCCCATAGGACAAGAAGCTTGGCCTAGGTACCGACGGTATGGCGCGAGGTGGGCAGTCGTCGTCGGGATCGGCCACGCATGGTCGGGGCAATATTTCCAGATAGGAAACCGAGTGGCAGACTGGCCATTTCCAGATCATCGCCTGTCCAAAAGTCTTGTTCAATCAGGCAAGGCAAACTCTGACAATTCAGCCAAGAACGCCTGGTTGGTTTGTCCGGGCGGAGACTCGGTCTCGAAAACGGGGAGTGAGAGTGAGCAGGTGACCTGACATACGAGCGCCTCGTCTTAATACCGGCGGGTGTGCCTTGGGACTACCTTGCATACATTTGGACGGGAGAGTCAATGGAAGAAGCCATCAAGCTGTCAGCCACAATTCCAGGTAGCTCACGCGGCCGTCAGCCGTCCCATGTGCAAATGGCAATTGGTGCTGCCGAGGCAACCTGACATAAGAGCATCACGGCACTTTTGGTCAATGGCTTGATATGAGGCTGTCTAGTTTTCTTCAAAACAACGAGATGTACGAGCAGGCAAAAAAGTCAAAAACAAGCCGTGATACATTCATTTCAACAGGGCAATAAGAGAGGGCATCAAGCAGGCAGACGGAACAATGAGTGCGACACTTTAATGTCAGGTAACACACACACGGCTTAACGAGCGTCCGCGCACCCGCTCCCTCTCACACCCGCGCACCTTCCTGATTGGTCTGGCGGCTTATCAGTAACCTGCAAGGTTGAATAGTGGATGATGGCGCTAGCAGGGGTTTGAGAGATATGACCGTGGCCACTAAAACGGCAGCAGGGGGGGGGGGAAACCAGCCCGGGGTTCCTCTGCCTAGCATGCTTAGGTAGCTTAAGCAGCTGTCCCAACTATCAGCTATATATTCCATGCAGCACTCTAGCCCGGGCGAGTCCTCGGGAGGCGTTTGCAGACCAATCAGCTTGGAGGGAAACGAAACAAGGACCCTGATACCAAGAGCTGGAAGCGTTGTAGAAGCACTGGCGACAGACTCTAGGGCCAGGCCGCCTACGTTGCCTACCGTCTGGTACCTGTAGTTAAGCTTTTTATCGTTCCTCGGCTGGAAATGTCGACGCGTACATGCATGCATGGACTTGGTAGTCAATCTGTCGGGGTTGCAACTTGATGGTAGGACTAACAGAAAGGACAAGATGTGCTCTGTAAATATAATCCCGTCTTATTTGTATTTCTTTCTCCATTCAAAATGAGTGTACACAATCCTGTAGCTGTGTTGCGGTAACTGTCTCAGAGAATATGTAACTGTGCCACATGTGTAGCCCATCATGAAATCTCTCCTGGGTAGACGACGGGACAATTGTAATGAAATGACTTACTACACTTTTCCCCCAGAATGGCACGCTGAAGGAATCGCAGCCAACCTTTGAAATCCCGCCATTAAATCCCTTAAGGAAATCTAGAATCTCGGAGATAACTGCGTGAATTTATGGAATCAAACTCGATTACCAGTTTGTCGAATCGACTGTTTTTTTTTTTTTTTATCTCCCGCACATCATTGCGACACCCGGCGCGGATCGAGCCTAGATAGCACGGCTAGTAACTCGTAGATAGACATAGGTATAATCTCTAGTCTGGCCAATCTGATAGCGATATGGGTCCCAAATGTCTTCCTTTCGGTCTCGCCTTGCACCTTTCCCAATGAAAACAGTCAAGTCGTGCCCCAGTGCTCGGAGCGTTTATCTACAAGTGACACCAACGCCCGAGCAATATTGTTTTCACACCCAAGCCCAGCTTGCATACCCTGGCCCAATCATCTGCCCATGTACAGGTACCAAAAGGACCCTGGCTGATATTGGATGCATCTCTTGTGCGACGGCGACTTTTGCTTGACAAGCTCTAGACGCGGTTGCCCCGGTGGCTCCAATGTACCTAGCCTCTACCTAGGACTGATGAAGAGCACCACTCCGTTCTTTTTTCCTTCTCTATTGTGCGTGTGCGGTGCTGACTGCCTTGTGGGAGGGAAGGAAGTACTATGGTGGTAGGTAGTAGGTGCGGACAGGGCCTTGTTCACTCAATAATAATGTATACCCATCCCAATCCCACGCCTGGGTTTGATCATCCTATTGCCCACCAATGCTGCTGCACCATCTCAGCCGACTGGAGTCGTTGTAGTAGCAGCAGCAGCAGTATATATCCTAGATTATTCCCTCACCCTCCATTGTCTACCCCTTCCGCCTCTTCTTTTCCTATTTGTTTGCCCTCGAGTCGCACACTTTGCCGACCGCCAACGCAACCCCATCCCGCGCGCGGCTGTCCCCGAATTAGTGCGAGGACGACTTCACCATGTCGACCGAGAAAGAACCCAAGAATACCGTCGACCCGACGCTCTACCTCAATGAGCCCGTCGATGAGGAAGTCGGTGTCACCAAGAGGGGTGACGCCCTCAGGAAGGACCTTAAGAGTCGGCACATGCAGATGATTGCCATCGGTACGAGCCCTTTTCGCCTGCCTCTACTACGGCCACTCTCCCACCAATATACCCCGTATCTAACATGAATACCTTCACCCAGGTGGTTCAATCGGTGCTGGTCTCTTCATTGGTTCTGGTAGTGCTCTGGCAAATGGTGGCCCTGCCTCCCTGGTAAGTCCCATAATCAATCATCATATACCAAGCCGGACTTTTTGTGACACCTAGTGTTATAGGTTATTTGCTACCTCATTGTCGGTTTGATGTTGCTCTTCACCATGCAGGCTTTGGCTGAAATGGCTGTGCTGTATCCCGTCAACGGTGCCTTCTTCACCTATGTTGTCCGTTTCGTTGATCCGTCGTGGGGTTTCGCCGTCGGTCTGGACTACGCACTTTCGTGGCTCACTGTCCTGCCTTTTGAGCTCACAGCTGCCTCTCTCACTATTGGTTTCTGGAGAAAGGATCTGAGCGTTGCTATTTGGATCAGTGTTTTCTTGGTCCTTCTCATCATTATTCAGTTCTTTGGTGTCCGTGGATACGGTGAAGTTGAGTTCATCCTGTCCATCATCAAGATCTGCGCCTGTATCGGGTTCATCCTCTTCGGTATCATCTACAACTGCGGTGGTGTAGGCGACCAGGGATATATTGGTGCAAGATATTGGTACGATCCCGGTGCTTTCAATCATGGCTTCAACGGTTTCGCCGGTGTCTTCTCGGTCGCCGCCTTTTCCTTCTCTGGAACAGAGCTTAGTGGTCTCGCTGCTGCTGAGTCTGCCAACCCCCGCAAGGCCATTCCCAAGGCCACCAAGCAGGTCTTCTGGCGTATCCTCTTCTTCTATGTCATCAACTTGCTGATTTTGGGTCTCATCCTGCCCTACGATGACAAGCGCCTGGCAGAAGGTTCGACCGCCAACACCAAGTACTCCCCCTTTGTCATGGCTATCCAGGATGCCGGTGTTCAAGTCCTCCCTCACATTTTCAATGCCGTCATTACCATCTCTGTCATTAGCGTCGCCAACTCTTGTACCTATGGCTCTACCCGTACGCTCCAGGCTATGGCTGAGCGTGGCATGTGGCCTAGTATCTTTGCTTATGTCGACAAGAAGGGCCGTCCCCTCTGGTGTGTGGTGCTTCAGCTGGCTTTCGGCTTTCTTGCCTACATTGGTGTTGCTGGCAACCAGGGAACAATCTTCAACTGGTTGCTATCTCTCTCGGGTCTGTCCTCCTTCTTCGTCTGGGGTTCGATTTGCTTGGCCCACCTCCGGTTCAGGGCAGGATGGAAGCACCAGGGTTATGGCCTCCAACAGCTGCCATACCAGGCCCCCGCTGGCGTCATTGGTAGCGTCATCGGCCTGATGCTCAACTGTCTTGCCATTATTGCCACCTTTTACACCGCGCTCTACGTAAGTCCTTGAATCCATCTCGAAGATCAATACGCCAAGTAGCAAAACTAACCTTTTCGATTTAGCCGAGCCCTGACGCCTCACCCGACCCCGAAGTATTCTTCCAGGTCTTCCTGGCTGCCCCGGTCTCCATTGCATTCTATCTCTTCTGGAAGATCTATAGCCGCGACGGAAGATTTTTCGTGCGCGTTCATGAGATGGACCTCAAGTCTGGCCTTCGTGCGCTACTGCCCGAGGACGAGCCAGTTCCGGAGAAAACCTGGAAGGGCCTGCCCATGCGCATTGTCCGCTCTGTTTTCTAAACGATTTGAAGACATGGAATGTCTCACACTGCGTCTCCTCCAAGTGGGAGGCCGTATATAGCATAGTATAGAATTGGATATGTGCCAGGCAGTCCCACTGCGACTGCGTTGGATACATGTGCTGGAGATGATGGCACGAGAAGTTGAGAGTTATCTAGCTCAAAACTTATTAAAGATACCAATACCCTACAACCTGGACAAATCAATAAAACCTTACCCATATTTGGGCACGCTCTACCTACAACTTGACATATTTCAACCTGAAGTCACTATATTGGGCAGTCGTTGAGTGGATTGACACAAGCTTTACTAAATTGATATTTCGACTACAGGGCTGTGTCTGGTCAATAGAGATATCTGGTAAGCCTTGCATTCATTGAGTTGAAATACGACAGGCTCTCTGTATATAATTCGAGCAATTGGTCACTATAATGATGGTGGAGCCTCGGATACGAATATTTATAGTCTGGTGGTTCATGAGTGGATTAAACATGGTATGCTGGTGAATGCTATCCACTTTGGATCACTAACCCCTGAAAGACAAGCCAGCAGAAGCAGTACAGTATAGTATTTGAGGCAGATCTATACGAGGGGACGTTTTGAGATTCGATAAAGTCTCAATCAATTCAAGAGTCTCTTATTGCGCCGTAAGTAAGATGTAATGAATTTCTGCCAAATGGCCATAATATGGATTCGCCCCCCTCGAAAATCTCAAATCATCACGTTATCCGGAGTATCCAACTCATGAGTATATGACTTGATTTGATTTCTATTTGTAGAATATTCGACAGAGATACTTTTGTATACACTGGTTTTATAATATCATTATAGGATGAAAACCCAAGAGTCAGAGGTTATACTATAATTATAGTCCTTTCTCTAATTGCCGATTGCGGCCAATTCTTACTAATAGGATGCACATGCCTGAAATATAAGATTTCCATCTATTGTTTTCTTTAATTGTATTGCTTCTCTTGTGAATGATTGTTTAATTGTATCATTTGATGCATCCTTTAAATTTCAAGCATCCCAACTTTAATGGCTGCATGGAATAAAGGATAGATTTTGAGCTTTTGTCTGCAGTATTTATTAAGCTGGACTGTTGCTGAACCCCCTTATCCCTGATGACATTTTTAGCGTCTTCCCCCCTGACAGCGAATCGTAGTTCCCGCTGAATTCAGCGACGCTATCGCAGTTAACGTGCAGCGCAGCGACTCAGGCAAACAGGCGCGACCATTGTTCCGGCAGGTAGGGGACCCAATTGGTCCCGCGCCCGCGCCCCTTTGTGGGGGGAGAGGGACAGGAAGGATGGGCACCGCCGCCTTTCGCAATACGTAGTACGTAGTGGTAGGTAGCAACAATAGCGCCCCAAATCATGGAACAGGAACACCAACGCAGGGTCGGCTGTCGTCGTTTATACAGCTCTGCAATTTTTCTGTGATTCCTTTTCCTCACACAATCCGTCCTGGTTTCTGGTCTTGCCCATTCGATTTTGGACAAAAAGGGAGAAAAACAAAAACTAAACCTGCGAAAACGAGAAAAAAACCAAAAAGTAAGAGCACAAACCAGATTGCGGCCACCCAAAAACTTGTCCCTCCTTCAATGCCTCCGCCCGTCGATTAGGACGATTGAACTGAGCCCCTTGTCGCCAACTTCACAACCCAAGTCCAGTCGCTCCGTCCCACCTCCCAACCGGCCAGGCTTCAGCAACAGCTCCCATCCCCCTTCAACCCGCCCAACCTGATAGAGTCGCGAGAGCCTCAGTCACAATGGCACAGTATGGGGGCACCATGCCGATGGCTGGCCCTCGCGCTGGGCAGCAGGTCGCTTATGCTCAGCAACAACACCCCGTCGTTCCCATGCAGGCATCGAATGCGCCCGCCGGCACCTTTTCCCCTGGCACCAAGATCCAGGTCGGCGAGCATCGAGTCGTGATCCAAAAGTATCTTTCCGAGGGTGGCTTTGCACACGTTTACCTGGTCAAGCTGCCCAAGCCCGTCGACGGCACCGACCTGGCCGTGCTGAAGAGAGTCGCTGTGCCGGACAAGGAGACTCTGCGCGGCATGCGCACCGAGGTCGAGACCATGAAGCGCCTCAAGGGCCACCGCCCCATTGTGACGTACATTGACTCGCACGCATCCGAAATGGCTGGCGGCCGTGGCTTCGAGGTCTTTTTGCTCATGGAATACTGCGACGGCGGAGGACTAATCGACTTTATGAACACCCGCCTGCAACACCGCCTGACCGAGCCCGAGATCCTCAACATCTTTACGGATATCGCTGAGGGTGTGGCATGCATGCACTACCTCAAGCCCCCGCTCCTACACCGAGACCTCAAGGTCGAAAACGTCTTGATTACCATGGTTGGGTCTAGGAGGAAGTTCAAGCTCTGCGACTTTGGCTCGGCCGCCGCTCCGAAGCCGGCACCTCAGAGCATCGTCGAGTGCCGCCTCATGGACGAGGATGTTCAGAGGCATACCACCATGCAATACCGCAGCCCCGAGATGATAGATGTGTACAGAAAACTACCAATAGACGAAAAGTCGGATATATGGGCGTTGGGCGTCTTGTTGTACAAGCTCTGCTACTACACGACCCCTTTTGAGGAACAAGGACAGCTCGCCATCTTGAATGCCAGCTACAAGTTTCCAAGTTATCCAGTCTTTTCTGACCGGTTAAAACATCTCATTGGTAAGTTGGGACAGCTGTATATTCCACTGCTTGCGTCGCTAAAGTTCTACCGCAGCTTCCATGTTACGAGAGGATCAGCGACAGAGACCAAATATATACCAGGTGCTTAAAGAAGGGTGTCTCTTGCAAGGACGTGAGGTCCCAATACACGACGTAGGTTTATCCATGTCCACTAATGATCCTTATTGACTAATTTAATCAGATTTATGCAAACCGGGCTGGTTCCGGAACATCCCACTCATCATACCAAGCACCACCGAGTGGAAAGAGCACACCAGTTGTCGGTGCTGTATTTGCGCCGCCACAAGAAGAAAAGCAAAAGATTCCCGAGGTTGTTCCAATGAGGCGTGGTAGGCTGCCCGCAGCATCAGCCGCCCAACCTCCAGCACCACAACAGCAGGCCTCAAAGCCAAGCCCGTCTCCCATGAAGATCACCAATGGTGATCCTTTTGCGGCACTTGACTCCAAGTCAGGCGCAAAATCGGGCAAGGCAGACGAGCTTTCATCCAGGTTTCCCACTCTGGATCAATTCTCTATCCTGCACGACCAAGGCTCCAAGTTTGAATTTGACAGTCCGGTGTCACCGCCGCTTGATGGCAGTCAAAGAGTGTCGGCGAGTGTAGCAGACGCTGCATTCGCCATGCCGCAGGGAACGTCTGCAGTGCCTCAATCTTCCAACAGATTGTCGGGCGACTTGAGTAGAGTAAAGTCTCTTGCCAACTCGACAACGACGCCTCCACCAGCTTCAGCCGGCAAACCACCAATGACGCAACCAAAGCCAGAAGGGGGTCAAATGAGCCGGGCTTCGGCAATCATCTCGAGCAATCCTGAATTGCAAGCCATTGCATCTCCCCCGCCCCAAAATGTTTACCAAACACCAAGTCGTCCAGCAATGGTTTCCACTGGTACCATGACTAGCACGCCGCCCCCTCAGGAGCTGCCAAAGCGAGATTATCCTCCGATATACCGGTTCCCGTCTTCGGACCATCATCGGTCATCAAGCTTACCGCGTCAGCCAGAGATTGGCTCGCCACAGCTAATGCTAGACGCAAATCAACAGCCAAGGCCCGGCGCAAGCCAACGGGTTCCTTCCTTTCAAGCACAGGCTGGTCACTTGCGTCACCCTTCGTCCTCGAGACCATCACTTGAGGGTGGCCGCCCCAGTGTAGATCTCATGGAACCTATATCAAAATCCACTTCTCAGTCAGGACGCCCGAGACCGACCAGTACCTACTTGGAGTCCAATTTGGATTTCCTGCGAGAAAAGGAGGCAGCCCCTCGGCCCTTGAGATCTCCCAAACTTACTGGCACTTCAAGATCATCTCCTGCTTTGGATCCTCAAGAGGATACGGTTATTGAGTCCAACGTGGAATTCCTGCGTTCAATGGAGGAGACGGATAATAAAAGAAAAGACAAGAGTTCAAAACACAGCAAGCGGTCCAGCTTGACCTCGTTGTCTGGAACCAAGAACATACTTGCTACTAAATTCGGTGATGCTTTCAAACGATTCGAGGGTGGCGGCACCTCGCAACCTGCTCGTACGCCGTCGCCTTTCAAGGATCTCGATCGAAGCGAACTGACTCCCATTGCCGGTTCCGAAGCCACGGACAGTAAGAGTGACGATGGCAGACTCCTTGGAGATCAAGAAGACATGACACCGGAACAGCGACGAGAGGCCGAGGCGAAAGCCTTGGCAGAAGAAGAGCGCAGGGTTGAGGCCGCAGCTGCTGAATATCGCCAGCGAATGGCCGTTCGGGAAACGGGTGGCTCGGCAACGGCACCTCCACGGAGCATAGGCGGTGTATCCCGAGCTGTCAGTATCCAGAACAGAGTACAAAATCTGTTGCAAGAGAGTCAAAAGTCTTCCAGCGCACCAAAGACGGCCGAGGGATACGGTCGATTCTCGGACGCAGCCGCGGCAGCGACTCGACCGGAAAAGGCCCTCCCGGACCTCCCCCGGAAGCCAGTCGGCATGACTACTGGGAACCCTCCTGCGAAACCGACTACCCCAAAACCCAGCGCGCCTCCGAAACCTACCCACCTAAACAGTATTCCCACAGGGGGCAGGATATCTCCGACCAAGCAACGATCGTCTGCGCCGGCTGTGCCTGGCCATAAAGCGGGCGCAACTGAACAGCTCGTGGGCCTCGGACTTCAGGGCCGACCAACTCTTGATATGACGGCCCAGGAGAAGGAGGATTATATCCAGGACTTTAGCAAGAGATTTCCGAGTCTCAGTGCCATAGAAATGGTTGAGCGTGATCTTGGTGCTGCGGATGCAAGGAAAGGGGGTCGTTGATTTCCAAAGAGCCCACGTCTGACGTGGATATCCAATCACACAACAGGTTCCGCGAGACCATAGAGGGATGAGAAAAAAAGAAGACAAAGTGTACATAGAATCTAGAAGAGCAAGCGCAGCACCAGTGCTCCGTGGCCCCAGTCTTAGGGCCCGGTATTTGAATAGCTAAATCGAAACGATTTACAAGGCATCCACGGTTTCTTTGGACACAAATGACAACACAAGACACCACACAAGTCAATAAAGTCATGATCTAAAGTGAATTCAATATGCCAAAAACTACACATCGTGCGCTAGCTGCTTCCTTCGCCATTGTTTCTAGGGCCCGGGGCTCCCGGCCCGTCGAGAAGGAGCTTTGGCTTGATAAAGTCCTCATCTAGTTGCCTAAACAAGGCTTGAGGATCTTGCGAAGTGAACAATTGCCGAATCGCAGCTGATGCGGACACTGGCTGTGCGTCTCGGTGTCCCGAAGTAGGGTAGTTGAAGACGCCAGTTTCTTCCTCCGATAAGCCGCTTGGCGTGAGAATGCCAGGGCTGCTATCTTTCCGTCTCGGTGGACGGCGAGCGGGTGGTGGTAGATCAGAAATATCAATATCTGATCCCAGATCCGAGTCGTCCGTCATGTTGCCAGATCGTCCTCCGAGAAGGTCACCCCGCTCCATATCCTCAGCCACCTGAACACGTGAAGTCTTTCTGCTGAGACTGTCAGGTCGGCCACTCCCGTCATAGGATGGTGAGTGCGATCCCGAAGCATAGCTCTTGCGCTTTGGTTCGCTATCTCTGCGCTTGTTGTGCAGGTTGGACAGGCCCACGGAGCCGTTTCTTGCTCTAGGTGTATAGCCAATACCGGTACCCGAACGTTTGTAATAAGAACCGCCAGGTGCTGCCTCAATGTCAAACTCATCGTCGCTGTCAACTTCCTCGACCACACCAGTTCTGATGCCAAGAATTTCAAGCATGCGCGCCGTTGTACCACCAAATATGATGACTGTAAGCACCACCACAACAAGAACTGTTGCTTTTAGGGCATAAGAGTTGTCGCCAGTGAGGAGCGCAGCAAGTGCTACACCGACAGCTCCACGAAGACCAGCCCAAAAGAGCATTGCCTGGTAATTCCGAGGCAACTCGTCAGTGACGTCTCGTCCACGACGTCTCGCCCTGTAGCGAATGAACCAGTTGATGGCGCTAGACAGTGGGAACACCGCGACATATCTAGCAGCACAGACTGCTAGAACTGTCATGATGATCAACAGAGGCCGGAAGCTCAAGTCTTTATCGGTAAAGAGTGAGAGTCCAAGGTAAATGAAGATGAAATTTTCGGACAATTGTGCAAGAACCTGAAAGAGGTACTTGGTACTGAGCTGAGTCCGCCTTGACATGTTGAAATAGGCATAGTGCTTCAACGTTATTCCACAGAACAGCAGCGACACGATACCTGTGTATTGTTAGCATGCGTTACACTACTAAATAATCCATGTGCGAAACAAATAATACGTACCAGACATTTTAGGTAGTGCCTGGGCAAGGAAATAAGTGGCATAAGATATCAAGACCACCAAGCAACTCTCAATCTGAGGGTATCGCCTCAGGTAGGTGAACTTTAAGATCAAGGCTGTAGAGACGCCAACCAAGATGCCGATGAGCAAGCTGCCAAAGAACGAAAGCAGGAAGATGCCCACACCCTCGAGGAAACTAAAGATGCCGTATGATGCCGCGGAGCCGCTCTTGTACTTTTGAGCAGTCTCGAAAATGACAATAGCAATGGCGTCATTCAGTATAGACTCGCCAAAAATGATTGTGTACAGCTTCGGGTCGACCTTGTAGGTGTTGAAAATGGCCAAGATGGTGACTGGATCGGTAGCCGAAAGCGTTGCGCCTACGGAAATGGCATCAACAAAGCTCATGTCAAGACTGTCCAGGGGCAGTCGAGTATACAGCCACAAGATGAATCCAATGACAACGGCAGACAGAAAGGTGCCGGCAAAGGCAAAGGTCAAGATGACGCCAATGTTTCGAAAGAAATTCGCCTGATGCAGTTCGTAGCCAGAATTGAGGATAATCGGCGGCAGTAGGAGATTGAAGAAGATTTGAAAGTCAAAGCTGACAAGTTGTTGAAGGGAATGACCTGTAGTCACTCGGAGTAATAAACCGACCGTCATGCCTATTGCCTCAAGTTAGCCATTCATGTCCAAGTTGCGTTGCTCGACTTGAACCACTGGGAGCTCGTCCAAGTATGGAGCTCTTACCGGCAAAGATGGAAATGACAGTTTCATGGACGGCTTGGACCTTCTTTTGCTGAAGCATGTAGCTTGTGAAGAAGGATATTATCAGCAGAACAAGTAGAATGAATAGTGCCCAAGAGGCCATGACCTCTTGTTCGGCATTGTCTCCTGCTTCCGGGTCTGTTTCTTCGTCACTGGCCCTCCCTGCATTTGTGATTAGCATGTATTTCCAACAGACCCCCGAATGCGCAACGGAGGAGAGACGGCGCAAACATACGGACGAGGTGGCTCAGCGCGGCGCCGGCCATGTTTGAGAGCATATTGCCGGTTTGTCTGCTGCCCTCTCGGGGCCTTTGGCAGGAATGATCCGTCCGGAATTGCTATGCGATGCGTCTTCAGTGCCTCGGTAGATGATACGCCAAGGTCATTCGGATTCTAGATGGAAAAGCTGGGTCGTGGGGCATCTGATGCGTCGTGGCAGATTCGTCCCAGAAAGAGCGCTAGGTACGTCTGTTGGGAGCTCGGTACAGACTGTCGCAGGAACGCGGACTCAGATGGCGGGGAGGGTTCAATCGATATCGTGCTGCGCTGTCGAGAGATCGCAGAAGTAGAGAGATGCCTTGGTGAGGGGTCGGATAGTAGATCAATGTCTGCCTGCCTACGACTTGTATGAGGCTGTTGATATGTTGTCCGTTTCTCCAAAGTCGCCAGCTATCATCTTTTTTTGGGGGCCCCTGGGCAATAGCAGGCAGGCGCAGCCATTGACGCGCGAGCTTGTCCAAAGTTTTAGCGGAAGTTGCTGCCGTGTGGGTCCTGAAGCGACGGCGTACGTATGTAAATCTTGGGTAGCTCCATGTGCTGGATACGCACTAAAATGTCCATTGAAAAGTACTTGCAAATCCAGGTACCTCTGAGACAGACGGCGGCTTGATATTCTGAAACATTTAATGCTGACATGAAATATTCGATTCATGGCAGCTCGAGTCGTATTCCGTCCCAGGCAAACAATCCAAACTTTGGACAAAGATAACGGATAGATGACAGGGTGTCTTTGGGGTGTGTCCTGCATGTACAGTGTAGTGTAATTTGGGTATATTGACTTGCATACAGTTCCTAGGCTTTTAATATCTAAATCAAATCGACATTCAAGGTGCTCCAGTACCCAGACTCCTTGGCCATGCATATCACACATCAATATAGAGAAACAAAGTGTCTTGAACCCTAAAGTTCATCCTTCATATGTCTACATGTGAGGGCTCAAGGGACTCTCCTCACCAAGTATATCACAGTTTGGGACAAAATCTTAACATCTCCTGTCAAGCTTGTCTGGTGCCCCTGGAATGGTTCATAAATCAGAAGGAAAATAATGCATTTCTTGTCCTTTTCACAATTTCTGGGCCGGGATGGTTTGTTTGTAGTCGAGACATGATAATTGAGATTATTCTAGAGAAATGATCAGCTTGGCTTTATATCGACCTGCAAGCCTGCCCCTCCAAAAAACAGCTGCCAACTCCAAAAGCCTGGCCCAGCGGCGCCTCTCCACTTTACCTCTCCCCACGATCTAGCCAGAGGTCGGGTGTCGGCGGCTTAGGCCCCTGCAATGTCCGATCATGTTGATGTAATAGCATTGACATTCATGGATTCAATCCGTATTACCTCTCTATTCGATTCCATCCGCTCCTTTCAAGAACAACCTGGAGACGGCAAGAAAACGAGTGCATCCTCACGCATCACAGCCTACCAATTAGGATATTCATGTCTGAAACACTTGTAGTACAGGCCCAAGTTGCACCACAAGCGGTCATCTGGTAGTGTAAGAAGCCACGTTCGCCCAGTTCCTCTTCGTCTGTCTTTTACCTTGACCCCACGATCTTATTATGATCATACCCCAAAAGGCGTTTTACCGTAGCTCATCAACCGATGGTCGCGTGGCATCCTCTAACTTGACCGCCTGACAGCATTGCCTTCTTCCCCATCCGTGCATCGACCACCTCGACAACTTGGAACCCATTGGAATGTTCAGGTATTCAGGCTTGTGTCTGGGCTACTAGACACGTTATATATCTTCTGGGATTGGCCTGCCGGTTTAGCTTTGAGACCGTGCCATCTCCGTTGTCACAACCAAGGTTTGGCTAAACCCGAACGATACTTGACTTGACCGGCAAGCACAGGCACTCGGCCAACATAAAGTTAAGCCTCAACGGACTACCTTCTTCTTACTGCTGATGCCGTTGCTCGCTCCCAGCCAACCCGAACCATTATTGCAACAAGTTGATAAGACCTTTGGTCCGACTGTTCAACTCGCTCTTGCTCCTCCTCCCATTCCGCGTCCTATCGCCATAGCTCCCTCTATTCGAGTATCATAATATAAACGTCACACTCAACGGCCCGAAGCAGGTACATTGCCACACTGCAAGAACGCGCCCAGCAAACCTTACATATCGGCTTTCAGACACCGAGCAAGCTTTGGGTCTCGAAACCCGGCAGACTCCGGTCTTCATTGCATGGCGTCGTCATTGTCTTCGTCGTCGTCGAGCTCGTCCTCTAGCCGTGCGCCTTCACCCGTCCGGCACAATGCCAAACCTCCCCGAGGCATTCTAAAGACGCCCAAGTCAACCAAGTCGAGCGAACAGACACCTCTGCTCTCCTCGAGCACAAGAGAACAAGATGCCGGCGCCCGGCCGCAGCATGACGATGACAGCCAGGCGCACAAGAGTCTGTGGTACATTTTGTTGTTGACAGTGAGCATTGGTGGCTTGCAGATCGCCTGGTCTGTAGAGTTGTCCAATGGCTCGCCATATCTGCTGTCTCTTGGTTTGAGCAAGTCACTCATGGCTCTAGTCTGGATCGCCGGCCCTCTTAGCGGTACTCTTGTTCAGCCGTACGTTGGCATGCTGAGTGACAACTGCAGGTTGTCTTGGGGGAGACGCAAGCCGTTTATGCTGGGAGGTGCCATTGCCACGGCGATATCGCTTATGCTACTTGGTTGGGCCAAGGAGACGGTAGGAGGTCTGCTCAGTCTATTTGGTGCCGATCCCGACAGTCACGGCGTAAAGACTGCTATACTCGTGGTGGCTGTGCTCTGGGTCTATGTACTGGACTTTGCTATCAACACGGGTATGTTGCATTTACCAACAGGCGTAATAATTAACTCGGCTGACAATGTTATAGTACAAGCTGCTATTCGAGCTTTCATTGTCGATTGCGCCCCCGTTCATCAGCAGGGTAAGTCCCGTTCAAGTTTATTGAGCCGCGCATTTCGCTCATGTTGTCACATTAGAACAAGCCAATTCAATGGCAAGCAGAATAGTGGGTGTTGGCAATATCGTTGGCTATCTGGCTGGCTACGTCAACCTCCCAAAATACTTGTGGTGGTTGGGCGACACCCAATTCAAGATTCTCTGCGCGATTGCGAGTATCGCCCTTTGCGGTCTGGTTTTGGTCAGTGTTGTGTTTATCCCCGAGAGAGATCCAAACCTGGACGGTCCTCCCCCAAAGAATCAACCGGGTGCCTTGACCTTTTTTCGGACCATCTTCACCTCCATCAAGCGCCTTCCTCCACAGGTTGCAAAAGTCTGTGCCGTACAGTTTTGCGCCTGGATCGGCTTCTTTCCCATGCTGTTCTACACGTCGGAATATATCAGCGAGATCTACATTGAGCCGTATTTGGAGGCCAATCCACACATGACGCCTGCCGAGCTGGACAAGCTCTATGAGAAAGGCACCCGCGTTGGTACGTTTGCCTTGCTCATCTTTGCTATTACGAGTCTTGCAACAAATGTTTTCCTTCCTTTCTTTGTGGCTCCGACCTATGATGGACCCGTGACTACAACTGGACCTGCCGAGGCGCCCGGCGCATTACCGCATGGCGACGAAAAGAAGAAATGGCTCGATTATCTGGTCATCCCCGGCTTCACCCTTCGGCGTGCATGGATGCTGTCGCAGGTCATCTTCTCCGTTGCCATGTTTTGCGCCGTCTTTGTCCGTACTGTAGAGGCTGCAACTGGTCTCATTGGCCTCGTCGGCATCACCTGGGCTCTAACGCTTTGGGCACCTTGGGCAATCATTAGTGCAGAGGTTAGTCGTCGAGATGCCTTGCTGCGAAGCAGACGGCAAGCGCAGCAGTCGCAAGCACAGGCGTTTGGCGGCAACGACAGTACAGAAGCCCTGCTTGACCAGGAACGGCGGTTGCACAACGAGGAAGATGTGGACAAGGCCGGTGTGATTCTCGGAATTCACAACATGGCCATTGCGTCACCCCAAATGTTGGCAACTGTGGGCTCGAGTATCATCTTTCGCATTTTTCAGAAGCCTAGGGGGACGCCAGGTGACCACAGTATCGGTATCGTATTTGCGCTAGGTGGTTTGTTTGTGTTGGCGTCGGTCATCTTTATTCACCGCATTCAAGACGACATTCCCGCCGAAGAAGTAATTGCGGCCGAAGAGGGCGAATCCCCAGCCGCTCGCCCAGGCATGCTCAGAAGGAGAAGCACCGCCCAAGCCACGATGAAACGTGCGGCACTTGCTAGGAGCTCTAGTTTTGGCGCAGGACTGGAATACTGAGTTTTCACAGGTACAAACTATCACGTGCACATGGCCGAACGAACTTGTAGGCGTTTTGGGGGAGCAATTTGCATGATTAGGGGCGTCTGGTTTCAAGAGAACGATACCTGTCATGAATGATGCTTGGAAATGTGTAGCTTGATTGATTCTTCAGGAGATGAAATCTCCAACAACTCAATAAACAATTGGAGTTCACATTGAATGTCACGAGATTGAAAGTGATGATTATATTGAATCATCACGCGGTGGGTATTCGGTTCCAATAGAGTTTGGACAGAGAATTATTTCTTCGCCTCACCCTCTACACCAACAACCAGATGCTGGGGTTCGCTTTTCTTGATGGGCATGGCCGATAACAGGCTAATTACTGATTGCAACCTTTGGCGCGGGAGCAATATAATGTCAATGGTTGCGAAGAGCACGGAGCCTCATGTCCGTGGTGCATCAGCACGAATCTGTCCAACCATTGCAGTGGATGCGGTCCGACTAGCCATTCTTTGATTGAAACATTAATTCTCGTCATCTCGAGCGTTGCAACGAAAGGACTCAATTGGTCTAGACTTTATGGGCCTTCCGGGCTTTTGGTAGGCGAGGTCTCGGTGCTTTTATAGCTTCACATTGGGGCCGAGATGATACTATACATAGACACGCCGTACCTTGAAATGGACAACCTGCTGGGATCTCTATATCTACACTCAACATCCGCCAAATCGGTTTTCAACGTTGAGATAGGATTTCTCACCAACACCCTTCTTTTCTGCCTCGAGGTTTCCGTATTCAGTTCAAGATGAAGGCAACAATCTTGCTCGCCTCCCTTGCCAAAGCAGCCGTGCTTTGGGACGGTCGATTCAACGACTTTTCAAGTAGCGCTGATCTAAACGTGAGATACCTCCACCTCTAGAGAAAAGGAAAACCAAGAGGCTAATACAAGCTCGCTTTCTGCTGCTTTAGAAATGGTCATGGGGAAACCAAGTCGGGCCCTACCAGTACTACATTCACGGCTCGGGCACGGTGGACAAGTACATCAACCTGGGGACCTCGTTCAAGAACCCCAACGACACGTCGTCCAAGCAAGGGGCCAAGTTCACACTCGACTCGACGGCGTACTGGAACGGGCAAAACATGCGGCGCATCGAGCTCATCCCGCAGACGACGGCGGCCATCAACAGCGGTAAAGTCTGGTACCACTTCTCCATTAGCCGGTCCGACACCAATGCCCCCAGCGTCAACCGCGAGCACCAGATTTGCTTCTTTGAGAGCCACTTCACCGAGCTCAAGTACGGCTGGATCAGCGGCGAGAGCGGCACCAGTGATCCGTACTTGCAGTTCATGATTAGCCAGAACAGCAAGTGGAAGACGGAGTGGAAGGCTGGTGTCTGGCACAACGTTGCCTTTGAAATTGTGAGTTTCCCCTACTTGACCCCTTGTTTTTCTGATGGTAACGACTTTGTTGACTGGTGACTTTCTCAAAGGACTTTTCCAAGAACACGGTCGGATTCTGGCATTCCGAGGGCGGCGCACCACTCACGCAGCTGGTGGCGCCGCAGTCGGCATCAACGTCGTCCAACGGGGCAGACTGGCACCTGGGCGTCCTGGAGCTCCCTCGCTCGGGGTACAGTGATGCCAATGAGGACTTTTACTTTTCTGGCGTCTACATTGAGAGCGGGTCTATGACCACTTCGGTCAATGGGCCGGCGGCTTAAGTCTGTAGCAAGAGGAGCGAGGTATAGTGGCGGCTGTTGAACGGCGCTGTAGCGCATGGAAGAATGTGAATTTCATTCTTGATTCCTTGAGATGAGAAGAATCCAAAATGCATAGTTCAGTAACCAGAGTGGCCGGTATTGGAATCTTGACTTTCATTACTAGTTCATGACCAAATATCCGTCAACAAAATAGCCGCTACCCAACAGTTTACCATCAAGTTCTAAACTCTTCTTGAAGAGATCCAGAAATCCAACTCTTCAAGCTCGTCAACATGTCCAAGAACCACCGCTCACCTAGCTCATTCCCACACCTCCACCACCATGACAGTAGCCGGCACCGTACTAGCCACCGTGGCCACGGCGCCAACAGAATCCGTAATCGTCTGCGTGACCACTGACCCGGGGACCGTCGAGGTCACCACGGTACACGCCCCCAAGATGGTCTGCGTCTCGCCCGGGACGGGCCCCTTGCCGAACTCGTAGCTCGTCTCGCCGCCCCAGTAGTAGCAGTACCGTGACCCTTGGCTGCAAAAGGCGTCGTCGCAGCTGGCGGTAAAGGACGAGACGGGTGGATGGGGAGGAGGCGGTGGTGCTGTTGCTGGGGCCATGGAGGACTCGGTCAAGGGCGGGTTGTCATTGTGCTCGAGGTTTCTTTGGATGAGGACTTTTTCCAGCGTTGTCGAGGCCGTGGCGCCGTGACCATGAAAGGACAAGAGAAGGGCGAGCGCGAGAATGGATAGCTGAGACAACATTTTTCAATGAGGCTCGGGCGATATACAGGGCACACCTAACGGCTCGATAGAGGTTCTCTGGCGGATATGAGTCTTGATATCTGTTTGAGACTCGGAAGATTGAGCAGCTGTCTGGCATTCTTTCATCAGACTCGCGACGTTTTTATTACGAGCATTTCTCCCCAGCTTATATATCGACGATTCAAGATTCCCATTGAGGGTGTCGTCAGCCTAGTCCGACAGTGTACTATCAAACACATAAGAAGTTTGCTTAAATGTCACTAGTATTGCCGCCGTAACCTCTGATGGAACGTCTCAACTCGGGTCATACAGAGATTGACAAGATCTGGCCCGACAGACTAGAACAATGTTGGTGAAACATATTCTTCGCCCTACTACCCTGAAAACACTGCGGCGAGCCGAACTGGCTATCTTGGTCGAGTTTGTCGTTGTCTACACGTCAGGTCTTTGGTCAAGTTTGAGATTTGTAGCACCGGTAGTATCGACTCGTGACTGGACTGAGCTTTCCAGATGGGACCAGAAAAATGGATTGACTGCATTCGTGGCGCTGTCAATGTAGGCAACTGTCTTGTGGTACACCGGAAGTAACTGCCAAGCACAACTTTTACAATATCAATCCGCTTGAGGGCCTTTGTGATGGAATCATGGCCAGAGCTTTTGAATATGGCTGTGGACAGAGTAGAATTGTACTTGCGGATATGTCTACTGCGTTTTGCATACCGAGATCCGTACCGAGCGAGGATGAGGCTTTTGATGAGATGTAAATTTGTCAAGTCTCGAGTAAATGTACTTGTTCGCATTAATTCCACTGAGCACGTCATTATTGGCAACGCTGGCTGATAATCTTGAACGAGATTTTGGTGGAATGTGGTTCATCAGTTTGGAAGATCTACAAGACCAACATCTGTCAAGACTTTTGCTACAACACCCACCATCATCCCGGGCCTGCTTCCTCGACTGCACAATGTTTCAACCAAATACAGCATACACATTGTGATAAAATGCAACAAGGATGAAATTTATATTGAATCATCACACGCATGATTGTTGTGAATAATATATTGCTTCAAGTCTAACCTGCCCTTGCACACAACACAAATCAACTTGTCTTTTATTATCGTATATTACTCTTGTACCAGTGACCGGCAATGACATCCAATGTAGTACGTCAATTTGACATGATAACTTTCGCACTGCTCTTGTATAAATTGCGTCTGCGGTCTATGAGGAGATGAACGCTTGGTAGATGTATGCCAATCCAGCATACATGGCAACAACATGATTCATCATGTCGTATAGATGGCTCCGAAGACGGGCAAGAAAAGACACGCTTCCTTGGCCGCCTTATCTTTAAAAGTCCTACATGACTACCCAACCGTTCTTGGGGCCACGATAAAGAACCAAAAACCTTCCAACGTGCTGGTCCAGTGTTGTCCCCGGGGCTCTGATGATATCGAAAACCTGTCAGCATATTCATGCTCGGGAAATTGCGAGGTCCCAACAAAGAGATCCCATCACGGTAGCGCTCCTATCCGACGCAGATGACAGGGCGCATTAGTCGCACCTATATTCTTCCACATGAGCTGCCTAAAGACATTTGTGCCGCAGATCTCTACATCTCGGGACTGCAAACAGGTAAGCGCAGACAAACACGATAGTTTCCTGGATATCATCTACATGAGACTTGATGATTCATTCCAATGTTCCTACTCAAAGTTGAAACAAGCGAAACATGTATCATGAACGTTGGATGGGGTACAACTCGGTAGCTCTAAGTTAGAACTCGGCATCAGAATACATCATGGTAGAGCAGTGCAAGAAGGTCTTTGGTTCATCTCAATGCAAGGAGAGAAACCACGGGCAGGATAATCATATCATGGATAAAGGTTGCCTTGCTGGATGCATTCTTTTCATCGTCATGTGGATCAAATCAGAGTACTTGGCCCGGTGGGCGGGTATCACCAAGGGTCCAAAGAATCAACATGATCCATTCTTTGATTCTCAAGCCATATCGCCTAATATCAAACTTGGCATGTTCCTTTTGGTTCTTGCATGACTTGAAAGTGGGGGGCACGTCCATTAAGCTCAAGTGCAACTCTATCCGGTAACGTTATCATTTCCCGGAAACGGGACACGTCTGAACAAGCGAAAAACCACAAAGATGGAGAGCGGCTGCCATCACCATTTGGCACCGTTGCAATACTAAAGATGCTGACAGGCCAGAGAAAGCCTCCGGGGCGCTACGATTGGAGAAGAGGAACCAGAAATAGCTCAAGTTGGGTTCGTTCAACTAGTAGTTCAAGGAAGAGGGAAAACCAGACAAGGGCCAAGTTCGGCACTGGTTTCAACTCAATCTCGAACACCACCACCACCTTACCCATGCGCGGGTTGGTGTCGGGGAGAAAAGACAAAAGCCTAGAGCAGCCCGTCTTTGCCCACTTTACCCGGCTTCGTATCCGCAAACCAAGAAAAGGACGAGAACAAGGGACAAATGCCCGCTCACCCCTCGAATGAAGTGCCGTTGAATTATGCCAGACATGGCAAGGGGCAGGGCAGGGCACCTCAACAAGATCCAGGGCTCGTCAAGAAGGGGAAAATGTCAAATAGAATTGCATTCACCGAAAAGGCAAATGTTTTCGGCTGCTACCCAAGACCTCCCCTAGCACGAGAGAGACCCTGAAGGCTGTACCAAGCATTGATCTATTTAGATGACAAGAAGCATTGACGGTGGTTGGCAGTTCATGTTGCGTAGCATCGAGGGCATAATGGTGACGTTTTGACGTGTCCTGTTTTGTTTTTGTTTCCTTTTACACTTAGCATCACAATGCCTCTCCTTCTGCTGTTTTGACAAGTGGCAGGAACGTAACACAAGATTTCGGAGGACCTGCAGATGAATGAAGTCGCGTGATTGTCACGAATAAATTTGTCTGGTGTTGCGGTCTCCCGGTCGTTACTCTCTTCTGCTGTAATGCGCAGTGTCAACCGGCTTTTTCTTGCCAGACAGTTTCCCCATTTGTTGTGCCGAAAAAACTGCCTCGTGTTATTGTCGGCCTCTCGGTATTCACCTTGTTGGTTTCGGGCAAAGACGAGATGCAGACATTTGGCGATCCTTTGAGTCTCTGCAAGTTGGTGCACATCGGATTGTGGGATAAGGTTTAATCGATGACAGGTAGATATAAAACACCTTGCAGTCAGTGGACTGGGATGTCAAGTCCCTACCTGCTTCGACTCGGCGCTGAGCGCAGAATCCTCGTGGCTAGCTGGACTAGGGGTGTACAGTACAGGGGGTTCTCGAGTGCGGACAAGGGAAGAAGTGGGCGGTGGGATAGGGTGCCGCAAGGGGCTGCTCGGCAAGTCAGCAACATCATGTTTGTCTTGTGCAAGTGCTGTAAAAAGTGCCGCGTCAAGCGCTAATACATAGTACGACTCCGCCGGAATGCGAGCCTCAGTGATTTGCACATCTACAGCAGATTATCGTATGATGTTTGATGGCAAAAAATGATCAGTCATCCTCGAGTAAGACGTTTCTGCCCTGGGTGCTGGCTTTTCTTAGGCGCTTGGCCTGCGCTTGCGGATGACCTAATCCACGGAAGCTTTCTTAATGGTTCTTTGCCATTATAGAGTTTCTGCTCCATGTATGTGCAACAACATCACCGGCACGGCAATGTCGAGATACTTTTCCACCGTCATGCTGTTTGAATCATGCCATGGAATCTGACTGGGTGGCATTAATACAACCGAGGGCTCACATCTATCAAAGTATCTGCCGTGGTTGCACTCGTGAGTTGTTTTGAGGACGAACCGTTGGCAGTCAAGGAACGGCGCGACTCCACGTAGTGGGTATTACGGTACCAGACTTGAGAGGCTCAGTCTGGGGTATAATAGGCCGGAATATTATCTGAGACAACATGTGGAATGACATAGTCTCTCTGGTGACAGGGTTTAATCGTGGCGTACCACGGTCGAATATGGTCCAGATGAGCTAGTGTCCATGGATTTCGAGCCCTCAACCGAGCATTTCATGGACAGCGACCGGAGCCGAAGTGGTGAATCTGCATGGCCTCTTGACATTTACCACATCACAGACCAATGCATCCCGACAGAGGATGGATCCATGTTGACAAGGTGGACTAGAGTCTTGGGGATTAGCGAACTGTCTGACAGCTTCCAGCGTGGCATTAGAGTTGAGCAAGTATAGGCGCAGCAGCACCCTGAAAATGGTGGTTCCGAGCGTTCCACATCCTTAATCTCGCAAGTAGCGTCGTGACCATTTGTTTAGACTTTTTGTTTCGACAGAACGAAAAGAAACGCAAGCCATTAGAATATCATGCACGTACTTTTGCTCTGGCAATTAGCGCAGAATCAACTCTGGCAAAAGAAGCAGTAGAATGACAGGTAATATTCTGCTACAAGATGTTCGGAGCATGTTCTCGTGGTTTTGGAGGCGTGGCGTATATCATGTTTCGACGCCATGGACGCGTTGCTTCGGCCTAGGCCACCGAGACCAGCTGAGCTCTCGTGGCTTCGGGATCGCAGTGCCAACTGTGGCTCGGACTGGTGGATATATATTTGCATGTGAGCTGGCGCGGAAATGCTTTTGCAGCATAAGCAATTGCGGTACCGGGTCCGATATAGTGCGGAGCTTGATGTTTTGTGTCATGTAGACGCCCTCACACAGATTGACCGAGTGCACAAGTTTTGTCGAAAAGTACCATGAAACTATTACTTGTTCAAAGAGAAAACCCGTTTTCTTGAAGCTGTCTTATGGAAGTCGGTCAAAGGGGCCGAGGCGAGATATTCAGATGCGGGTAGGTCGACATGAGCATGGCTCGGATGCTGGCTGTGCATGCTGCTGAATCCTTCTCACTATATCGTTGACTCTTACCTGCATTTGTATTCAGCCATGCCATTGGCGAGTATATTGGAAGCGCAATGGAGTCCTTTTTTTTTTTTTTTTGGCTCCTTCACTGAGTTCTCAGGATGAATAGACCAAGAAATGAAACCCTGCTCGGCTAGATGCAGACATGAGCATCGGTAGCCTGTGGGTAAGCCATGGCATGGTAATGGCAGTGGTTCCGAGTGAATAGTCGACCGGGAACTAGGGTTACCATCTTGCAGATCTCCCCTTTGCGCACCTGGCTCAGAATCGTTGGGCCTGTCCGCATCTCGATGGCGCAAGAAAGGGCAAGGTATTGACATGCTCCCTGCATCGTAGGCCCCGTCGAACCCCTGTAACAACGCCGGGCGTCCGTGGGAATAGTCTTCTGGCAGAAATGACAAGTTACGATTCGCAAAAAGTATGTGTGTCTTTGCCTCTGGCCATTGTTGTTCGGCTAGAGACATTGTCTCGCCAGTTCTGGGGGATTGAACCGGGAGAGGCTTCACCAAGGGTCCAGGTTACCCATATTCGTCCCGGGTGCTATGCACTGAGCAACATCAGGTCGTTTGGGAAGCGTCATCAGTGGCGTGGCAAAGTTGTACAGGGTCGAGGCGGCCACCAGGCATCCGGAAACGAAGCAAGACAACGCAGCCAGCCGCTGTGAGGTGCCAAGTCCCCGAATATATGGCTGCTGTGCTTTTCATGACGGCGACCTGGCCACTCGCCGCTTGGTGGGTTAGGGCCACATCCACGGGAGAAAAAGTGTTCAGCTGTACTGTGTATAAAACTTGCAAGGCCCTGCAAACGTCAAAGATTTGGTAGCGTCGTGAGTAAGAACTGTGTCATCCATCTGAAATTTCTTTCATTGCGAACCTGGTCGGTGCTATTTAGCAGGTCAAGTGGCATACATACATGGCCCCACGTGTACTGTGACGGTGACCAGTGTAGTAGACATGCTGGCTACGACGGACATGTCCCCTTCTCTTCCATGGCATCATATCGTGAACAAAGGATTGGACTAGAGCGGGAGCCAAAATGCGTCTTGTTCAACTTGATCGTGCGCCGGCAGGTCGCAGATTGGTGTACGGCGATCGCGGTATTGAGCGAATCGCAATGAGAGTTGGCCAAAGTATCGTAGGAGCCGAGTGTCGACAATGTATCTGGGATTCAATTAGGGATGGGCTGATCACTGAAGCCCATGCCCTGTTATGATTTTCCCAGGGGTCTGCCCATTCCAATGAGCTCAGGGAGGTTCTTCCAGAGCGGGTCCCGGGGTTGGGGGGTTAGAGGAGGCCCCAGGTCCAGCACCTAGCTTTTGGCATGTCGATTATGATTGGCTTGCGGCGATAGTATATTTCGTTTGGGGCTCCCCGTTTTGAGCCATGAAAGAGATGCCACACAAAGCCGGACGACAGACTGCAAAAATCCGATTCGTCCCAGACCACACGCAACTTTTTTTTTTTTTTTTTTTACTTTCTCTCTCGTGCATGGAAGCGCACAAATGTACCTGACCGTGCAAGTATAAGCCCGAGGCATTGGGGGCACCAGTAGTAATGATCAATATTAGCCGCTGAAGCTGTAATCTCGGTTCTCGTAACAAAGGCCCGGTTTGGGTAATGCATCGACAAAGCAACATCTGAAGGTGCGGGACGAGAGGAGAGTGAGCATGGACGGAATCCAGATGTCATTGCAGGAGGTCATGAAGCATGAATGAACCGTTTATATCCGAGATCAAACAGTTGAATCTATTCTCCCGGGTCGGACTCTAATTGAAAGGCAGCTTGTACCGCAGATGCACGGCACGGATATTATGGTCTTTGGCATCAAAGACGCGGGATGAGTTGGTATGTATCTATCTGAGGTCTGGAGTGTTGGGTCATGTATGGTAGGTAGGTAATGTAGCCTGGGCAGGTTGGTAATAGGATAAAATGTCATCCCACGTTCAACTGGTCAGCCTGTGAGACAGAGACCAGCGTATTAAGCCTAGTATGGGAAACACATACGGGCCCTTGTTTGGGGAATGTTCCCCTCCCCCACAAGAGGAGCTGCGAGGTCACCTCAACCTACACTACAATTGTACTTACCTTGATTGTAGCGGTCCCTTCTTCTTGCCTACATGAAGGTGCCAAAGGGTGCCCAGCTTCAGCAATTGGAAGTCGGTACCGTAGGTTACTTTGTAGTTGATGTACGCGACTGTCAATGCAATGTCCTGTTCCTGCCTTTATTGGGAGGGTTTCGTTGCTCTACCGCTTTCCAGGATAATGGAACGACCAGCACACCACCACCACCACCACCACCCACACCTCTTTGCTTCTCAATTTATTTTTGAGAGCCAGCCAACTTGCCAACCAACCCTTTCTTCCTCCCACAGTCCGGTAACTCGGAATCACCTCCTTTGTACCACCATGGGATTTTTTTGATTGACTGATACATATATTACATACATCAATATATATAAAGAGATAGTGATGTAGGATATGTAAGGTATGTACCTCCCAATGCGTGTGCATATTTTCAGATCGGCGATCAAATATGTAGCAGCAGCAGCAGCAGCATCGTATGTACTCACTCTGTTAAGGTTCAATCAACACTCGAGGCATGTTGCAGCTGCCATGCATTGAACTAGCAAGTGGATTGCCCCTTTGAGCATGTCGTCGAGGTGAACAGACGCTGGGCCATATACTATGTAGGCCAAATCCACCTAATAACCGCTCTCTTCCTCCACCTGAAAGGTCGTCTGTCGGGGCTCGCTTAATACATAGGTCGCGCCCCAGCCAGTCGTTGATACATGGGAATGTTCCCAGTGGCCGCCACCCTATCCCACTGACCGGTTTTCTGGAAACAAAAGAATCGACTTGTTAGGCCCCGTTGCATTCCGCTGCATACATTACTTATTACCTCCCTACTATTTGAGCCTGGTGCACGATACGTACGAGGCTCTTTTTAGTCAACACGAGACCCGCTCTCATTCTTTCTTTGTGCATCCGCTACATAACGCTACAAATCCAACGTACCTCGGATAGCATACTACAATAGTAGCATGTATTTCGTAAGCAGCAGCTGTTGATCCAATCGCAGAGACTGCTCACGTCCCTTGGACCTCTGCTGCTGCTGGGGTTTTTTTTTCTTCTCTTGCCAGTTCAGTATACCTATCTACCTACTTGGCCCCATCGTGCCAGTCCAAGCACAGCCAAGCAAGCACCTGGCCACCAACTCGATCTGCATCCATCCCGCTGCGACTCAAGTATTCTCGTCCAAACAGAGCCAGAGAGTGTACAAGGGGCTTGCTCCCACTTTGCTGCTGGGCTCCGACGTGATCTGCACGGATCCAAGGCCGGAACACTGGCCGCCTGCTGCGTGGGATTGACAGACAGAAGTTTGTGTGGGAGTCTCAGTGCTCAGCCCGCAAGGTATTGATAGTGCCTATGCCCCGCCACTAATAAACAATACAACTATAGCAAAAGTTTGGTCGCAGCGCCTTTCTGCCCAGAGAGGAGGGAGAGAGACAGAGAAAAAAGTCGGGGTGAAAATTTCCATGCTCGGCCCTCCCTTTTTTCACTCTCTCTCTCATCAGGTCCTCATATCACACACATACTTCTTCTTTTACACACCTCTTTTCTTTCTTCTTTAATTCTTGTTGAAGTTTAAAAGGCATACAAATTGCTTCTACTCCCGAATACGACCCCACAGCGCCGTGGTTTATAGTCGTGCAATTCGATTAGACGTGTGACGGTCAGCACTGTTACAAGGATTAACCTGGGCGGCCTGCTTGCTTTGGTGCGTCTCAAAATCCCACCAAGCGCGGAGGGACAGCCGACGATTGTCTCAATCGAAGATATTGAGAACACTGCATCAATTCTGCATCTTTACTTTCCGCCGCCCGCCCAGCTCATTCTTAAATTGACGGCAGACCACGCTTGCACACCGGTCCGGAATAGGCCTGGAGGAGCGGGAACCCACGCGAGCGAGCGACGATAACGCCGCGCGCTCTGTTTGCGACCTGTCTTGTCCGAGCCCCCAAAAGGTGGTGTCTCTTTGCTTTTTCTGCCGAAAAGCTTGCCTGGGGTTCCTGTCATTCGTACCCTTACCCAAGCAGTCGGGATCTTGTCCTGCAAGGCTGGTCTGCAAGGAGCATCGTTTGGTACATTGAGTGCAGCCAATACATTGATCACACAGCCGAGCCGCTAATCTCGCGTTGATGTGTCTATATAGGCCGCTTCCCGAGACCAGCACTCCCTTGACAGAGGATATCTTGCCAGATTTTGGGCTCAACATCTCGATATCCATTCAAGACCCTATCATGGTGGAAACCATGAGCCATCCACTCACGAATACCTGGGCACCCCAGCCTAGTTATTCAAGATACTATCCCCAAGAGCTGCCAGGTCCTGCTCCCCGACTACCGCCCATATCCAGTGCGTTTGATACAAGAGGTCCCGATTATCAACCCGCTCCGGCTCATCATGATCCAAGAGGGAGTCAGCCGCCTCATCAGGGCTTTTATGCCAGAGATCACCCACAACGTCAATTGTCTCCCCACTCACCTATTCCAACGCGAGGGGAGTTTACCTCGGTCAACCATGATCCTCGTCATGCAGTGGACAGATCAAATCGCTTTCCCTCGACATCCTCATCCTCGGTAACCAGTAGACATCAGGGAGATGTGGAATCAAATCGAAATTACCCCCCAATGGTGGGTCGAAACTCATTCTCAGAAGCACGATATCCGTCTCCTTCATGGCCAAGCCAGGAACCACGGTCTGAACAAGGTCGTCGATTTGGCAGAGACGAGAATCCCCGGCCCTTGGAGTTTCAATCAAATCCTGGCACTCAAGTCCAACAACAAGATTTTCGTCATCAACCCCCTTCTAATCGATCTTTGTCATCTAGACCAGATACCCGTCAACCCAAGAGAGTAGGGATTTCGGACCTTCTCAGCAATGATCAACAAAGCCCTTCTAGAAGTCAGGCTATAGGTCGCCCAATGTCGACCCAGTCTCCGATCACTCCCTCAATCCGTTTCAACTACACAATCAGCGTCCGCCAGCAGCCCATTGCCGCCCGCTCCTGCGGCTTTGGTGAACGGGACAGGCGCGTGATCGACCCGCCGCCAATTGTCGAGCTCAAGATTGAGGACCCTGCCGCCACTCCCGAGGACATCCGTAGAGGCCTCGAAGTTCCATTCTCGGTAGTACATTGCACAATCTGGAATGAAGCGGGCAACGAGGACATAAGCTTTATGCCCGAGGAGTATCGACAGCAGCGGCGACTCATGGGCACGACAGTGGCATCACCGTTCAATGGGCGTGACGAGCACGGACGGGAGGGCTGCTTCTTCTGTTTCCCGGACTTGTCGGTGCGGACAGCTGGCACGTTCCGCCTCAGATTCGTCATGGTCATGGTTGACCCCATGGCTAACTACATTGGTGCCCGCCATCCGGTCCGAGCCCAGACTATGAGTGATGTCTTTACTGTGTACAGCGCCAAAGACTTTCCTGGCATGCAGGCCAGCACACCATTGACAAAGAAGCTAAAGGAACAGGGGTGCCTCATCTCTATCAAAAAGGGCAACGAAAGAGGCGGACGTGGCAGAGACGATAGCGACGGTGACGATGATGACGACGACAATGCCAGTGGTTCGGCAAGCACAAGGCGTAAAAAGCAGCGGAAATAATTGCATTTCTGGCATTTGGTCGTTTGGGACCAAAAATTGCAAGAAAGATCAAGTAATATTGACTAGTCTTGCAAGTCAAAACCTCTCAAGTCGACAATAAACCGGAGATATACATGATGACTTTAGCCATGATTTTTTTCCCTTTCTCTTTTTTCTTTTTCTTTTCTCACATTGGAAAACTTACTTTCAGCGTCAGCCCGAGATTCATTTACGATGCGGGGGTTTCATCAGCACACTGGTGTAGACAATTTCTTTTCACTCGATTGGTGTTTCTTCTGTGCTGGATATGGGCATGGTGGAAGAGGCAGCATTACGGAAAACTGATTACGACTACCAACATTTGGGGCATGGGATCTTGGTTCAGAGGAACAGAGAGAACAAGGTATTGGTGCAGTACCGGAAAATGGGGATTTGTGCACCAGAAGGCGGCCTATCATGGTATCCGGAATTTTGCAGTGTCTTGGTTTTGGAATCTGGAATCCAAAGAGGTCACGCAATGGATCGTGCTCCAGTCGAGGGGGGCGACGACATCACGAACTGTTGATCGCTTACTAGAGTGTGTTTGTTCTGATGTATTTGGGGGAATACGCAAGATTCACTTTCAGACTCATTAGTTGAGTAGATATGATGATCTTGGTAATTGAACCTCGAATGAATTCTTGGGTCCTTGTTTCGAAAGCGTCATGTGAAGGTAGGTATGGACTACCTTGTCTCCTGTAATGTTCTTGCATACAAGTAAACGATCATCGTGGTAGGTTTGTACAAGGGGTGCCAATTCGAGTACTTGAGCTACCGTTACACTGTTGAATGGTATAGACGAGAAGTGACGACAAGCAGGAAAATCGTCACCACTAGGATCCCGGGGCTTACAATTACCGTGTCGGAACCCGAATAGACGGTTGGAACCCTGGATATCACAATCCATGTAGAGCTTGGTGACCATGAACCCCTTTCATGGCCATTTTATGATTGAACCAATGGTTAAAAATATGTAGAAAAACAATAATATTGCTTGAAAGTGGCATGTTCTTGTGAGAATAGCATATTGTATGCTTTTATATGAGTCTTTTTGTTATCGTGAGGCTTCAAGGAGCATGGCGGCTGGCGTAGGAGATCGGTCCGATGAGTCGAGGTCCGCCCAATTAGGATCCTTCCTTTACGGTATTGGCTTGTCCGATGGTGAATTGGAAGTCCGGGAAATGCCCCTGAGCGTGAACAGATTGAGAAAGAAGGACCCGGGCATAGATTCAAAAGTTGATACCTTTTGAACTGAGTCAGGTCCCTTGAATATTGAATCGAGTGTAAACATTTGGCGGTCAATTCAAAACATTTCAATGGATAATAGCAAGAGATAAAAATAAGACGAAAAATTTAAATACTACTACTACTGCTATCGCAGCTTCTTTAGAGCGACCCAACAAGCTTGAAGGACCCACCAAAGCTCCGTTGAGCACTAAACCCGATCAGATCTAACGTCTGGTGAGGGAAATCTCGGAGCGAAACAGCGCAAAGTACCTCCGTATCCTCAGCGAAAATCCCCAACGCCAAATAATTTGTTGCTGGTCGGAGGTTCTCCATATCTCACGAAGCTTGTCAATCCTCTCATTTCTACCTCTTTGACCCTTCCTTTCCTCCCCCCCGTCCGTCAGCGCCAGCCAGACGAACCATTTTCACATCATGTTCTCTCGCGCATTGAGGGTACAGAGGGCTGCTGCCCCTTCGCTGCGTGCTGCCCGCGCAGCCCGCGCTCCCACCGTTGGTGCCTTCAGAACCGTCACCACCGATGCGGCGTCGGCCTCTCTCGAGAAGGGTGTCCCGGAGGTATGCGAATAAATTCCTCGACTCCTCGGCTGTCAATTGGACCAAGCCACACCTGCCAACCGATGACATTGCATTGCTACGGGGTCAACATTGTCGATGCGCATTTTCCTTTTGGAACGACGGGTTGCTGACAAGATCATGTGTGTGCATTTAGGAGGATGACAAGCCCTTCACCATCAACCTGAGCGACGAGAGTTTCGAGACATACGAGCTCGACCCCCCACCATACACCCTCGAGACCACCAAGAATGAGCTCAAGAACATGTACCGCGACATGGTCGTCACCCGGTATGGAACTCTCTCACGTTCTCCCACGTTGGGTAAGAAAGATCATGAGCTGATTTGCGTCCCAGTCAAATGGAGATGGCCGCCGACAGGCTATACAAGGAAAAGAAGATCCGAGGTTTCTGCCACTTGTCCACTGGTCAGGAGGCCGTCGCAACCGGTATCGAGTACGCCCTGGACAAGGAGGACGATGTTATTACCGCCTACCGATGCCACGGTTACGCCCTGATGCGTGGTGCCACGGTCCGATCCATCATTGGTGAGCTTCTTGGTCGCCGTGAGGGTATCGCCTACGGAAAGGGTGGTTCCATGCACATGTTCAGCAAGGGCTTCTACGGTGGAAACGGTATCGTCGGTGCCCAGGTCCCCGTCGGTGCCGGTCTGGCTTTCGCACACAAGTACACTGGCCGCAAGCAGGCTAGTGTCATCCTATACGGTGACGGTGCCAGCAACCAGGGTCAGGTCTTTGAGGCTTTCAACATGGCCAAGCTCTGGAAGCTGCCCGCCCTTTTCGGTTGCGAGAGTAAGTTTCCCTGAAGCCAAGCTTTCGTGGTAAGGATAGAGTACCAGGCAACTAACACGAGTCTTTAGACAACAAGTACGGTATGGGTACGGCTGCTGCCCGTTCGTCTGCCTTGACCGACTACTACAAGCGTGGTCAGTACATTCCTGGTCTCAAGGTCAACGGTATGGATGTCCTTGCCGTCAAGGCCGCCGTCAAGTACGGAAAGGAGTGGGCCATCAACGACAACGGTCCTCTTGTTCTCGAGTACGTCACATACAGATACGGAGGTCACTCCATGTCCGACCCCGGTACCACCTACAGAACCCGTGAGGAGATTCAGCGCATGCGTTCGACAAACGACCCCATTGCCGGCCTCAAGCAGAAGATGCTGGACTGGAACGTTGTCACCGAGGAGGAGCTCAAGGGTATCGACAAGGAGGCCCGCAAGCACGTCAACGAGGAGGTCGCCATTGCCGAGGCCATGCCCGTTCCCGACACCACCCCCCAGATCCTATACGAGGACATTTACGTCAAGGGCAGCGAGCCGCAATACATCCGTGGCAGGACTGCTGAAGAGAACTACTACTTCTAAATATAAAAATACGGCGTCTTTCTCTTTTGTAGTCAAATCTCCTGTATCATATCTAGAAGGCGGGAATGGATGCGGTCTTGTTGGTAGAAATCGAGACACTTGTTTATGATATCATCCAATTTTTCCAAAGAGCTTTATTGGCTGTGCTCCAATTGTTGCGAATGTGTGCACGTCTGAGAAGAATATGGACAGATTTGCCATGGGACAAACTGTAAGACAGTTTATCGGGTACTATATTTAAGCATTCTCGATTCTAGCCACGAATGTACTGAGGAATTGCAAGCTCTCTTTATGCCAAGGTTCCGGAGAAATACTGAGCAATGTCTTGTACAATTGAACACGTGAACGGCTGGGGATCCAGTAGGTCCAACTGATACAAAAGTTGCCAATAACTCAAATGTAATTAAATCAGCAAGCATTCAATTTCAATCCTGATATTACAGAAAATACAAACTTGTATAACCAGTACTCGTGTCTTCTTGTTCATACAACTTGAGACCTTGGAGCCCCACAGGTGCAATCAGCTGTTTCTAGCTAGCTACGACTCGGAAAGCCATTAGCTCATACTGCACGTCTAGCTTGGAACTCCAAACCGCCAAAAGGACGAACCACTCATCACAACAACCATCCGATCCTCGGTCCAACAACTCTAACGAATACCACAATAAGAGGCGTCCGTCAAGAAACTTTGTCTCTCGCACCCAACACTGAATTTCCAAGCAGCGCAGGGGAAAACAAAAAAGGCCACAGGCAGCCTCAAGAAGGAAGCCGCAAACATGTCCATCCCCACGCAAATCGCCGAGACGGTGCAAACAGCACACATTCAACGCGACCCATCACCACACCACGACGCCAACCCATCGACGTCGGCCTCGACACGGGAGCCCGTGCGCCTGGAATCTCTACGGAAACAACAACACCAACGCGGCAGGGGCGATGACGAAGACGACATCGCCGTGGTGGCAGCAGAGGAGGACTCGGACGGCGAGGAGAGCGATATCCCCGTCAGCGTCCTCCGGCCGCATCGTCGACGCCATAGTTTCCCGCCCATGCCCGACCTGCGCTTTGAACAGAGTTATCTGCACAGTATCGAGGGCGCCGAGGGGCGGTGGGGCAAGATTGCCTGGATTACAGTACGGGATCAGGTACGTCGAGAATACACCACCGTTGTTCCTTTTGAAGAGCACTGCTCGCTCCCAGAAGGCATACCGACCGAGCCAGAAAAAGACTTGAATATACATGTGAAAAACGGTGCTGACAAAAGAGGTGCAAATCTAGATCATGATGCCCTTGGCTCAGGGTGTCCTGTATAACCTCGCGATATGCGGCTGGCAGTTTTGGAATCGAAACGCACAGTACAGTGGAAGCTCGGCCGGTGCCAGGTTACGGCGTTGGTGGTACGAGGTGAACAACTGGAAGATTCCCCAAAAGTCAAAGAGGTCGTGATAATCTATACAAGGGCCATGGAGGCTCATCAACTACAACACTAAGGAATGATTCCACAGACTACCAGTGGAATAGCAAACACGACATGTCAATATTAAGCAAGAATTTAAAGGGCAAGACAGTACTTGACCGTAGAAATCATCGGGACAAGTCATATAGCATACAGCACAGTCAAGGGTCCTGAATCAGAGTCCGTTGTGTCTCATGTATTGTAGCACATATAGAATCATGTGCAAAACTCTGACCAAAAACTGTCAGAGTATAGTGTACTGCGCACTATGAAAATTACATATCGCCAGGGCAATTTTCTGCCTATTCATCTATCAGGCGTCCTTGATGTACGCACATCACCCAACAGTCCGTCTATCCGTCATAAAATCGCTTTTTCTTTTCGGTGGTGGTATGTATGCCCTCGTGAATTCCAATTGCAACGCCAACAAAGCAGTCCGCAAAGGACAAACCAAGAGACCAAGTCATTGCTGTATTCTTTTCCGTAATCGACACCATCTGGAGCCCGCCCAGAGACATCTACTCGACAGGACGACCAGCAAAGGGCTTCTCTGGGCTCTCCCTATAAGCCAGAGGTTTGGTTTGCAGAGCATTTGGCTTGGGCGACAACGGCGGTCGCCCAGTCAGGAGAGATGCCGCATCAGAGGACTTACTCGGCGGTGGTGAAGTATTCCCCTTCTCGGCCACGGCAGGGTCTTGTTTCTCTGTTGTAGTCTCCTCGGTTTCAGCCGAGGGTTTGCCGTTCGCCTTGGGTGCCGTGCCACTATACCGGAACTTGTCAAAGTCAATCTTGACGCCTTCCTTCTCGGGCACTTTGAGCTTGACAACCATGCTTTGAGGGCTGGCATCGAGATCATTGTCCTCGTCGGCCATCTCCACGTCTTCGTCAAATTCTTCGTCTTCCTCCTCCTCCTCGCTTTCGTCGGGCACGTGATCGTCCTCATCGTCACCGAGCTCTGGCTCCGACTCTTCTTCATCATCATCCATGGAATTGTACTCATCCTTCTTCCGCGAGGATGACCAACCATTGGTGCTGTGGTTCACCGCTGCTGATCTACGAGGCCGACCCGTGGGTCCGACTGAGGATTCCTTGGATGATGCCCTCGTCGATGCGTCTCTTGCAGATGATCGATCCTGATCACCATCAACAGTTACAATATTGTTCGACGCATCAACCGTCATGCGCGATGGTGCCTTGATGTGACGACCACTGGCAGTGGTGACTGGTCCTGCGGGTTCAATCGGAGTGGAGGTGCCAGTGTTGCGGGCGGAGCGTCGCGCTCCCGTCGAGTCGGTCAAGAAATCCTCATCGTCCGAGTATGTGTACTTCATGCGCTTGCCTCTTGTCCTGCCTTCGTACATGGAGAAGCCTGGTTCTGGCCGCTTGAAACGTTCTTTCTGCTGCTGCCGATACTCGCGCCTCTTGCGCTTCTCCTCAGAGGCTTCAAAGCGAGGAACAGCAGCTAGCATCTGCTGCGCCAGCTTTTTGCCCTTGGGTCGGCCATCTACCGTTTGCAGTTTTTCCGCTAGGGCGGTGAGCTCCTCGATGTTTCCTGCAACGCTCCACCATGTTCTGTTGAACCCTGCCGGATCGCTCTCGCGGTAGACGCGAAAGTTGGTGTCATCTAATCCTTCAATGAGAAAGTACCGACGTTTGTCGCTGTCTGCACCCCATGGTTGCACAGAGAGGGGTTGGTTCAGGTCGTCGTCGCGGCGATTGCCCTTGTAAGATGTGTTGATGATTTGCTTAATGGTGTCTGACGATGAAAGACTCCAAAGGACCAGCGTTCGCAAGAGTGTGAGCTGTAGTACACTGGTTAGCGGTGATTGACACAAACTTTTTGCGCAACACTTGGCTCAAATGTTGCTCGTGATGCTGCGCGTGAATGGTGTCGGTACGTACGCGTTCTGTGGGGTTCATTGACGTGAACGTTGCGCCGCCCGACAAAGGGCTCTTTTCCTCCCAAACCTTGGGCCATTGGCTCTTGTGACTTGCAATGGCATCCTCCAAAGCTCTGCCGTAGTGGCCAGGCCTGCACATGTTAGCAATACAGCCCATTCGAGGGTGGGTAGGCTATTGCGTCATACTTGACATCTTGCTTGCGGTTCAGCAAAAGACCGAGGACTGCGCATAGAAAATGCTCGACACGATCGCCGGGAATCGATTCGGTGACATCGCGCTCCAATTCCTGAGGTCCAAAGTTGGCAAGCGATCTGGGGAAAGCTTCGTTGAAGCGACTTCGGAACATCACAATGAACTGTACGCGAAACTAATTAGCACGCGTCACAACGCGAAATTTCGCGTTTTGAACGCGATTATGGCCAAATTGCTTACTGCAATAGCTGGATTATCTGCCAACACATAGTCATGAGGTGGCGAAGGCGATCTCTTTCGCGGAGGCGGAGAGGGCTCCTTGTTGGCTTGCGCGGGCTTGCTGCCCTTGGGTAGCTTGTGGAAGAACTTGAGAATACCCTTGTCATTCTTTAGCTCAACGTCATTCTCATCGTCCGAGGGAGCTGGAGACAAGGAAGACAACGATGAGAGGTCACTAGAGTCATCGTCGGCCATGTTGAGCAGCAGTCGGTCGGTCGGTCGGTCGGTCGTGGTCGTGGTTGGTGCTAGTCTGATGGGATGTGGAGGGTGGAGGTTGAAGTAAAGTGCAAGCGGAAAGAGAAGTGGTCAAGGTCACCCACACAAATTGGGCCGCACTAAAACCCACAGGCACCCCCGGGGTCGAGCCGCATATCAAAAGGTGACGAGGCATCCGATAGGAAAAGATAATCTATTAGGCAACTAGGTAGGTAGGAAGACGTTCCATATTGCATGCATACCTTCTTGGACGCCCCCAACAACTGCCGAGCATCGACCACAGTCCTGCATGGTCGCTTGGAGCCCGTCGACGTGGTCCCAGAATGCTGCGGTCCAATTGCACTCACCATTGTCTAGCAATTCCTTCATATATCACGTCTCTCAAGAGGGCGCTTACAAAGCACAGCTGTCCAGACATACTGTAGAGAACCACAGCTGCCACGACAAATCCGCAGCATCACGAGCATTGTCACCACGAATGTCTCTTGGGCTCAACAAGTCCAGCCAGATCCCTCATTCATTGCGCATCGAGTCTTTCGATTGCTGATTGATATGAGACACTGCCACCAGTCAGCATTTCGTCCGTCGAGAGCTGCATGGATAGTCGTTGACACGAGGCCCCACCCGATCGCCCAAGCCAAGCCGTCAATATAGCAGACCGCAAATGCGTCAAGCTAAGCAACCAGCACATCCCAAGTCTCAAACCCGGCATTGATCATGTTGAGAAACGCATGAAAAAGTAGCAAAGCAGCTTTCATCATGGAACTCGACATGATCAATCGATTGTGAGCCAGACTTGTGTGTGATTGTGGCTTCACCGCAGCACTGTGTAAAAGATGGCGTCCTAACCAAGCCTGGGCACTGGGATCGGCAGACTCCGAAACGAAGCCATCACCATTACCAATTTCCCACATGTTGGTGGGTTTGGCTAGGTTGTCAATGCTGGACAACCACCGCGACGACCAAACTCTGCACTAGGCCATGGGGAGAGCCATGCAACAGGAGGAAGGATGACGGATGAAGCCAAGCGCTACTTCTTCCTTCTGGCACTCCATCAAAAGAGGTCACCGTCGCCGCAAGATTTGTGTCTGTCGTATGCGGCCGCATCCCTTGTTGGCAAAGGCAGTGTGACAAGGCACGTCGGTAGCCCGTAGCATGATTCCTGCATGCCCGCCTCCCTCGACCTTGCTCGCGTGTCATAAAAGATCACTTGCGCAGTCGAAAGTTGCCAATCTGTCGCCATTGGACCGAGGAGCAGCTGTGAGCTCTGTAGCAGTCACAAACAACCCCCAATTCAGTCATTCTGGGGATGGCGAGTGCCGATTGCACCTCTCGTCTCGCATACGTCAAAGCCTCCATTGGCAACCCCGGGACCCGGCCCAACCTTGCCACCATTTGAGATTTGCATGCGCCCAGAATTACAGTCGCAAGCTGGCAAGTTCATTTCTCACCTTTGAGAATGCCAACGCGATGCATCAGATCTCTTGCAAACAAGCAACAGGCATGAAATCTCATGCTATCAGAGGATTCTTTCGAGTATCCAGCGCTCGAAAAATGATGCATTGCATCAAAGCGAATCATCGGACTGCCCGGGTGCAGTTTGCGATGTCTGAGTCATTCCTGGTGAGATGACTGACGTTGCGGGCAAAGTTGAAGCAGACGTGACTTGAGCGGGTGTTGTTGTGATGAGACCCCGCCAAAAACCCGCCTCGCCCGCCGGGTGGGAGCGACAAGCCTCGCGCCAAAGCTTTTTTTTTTTTTGCCTTGAGCAGGATGCACAAACTTCATAATGCGCTAAAACGAATTATTCTGTATGGAATACTAGTGAGCGCAATGCACTGTATAGAGGACTCGTTCGGTCGAGCCGAATGATGATGCACCTCGTAGAATTTCTTTCTTCTACATCTAGTGACCTACTCACAGCTTCAACGAAACTGGACTTGATGACTGCTGTATCAAGAAGACGAGCAATAAATAATTTGCAATGAATGTCACCCTCGTCTTCAACAACCTTTAGTCTTTCAAACAATGAATATGCACATAAAAGAGTGACATGCTTGCATGATATGTTTCAAAGCACCTCAACGCTAGCACTAAAGTAGTGTAGAACTTGCCGCGCGCGGCAATACTATGTAAGCCCATGTAGGCCCCCCGTCCCCTGGCCCGGGCTCGTGGCTCTCACTGTGGGTTTTTCCGTTTCGGGCAACGCGGGGCAGGAGGGAAAAACTTCAGCAGAGAGGCACAGCGTAGACGGTAGAGACCTGGCGGGGCCTGTGACGCTGTTGCAGCCCAGCAGCCTTGGCACATCTGGCCTCCACCAAAGTTCACTAGGTTATTAGGTATTTTGTGCCTGCGCTCAAATTATTCCTACCCTTGACCAACACGTTCGACTGCTTTCTCCCTCTTCCCACGTCCCCGATCGTCACCACGATCACTACCGACTGCTATCTGCTGAACACTCACTCGATTTCCCAGCGCTCACTCCTTGAAAAGCGCCCATCATGAGTGACGCCCAGGCCAACGAGGCTGAGAAGAACGTGAGTCCTTTCCCGTCTGCTGGCCATTACACCACGCACGGCAAAAACAAGGAGCCCCGCCCTGTCTTGCAACAGCATACCGCCCACGAAAACCGACTCCGCAAAAACGAACCCTCAACCGAGCGCCAGACTGACAAAACACCGTTGGGCAGATTGAAATATGGAAGGTGAAGAAGCTCATTAAGCGCCTCGAGGCCGCTCGCGGCAATGGCACATCCATGATTTCCCTCATCATTCGTGAGTTTCTCCCCGTGTACCCCGCCAATGTCCAGCGGTTGGCGACATGGGCTTATGTGGCTGACACATTATATAGCTCCCAAGGATCAGATTTCGCGAGCAGCCAAGATGTTGGCTGAAGAATACGTATGTAAAACCCTTGTAATTGTACTTCGAATATACTGACCGTTTGTTATAGGGTACTGCCTCGAACATCAAGTCGCGTGTCAACAGACAGTCCGTGCTCTCGGCCATTACCTCGACCCAGCAGCGTCTCAAGCTGTACAACAAGGTCCCCCCGAATGGACTTGTCGTCTACTGTGGTGAAATCTTGACCTCGGAAGGAAAGGAGCGAAAGGTCAACATTGACTTTGAGCCCTTCAAGCCCATCAACACGTCGCTCTACCTTTGTGACAACAAATTCCACACCGAGGCCCTCGCCGAGCTGCTCGAGTCGGATCAAAAGTTTGGTTTCATCATCATGGATGGTAACGGTGCGCTCTTTGGTACCCTGAGCGGTAACACTCGAGACATTGTCCACAAGTTCTCTGTCGATCTTCCCAAGAAGCACGGTCGTGGTGGTCAGTCTGCCCTCCGTTTCGCCCGTCTTCGAGAGGAAAAGCGACACAACTATGTCCGAAAGGTGGCCGAGTTGGCTGTACAAAACTTCATTACCAACGACAAAGTCAACGTTGCTGGTCTCATTCTCGCAGGTTCTGCTGATTTCAAGACCGACTTGAACTCATCCGACCTGTTTGACAACCGTCTCGCTACCAAGGTTATCAAGGTTGTGGATGTTTCGTATGGTGGTGAGAACGGCTTCAACCAAGCCATCGAGTTGTCCTCTGAGACGCTGGGCAATGTCAAATTTATCCAGGAAAAGAAGCTCATTGGCAAGTACTTTGAGGAAATCAGTCAGGATACCGGCAAGGTGTGCTATGGTATCGATGATACACTCAAGGCGCTCGAGCTTGGTGCCGTCGAGGTCTTGATTGTCTTTGAGAATTTGGAAATCACCCGCTGGGTCCTCAAGGACAGCGCCGGCGCCGAGATTATGCTCCACACCACCAAGCAGCAGGAGACGGACCGTACCAAGTTCATGGACAAGGAGACTGGCCAGGAGATGGATGTCGTGTCACAAGACTCCTTTATTGAGTGGATTGCTGAGCACTACAAGGACTTTGGTACCAACCTCGAGTTCGTCTCTGACCGATCTACCGAGGGTAACCAGTTCGTCAAGGGCTTTGGTGGTATTGGTGGCATTCTCCGATACAAGGTCAACTTTGAGCAGCTGGCTGAAGTGGATGAGGACGACGATGACTACTACGACGATTGACAGTATGATGCCCTCGAATCGTCCGAGGGATCAACTCAAGTCACTACGTCGTCTTCGGCAACTGCCGCCAAAGAGCCGGCAGGTCCAGCGCCGCCTAGCCCCCAAGCTGCGCCAGCAGTAAAGGCCGAGCCGTTGTCCTACGTGGAGCGGCGCAAGATCACTCTTGGGCCTGCAACTTCCCTCCACACGGCTAAGCAGGTTGCCCGACCGAGTCCGCTTCGTGATATGATGACGTCTTGAGTTGAAGCTACAATTTGAAAAGGAGGTGAGTCGAATATCTTTCAATGATTACACGAAGCAAACAATTTGAGCTAACTTGCCTCGAGATTAAGCAGATACTTGCTGAATGTTACGTTGGGGCAAGGACATCGGATATGTTTGGGTTGATGGACTGCGACTGCGCAGGGGCAAATGAGCTCAGGCTATACTGGGCCGATTTCGCCTAGACATTATTATTTCTTACTGCAGTTGTCTTTTCAACAAGCTTTCCGCGTGTACCGTAGCATGGGTCGGCAAAGACGGGACAGCCTGGCCGACGCAGAGTCTGATCATATTCCCTTAGATTTTGAAGTTGAAACAAAAGTCATTCGTTGCTATGCTTTGTTGTGTGCCTTGGTCCAACCAGTACCCGTGATGGCAGCATTTGATTATACAGTTGTGCCTTGATAACGAAACCTTTCAAAAGTTGGAGTGTATTATATACTCTCACTATTTACGTGACTCTCAACTGTGTATGTACATTTTCTTCTGTCCATCAATTCATGCGGGATGCGGGCGGAGAGTGGATCGACATTGGCGCCGATGCCTCTTGCCGACCAGTCAGTCCCACACAATTGTCAAGTAATTGCAGCTTACTATTTTGATTCATGCAGAAGTAATTGCAACTTACTATGATTTCCGAACAAGTGCAATTGCGCAATTTTGAAAGACACAAGACAATTCAGAAATCATTTCTCAAAGAATCCAAGCGTCCTGAACTCAAGGTTGTTGTTAACATAAACATTACCCATCCAATTTGTTGAGCTTGGGTAAAATCAAACTGGTCTCCGATTGACCTCCGAGGCCAAAACCCGACCTTTGCTGTTCAAAAAATTGAATAGGCTTGAGGCAGCAAGACAAGTAGATACAATGCCGGCTGACAAGCCAATAGTCTGCTATCTGGGTCCAGAGACCTCGTATACGCACCAGGCGGCATTGCAGGCATTTCCTGCTGCGGATTATGAGCACCTCCCCGCCTTGACAATCAAGGGTAAGACACATAATATTCGTTGCCTCTTATTTGCCCTTTGGACACCCCGCGGTCCACCCCTCCCCCTTTCCATGAAATCCTCACTATCACCAAAAAGACACAAGCCATGCGCGGTCGACTTTTAGGAGGTGAGACTGACATTCCCGCGCAGATGTCTTTGACATGACCCAATCCGGGCGGGCTACCCACGGCGTCGTGCCGTTTGAAAACTCCACCAACGGCTCCGTCGTCTTTACATTGGACCACTTTGCCGACCGTGACGGCCGTTATGGGGACCTGAGCGTATGCGCCGAGGCTTACCTGAGCGTGCACCACTGTCTCCTAGGCTATGCACCTCCTACTGATGGCCAGGCTGCTGCCACAGCTCCCGCCACAGCTCCAGCTACGGGAGAAGAGGAAAAGGGCGTCGTCGCCGTCGCGCAGCCCCTCGCCAGCCTCGCCCACGTCAAGAGAGTCTACAGCCACCCGCAGGCCTGGGGCCAGGTGACGCGCTTCATGCGCACGCACCTCCGCGGCATCGAGACCATTGACGTGAGCTCGACGAGCCGGGCGGCGGCGCTCGCCAAGGCCGACGCGACGGGCACCAGCGCCGCCGTGAGCAGCGCCCTGGCCGCCGAGGTCCAGAGTCTCGAGGTGCTGGCGCGCAATATCGAGGACCGCGAGGACAATACCACGCGCTTCTTTGTCCTGCGCAAGGATGCGTGTGGGAGTGAGCTGGCGGCGTCGCCGTCACAGGTAGCGGTAGATGGCAAGCAAAAGACAAAGTCCCTCGTCTCCTTTACCGTCCCGCACACGTCGCCCGGCGCCCTGGCTGATGTACTCGATTGCTTCCGGGCCGGTGGGCTAAACTTGACGAGCATCAACAGCCGACCTAGCCTGCAGGAGCCCTTTCAGTATGTCTTCTTTGTCGAGTTTGAGGGCCACCGGTACGATGATCCCGAAGGCCGGGTCAAGGGGGTTCTGGAAGGTATTGGCCGTGTCGCCCAGAGCTGGCGCTGGCTGGGTAGCTGGGTGAACATGAGGGCATAGAACAATGAATATTCGGAGGATCCTGGACGATTGCAGTACTTGTCCGAATCGGCACGGTAGATAAAAAGTCGTTTTTCAATTCACATGGGCCTGAAATGCAGGCTTTCACATGCAACCATATCGATATTACGATTTCGAAAAACACACCAGAGTGGTCTCGAATTCACATAGCTACTAAATCACATTTCTGCGCATTGTGGAAAATCTTCACGTCTGCCGCCAAGAAAGCAGATGATACGAGTTGACATGACTTGGAAGATGGACTCGTATTCAGTGAAGTCTTTGTTCTAAATCATGAGAGTACAGATATATCATGTAATGCATTTCTTATTCACACAACCCTGCAAAAGACGTGTCTTTAATGAGAGAATTTCAAGTAAACTTGCTATGATTCATGCAGTAGCAACAGCAGCCAATGTCGACAACCAGTCTGCATACTACAAATTGATCCTCTCTGCGGGGAGTAAATTTGCATTGAGAACATGCCGCAAATAGGCAGGGCGAGACTCAACTATTCAGGGAAACGCCAGTCTGTATACTTGGGTATTGAATGTTTGTCCCCTTTGCGGGGATTAAATTTGCAGTGAATGCTAGGGTATGCTTGCAAATCCGACTAAAATCAATATTGAAGTCTTTTCTAACACAGTTTTGGGGCCATATTGCTTGGCAAGAACGTCAGCAGCAGCCAATCAGCAGGCTGGAAATCAATCAAATTGGTACGAAGGTTGCAACCCCCAGCTTTCTTACATACCTGTGAGCGCGACGTATCAAGGTATTTTGCATGCTACCTGGCCTTTCATCTGTTTTAAAGGCTTAATTTTCAGTCTAAAAGTTTGGCCAAAGATGAAGAAAGTCCTATAAGCAAATTTGCTGTTAGTACAGGCCGCGAATACGTCCCCTTTTGCGTATGTGAAGTTTCAAGTCAAGCACTGCGACCTTTACCTTCTCGGTGAAGTCATTTATCCTACAAGGCTACCTGAGTACAGCCTTCTTATTTGGAAAGCGTCTGACTTCCCATCTACTTTGTCACCCGCGCGTTCAATTTGTTTTGGAAATTTTCTTTTCTTTGGTAACACTCATATTTGTTGTTTCTAACAAAGCTATATTATATCGATTCAGTCTGTATGGTTTTTCATCGTTCTTTGCTTCCTTTCCCTCTTCGCGTTCTGCAAATCCAAGCCTCTTCTCCTCTCTGACAAAAAAAAAAAAAAAAAAAAAGAACCCCCGCCCCTATTCCGAGCTTGAATTCATCTACACAGTCTTTGCCATTTTCACCAAAGTCTCCTTGAACATCTGGATCCAAGCCTCGATTCGGTCTCGATAACGGACTCGGCTGTTGTACTTGAAGTCGGCATGGACCTGACCCCTCTCAATGAAGATGACGACATCGATTGTGCCGACAGTGTCTATGGGCGCCATCCCGACTGGTTTGCAATTGTCCGGGAGGTTCACTGATTCTAGCAGAGACGATTCGCGTTCTAGCTGCTGGAACTGCCCCAGGAAGTTGAAGTTGATTTCCATGTGATCTTGGGAAAAGGCCTTGCGGCCATTTTCGTTGAGGTACTTGGATGCAAAGTAAGACCAACCCTGACGGGGCGTGTTGCGTAGGCTGTCCCTCGTCTTCGAGACAAAGTCAACCACACTGTCCTCTGGCCCTACGTGAATCTGTACAGGAAAGACGGTCGTGAACCAGCCGACCGTCTGAGATAGGTCGATTGAGTCCTCCCAAGCTTCACGGCCGTGACTTTCAGTAAAGATTCGTGGGAGAGGACGATCCTGGAAAACGCGGCTGAAAGAGTAGCTCAGAGCTCCCATCATCAGTTCATGAGGCCGTGCTTGCAGATCTGCGCTGCGAGAACCAAGGACGGCTGAGCTGGTGGCATCATCAAGATAGAACTGCTTTCTAGTGTACGATTCCTTGCCCGGTTTCGCGTCTTCTGTTCCCCAGTAATCCGCAGGTTGTGGGTATGGCACGTGGTTCAGCGCATCCGTGGGCTCTAGGGTTTTGGCCGCGTAATCTTTCTGCAGCCGGCACCACTCCTCAAAGGATGTGATGGGGAGAGTAATAAACTCTCCTCGTGTCAGGAAATCCTCCAAGTCCTGAAAAATTAATCGCCACGACACAAAGTCTATGACCAGGTGATGGGTTGTGAGGAACAAGGTCTGCTCCTGGTGGTCTTCGAAAAGAGCAGCCACGAAAGAGGGTCCATTCTCAATGTCAATGCTAGCACGGCACTCTGCAATGAGAGCAGCCTTTTGTGTTTCGCTAGTCTCATCGAATCGTTTGAACAAGAGAGAGTCTTTTGTACTTTCGCAGACATACTGCATCCATTCGCCGGCCGCCTCACTGCGGCTGAAGCGAGCCCGCAGCATTGGGTGTCTTTCCACCAGTTGGTGAAGAGCATCGTACATCAATCCAGACTCTATGCGATTGGTGATTCGAAGGTAGAATGGAAGATCCGCCCAATCGGGGCCTTCTGGCCTTGTCTCAAAATGAAACCTCTGGATTGGTGAAAGACTAAAGTGGCCACCAGAATGAGTAGCCTTGCTCGGGACCAAGGGGCGAGCTGCTTCGCTTTGAACGACTACTGAGTTGCAAAGCTTTGCAATGGTGTTCTTGGACTTGAAGTCCCTGGTAGGAATGTGGTAACCCTTTGAGCGTGCTGCCGACGAGACCTGCATGGCAGAGATGGAGTCACCGCCCAAGCTGAAGAAGTTGTCGTCCAAGCCAATCTCGGTGTTGACATTCAAAATCCGTGCCCATATTTGTGCCAAGTCGCGTTCCATTTGACTTGTAGGCAGTCGTTTCGGCGTGTCGGTTTGCATGCTCATGGCCGCCAATTCGGATCTGGTGAATGAGCTTCCTTTGCATCGCAAAGCTTTGCGGTCCAGCTTTCCAGTCATCATCATGGGCATACTCTGCAAAGGGATGTAAACGCTGGGGATCATGTGAAGTGGAATGACTTTCGCTAGCTTGTCAGCCAAGCCAGCTGTCATTTCTCGCACTTTCACGGCGCACTCGTCTGCTGGCAGAAGAGCAGACTTTCCCGGACAGATGAAAGCGACTAGCATGGGTTGAGTAGCATCTCCGGCCTTGATGATTTCTACCGCCAGCTCAATGCCACTGCCGTGAGCTGCTGAAGGGCTGGCCAAAAGTTGTCCTACGTGGTATTCAATCTCACCCAGTTCCACGCGCTGGCCATTCATTTTCACTTGGTTATCTTTGCGCCCGACACATATCAGCGTGCCGTCGGGGTTATATCGAACAAGATCTCCGGTCTTGTAAAGACGGCCACGTCGTCCGGCCTCTGCCAAAAATGACGGATTTTCCACAAAAGCTGCTGCAGTCCGAAGCTCGTCGTGGAGATACCCTCTGGCAAGGATATTGCCTTCGATCAGCAGCTCGCCAACTGCTCCGATGGGTGTGAGGCTATTGTGGTTTTCTGGATCCACCACCCACGTTGCACAACCAACACCTCTGCCGATAGTTTGCGCAGGTACGCTATTTCCGGTCAAAAGTTGCATGACGCTCAAGACTGCGCATTCCGTCGGCCCATAAACCTCCAAGAGACGGGGAAGGTGCATCCATCTTTGAGTATCTGTGAGCGACACATACTCTCCCCCTATAGCGAGGGTGCTGAGGCTTGGAACCTGATCCGGCTGCAAAATACGCGCGACGGATGGAGTTGCAAACAATGTGTTGGCCCTCATCTCATTGATACTCTCTGCCAATCGTTCAAGCTTTGATTCTTCTGGTGGAATACAGATACAACCCCCATGGATGAGATTCGTCAATGTTTCCATAATACAGGCATCAAATGCATATGATGCAAATTGGAAGAATCGCGTAGTCGGGCTCAGACGCAATTCGGCTCCATGGGCCAAAAGACTTGTACACGCTGCGCCATGCTCCATGACTACGCCTTTTGGTACTCCGGTGCTTCCCGACGTGAAAATGATATATGCAGCTGATTGAGGAGTCACTTCCACGTTGCCGAGTGTATCCATACCCTCTGTTGCACCGCAACTGAGAACATCTTCCGGTGCAACTGTATGGTAGCCTTGGTTCCGAGCAAAGTCTCGGTATTTCTTGGAGGTGAGAACGAGCTTGGGCTGTAAACTTTCAAGAATCAATCGCGCCCGGCCTTCCGCCTGACCGACATCGACCGGGACAAAGGCGGCACCAGCTTTCATGATGCCAAGCATCGTCACCGGCATCCACATGGACTTTTCAAAGCACACTGGGATTGTCACTTCTGGTCCCACTCCCAGATCAATAAGATGCTGCGCTAGTTGATTCGACAGGCTATCGAGACCTTCATAGGTCGCTTGTCCATCCCATGCATCGACCGCGGGAGCCTCGGGTTGCCGGCGCGTCATTTGCGTGATAAGATCATGTATGCATGTGTCGGCTGGTGCTGGTACTGTTTCGTTCCATTGCATAATGTCGTGCAAGTCTTGTGAGCTTTCAAAACTCATGTCGCTCACTGCCGTCGTCTGATACTTTTCTGCCGTTATCTGTTGCAAGATATGTTCGAATTGCTGGAGCATGCGACGTACTACCAACTCTTCCAATACCGAAGAGTCGAAACTGGCTAGGATACGCATGCCCTGCTCCTCCAACTCACATTGGATTGTGAGCGCATAAGTACTAAAGTTTGTCATGGTCTCATCGTCGTCATCGACCAAGTGCTCGTCCTTGGGCACAAAGAGGCTCGACCCGTCCGACTCCAGCCTAGCCGGTTGAACAACCAGCAATGTTTGGAATTCACATGCCATCTTGGCACGCTCGCTGATGCATCGTATGCGCTGGAGACCAGTTTGTTCAAAGGCAATCATGTCAGCTGCTTGGCCCTGCACAGCTTTCAACAAATCCCTAATCGTCTGGTCCCAGTCAAACGTGACATGGATCGGTACCGTTGCGATTGTGGGCGCCATGATCCGGTCTATTCCAGCCACTGGAGCTTGTCGCCCCGAAACCAGTGATCCAAATACCGCAGAGCTTGCAGCATTGCGCTTCGCAGCAAGGACGCTCCATGCCGATCTAATGTTGGTTGATGCTGTGAAGCTGTTTTGGCTCCATGAAAGACCTTGCACCTGGTATCTGAGGTTCTGATCGATGCGTGGAGTATATGTCGAGGTGGGCAAAGACGGAAATGGCTGTGTTTCCAATCTCTCAAATTGCCGCGTCCAAAATTCGTTGGCCGAGGCATCATCAATCATGACCACATGCTTGACAAAGGCTTGGAACGGGACTAGAGTCGAGCTGGATTCACGCTCGTAGGTCTCCTGGACCATGTCGAACAGGAGCTTCAACGACCATGCATCGTATAAAGCGTGATGTACAGTCCAGACGAAAAATCGTTTGCCTGATTTGCAGTCTTGAACAAGACCTGTCCGTGAGAGCGGTTCTGTTAGACCCATTGTGCGGACCTTGTCCTGTTCAATGTATGTATCGAGATCGCTCCCGAATTGCCAGCAATGCTGTGGCTCTGTCACTACCTGGTAGATACCACCTTCTGGTAGCTGGACAAAGCTTGTTCGCAGTATAGGTGAGCTCTCGGTTGTGCGGTTCCATGCATTGATGAAACGTGAGGTGTCGACATCAGGATGCAATTCCTCAATGAAACGGGCTATATAGTTGGCTTCATTCTGCATGCTCAGTGCAAAGAGGCCGGCCTGAAGGGGTGTACAGTGGAAAATGTCTTGAATCTTCGTTGTTTTGTATAGTGGCAGTACATTGCATTTGATATTGTCCACGTCCGAATCGGAGCCCAACAAGGAAAATGGGCGGAAATCTTTATCATCGAGGCCGTGGTCTGTCTCTGCATGATTCGCCACTTCGGCAAGGTTTGGATATCGTAGAATGTCTGCGACATGGAGGAGGAGGCCCTCTTCCCTCGCAGCAGAGGCCAGTCGCATTGCTTTGATCGAGTCACCACCAAGTTGTAGGAAATTGTCATCGAGACTGATGGAAACGGCATCCAATTCCAAGATCCTAGCCCACAGGGCCTGAATTTGTACTTCTGCCTTGGTTTTTGGAACTCGTCGCACGTGTGTAGCTTTGCTCAGCGCATTCCGTGCGGCAATGGCGTCCCATGTGAGCGAGGAACAAGTGGCGCGGAGTTCGCGACGGTTCACCTTTTGAGAGTTCAGTTTGGGTAGTTCCTGTAAAGGTAAGAAGGCGCTAGGAAGCATATATAGAGGCGCCGACTCAGCCAATCCTTTCATCAAAAAGGCAGCGATCTGACCAACTTCTTGAAAACATTCGCGCTCTGTCTTGACAAAGCTCTCGCCTGGATAAATGAATAGTACAAGCGCAGGTTGATTTCGGTCTTTTGCCGTAATCACTTCAGCCACAAGGGCAACGTCAGACGCTTTGCTGACACCTCTGCGCTCTGGTGGCCCTGAAGAGGATTCACGGAGCAACTGATACATGTAGTCTTCAACTGCAGTGAGCTCGACGCGTTGGCCACGGATTTTGACCTGCGTGTCCTTGCGGCCAACAAACCCAAGAGAGCCGTCAGGATTATACCTGACCAGGTCTCCCGTCTTGTACAGGCGACCTGTTCGCCCTGGACGTGTAGAACCGTCTCCTTGGAGTAGCCACGATGGATTCTCGACAAACGCCGCCAATGTCTCTGTCGGGCTGCTCAAGTAACCTGCTCCGACAATGGGGCCTTCAAGCCAGAGCTCCCCAACTGCGCCAATGGGAGCTAGCTCACCATTGCTTGCAACAATCCATGTCGCGGCACCAATACCATTTCCAATCCCACGCTGGTGCTTCTCATTGGGGTTGATTATGGTCGATGTGCTATTGATTGTGCATTCAGATGGTCCATAAACGTTGATGAGCCGGACATGTTCTGGCCAGTGGGAATAGGCAGCTTCGGTAAGTGCCTCTCCTCCAAACACCACGTGCGTGACACTTGGGACCTGTGAGTGGGAGAGCAGCTCAGCAACAGACGGTGTAAGGTCCAAATATGTTGCTCCCAGTCTTTGGATGGAGCCGGTGAGATCGCGCTTTCGATCTAGCTCTGAAGGGATGCACACACAGCCACCAGCATACAAAGTATACAAAAGATTGGACCAAGCAACATCAAAGGCATAGGACGAGAAATCATATACGCGGTGCTCTGAAGTGTATCCTAGTGGTGATAGTTGATGCTTCATGGCGCTGCAGAAATTTCGATGATTGACGACAGCGCCCTTTGGTGCTCCTGTACTGCCAGAAGTGAAGATGACATATAACATGTTATCAGGACTGATTGCTGTGTTAGCATTGTTACGCTTCTTGGTGCGTTGCAAAGCGTCATGTATGTTGACAACCTGGACTCCAGCACAAAGCTGCTTGGCGAGCAGCTCATTGGATGAGGAGGACAGAATGACCTTTGGGTTTACCTGCTCCACGATCCGTTTCAATGTGTCTTCTGCCTGCGAAGGATCCATTGGCACACATGTACCGCCGGCTTTTATTGTTCCCAATATGGCAACTGGCGCCCACTTTGACTTTTCGAATAGCAGTGGAACGAGGATGTCCGGGCCAATGCCAAATTCGTCAATAAGGCAATGAGCTAATTGTGTCGAAAGGGAGTCCAATTCTCCATAAGTGAACTCTCCGTCCCAAGCACAAATGGCCGTCTTGCTTGGTTTCTGGTGAAAGGTTTCCGCCAGGAGTTTTGGCACTGATGATTCAACAGAAGCTGGTATGGTAGCGTTCCAATTCCAGATATCAAGTAGATCTTTCTTTCCGACCATGTTGAGACTTTCAATGCTCCTTTGCCTGTTTTGGTCAGAGCGAAGTTGTTGCAACAAGTGATCAAACTGCTGAGCGAGTCTCTTCGCTTGCGGTCGTGGCACAATGGCAGAATCAAACGTAATGCGCAAGTCCACGCCGCTTTTTTTTATGAAACACTCAATTTCCAACGCATTTGTAGCGAAAGAATCCTTCTCGCCCCCGTTGCTTTTGTCGGGGTGTTGCAACTGACAGAATAGGCTTGCATCATCCAAGTCTCTTTTCTCAGGATGCACCACTAGCAGTGTCTGAAAATCGCCCTTCCATTCAGTGTCATTGCAAATCTTTCGAATGTTTTGAAGTCCCATTTGCTCGAATGGAATCATTTGCGCTGCCTGATTTTGTACCTTGAGCATTAAATCATGCAGGCTGGTGGTCTGGTCGATTGACACGCGCACTGGAACAGTGGCAAAAGTCGGGCCCATTATGAGTTCGACACCTTCAACAGCTGCCTGTCGCCCTGTCAAGGTTGTGCCAAATACGGCTTCATCTGAATCGGTATGCCGCGCTGCCAGGATTGCCCACGCTGTGCGGACCAATGTCGAGACGGTAAACTCACTGGCGCCGTACTCTTTCCAGGTGATTTCATGATCCAACCTGCTGTCGGCGGTTGGGTGATAATTCTTTGAAGGCAAAAGAGGGAACTGAGGTGCATCCGAGCCCTCTAATTGTTGGCGCCAGAAATTGGTTCCTGCTTGTTCATCCACGCTGGCGACGTATTGTATAAATCGCTGAAACGGCGTCGAGAGAGAACATGAGTCGCCTCGGTACGTCTGATCAATCGCCTTTAGAAGCAAGGGCATCGACCATCCGTCGTATAATGCATGGTGGATGGTCCATACAAAATGCACCTTAGGGCCATTAGGGTTGGTGGCAAGAGCAAACTTTGTGAGAGCGGTCCCAAGCCCCATTGGCTCTTTCTTGTCTGCTTCCAGGTATTCTTCCAGGTTGTCTGTCCTGATGCATGGTGCTGGATCCTTGATGACCACCTGCACGAGGCCAGCTCCTTTCAGATCAACGATGCGGGTTCGTAATATGGATGCATCTACCGTGACTTGTTCACAGGCTCTGGCGAATCGATCCAGGTCGACATTGGACGGCAATTCATAGACAAATTGACCAGTATAGTGTCCGGAATGCAGAGCCGTCATTGCTAGAAGACCTTCTTGCAAGGGCGTGCATCCAAAAATGTCTTCGATCTGGTCGGGCTCGATCCTACACAGCGATGCGGCACTTTGTACGGCCAAGTCTCTATCCACAGCGGCGCCAAGCAGGGAAAATGGGGGAATACTCATCTGGTGGCCTTCATCCTTCTTGACCAGTAACTTGGCAAGCTGTTCCAGGCGCGGATGGGTAAAAATGTCCACAATGGTCAAGGAAAAGCCTTGTTCTCGAGCTTGACCGACAAGTTTCATCGCTCCAATAGAATCGCCGCCCATGCGGAAAAAGTCATCGTCCAATCCGATACGGTTCGTATCAAGACCAAGCACGCTTGCCCAAAGAGATTGCAACCGCCGTTCTTGGGACGTTTGAGGCTGTCGTCGCTCATGTGTTGCCGAGCCCAATGCAATGATTTGTTCCAATTTCAATAATGAATACGTCTGGCGTATCCGGCGGCGGTCAGCCTTGCCAGTCGCCGTCATATACATGTCTTCAGTAGGTATATAGGCGGTTGGAAGCATATGGGATGGTAGGACAGCGGACAGCTGCGCTTGGAGACCTGCGGCGATTGACTTTATGGCCCCGGTGTCCATCTTGTCGTGTTGATGTCCATCCTTCCTTGAATTTTGGTAAACCTGGCCAATGAACGCCAACAGAACTGGGTGATGGCTGCCAAGGGGGCTAATGACCTCTGTCACCACAATTCCATTGAAGTCGGGAGCAACATTGGAAAGGGCTCTTTGAATATGATGTTCAATCTCGCCGAGTTCCACTCGTTGGCCATTGATCTTGACCTGGGTATCTTTGCGGCCAACATAGCTGAGCGACCCGTCAACATTGTAACAGACCAAATCGCCAGTCTTGTAGAGTCGGCCAGAACGTCCCGCAAAGCCAGCACTGCCTGCCAGAAGCCAAGACGGGTCTTGGACAAAGGATTGAGCAGTTCGCTCGGGATCGTTGAGATATCCCTGGGCAACAAGGGGTCCCTCGATCCAGAGCTCACCTACTGTGCCAATGGCAGCCAGCCTGTCCGTGTCAGGGTCAACCACCCAGGTGACAGTACCTAATACCGTACCGATACCAAGATCCTGCTTGGACCGACCCACCTCTGCGTACGTGCTGACAACTGTACATTCCGCAGGGCCATATGCATTGATGATCCTAATGTCTTCCGGCCAATGGTCGAATGTGCCTGGTACCAACGCCTCGCCACCTAGATTGAGAGTCTTGAGCTGAGGAACCTGCAAAGGCGATAGAAATTGTGCAACCGTGGGAGTGAGGTCAACATAATTGGCCTCCAGATTACGCATGGACTCCAAAAGGTTTTGTTTGCGGTCTTCATCAGAAGGAACGCATAAGCAACCACCCGCGGCCAATGTATGCAGACAGTTCGACCAAGATACATCGAAAGCATACGAGGCAAAGTCATAGACTCGGGATGTGGATCTGAAACCAAGGGCTTGTTGATGGTTGATGGCGCTGGAAAAGTTACTGTGGCTGATCACAACTCCTTTTGGTGTTCCTGTGCTGCCAGAAGTAAAGACAATGTAGAGAGGGCTCTTTGAGGTAATCAGAGGCAGCTCGACGGATGGGTTGGCGAGGGTTTCAAGCTCCTTGTCCAATGTCAGCACCTTGTATGGTCCGAGTTGACGCGCCACGTCAATGTTTCCTCGTGACGACAGGATCAGCCGTGGCACCACCTGATCAACAATAGACTGTAGACGAGATCTGGGTTGCGACATGTCTAGATTGACAGAGACGCCACCTGCCTTCATTACGCCAAGTATGGCTACAGACGTCCAGACTGACTTTTCAAAGCACAAGCATATGGGGCTCTCGAGCGGGATGCCCAATTGTAAGAGTTGCTGCGCCAACTTGGTTGAAAGCGCATCGAGTTGCTGATAGGTGAGTCCTCCATCCCAAGCACAGATTGCGGGTGCTTCAGGCTGTTTCTGGACAGTTTTGGCAATCAAATCATGCACACACGCCGAAACAGGCTCGGGAGGAGTTGCGTTGCGAAGCCAAATCTCATGGAGGTCGGCGCTGCTTGCCATGCTGATTTCATGCAACTGTACATGATCCAAGCTCAATACTTGGTCCAGGATGTGCTGGAATTGATGAATGATGCGGGTCATTTGTTCCCTGGGGATAATTGTGCTGTCAAAAGAAATGAACAATTCCGCGCCTTGTTCTTGGAGCTGACACGTGATTATCAGTGAGCACTCTGCTTCGGCCTGCTCAACTGTTTTGCCGGCCTTGTGCCCTTCAGAGCGTTGGCCGCGAATATTCAGAATCGAATGCGCGCCTTCAGATTGCTCAGGCAGAACCACCAACAGCGTCTGGTACTGGCATGCCCGCCTCAGCTCCTCGCTTATTCTGCGAAGCCATTCGCGGCCAACTTGCCCGAAATGTTCAGTGTCCTCTTCCTTTTTCTGGACATGCGCCAAAAACTCGCTCACGCGCCAAGCTTGATCCATCTTGACAAACATTGGCACACCCAGTGTGTCAGTCGGTGAGAAAGTCGGGCGGCTGCCCATTTGGTCCCTTTGATGTGCCGTTGTCTGCTTGGCCACAACAGTTCCAAATATAGCTTGGTCGGAACTGGCATACCGGGCTGCTAAGATCGACCAAGCGGCCACAACTATCGTCGTTGCCGCAAATTTCAAATTGCGGAAATCAAGGCCTTGAATATTGTGATGCACGGCATCATCAAGGCGGGGCGTATATGTAGGCGACGGCAGACTAGGAAATTGCGGTGCTTCGGAGCCTTCAAATTCCTTTCCCCAGAACTCGACTCCAAGATCCTCGTGGAAACCAGTGCGGTGAAAGAAGAAGGCATCATACAGGCAGAGATCATCTTGTATGTTGTTGTCGTTGGGTTGGATATTGATGCTTAGTATGTACTCAATCGCATCACACATCATACCAGCAACTCCTTGCGCTGTGATGGGACTGAGGAAGCCGTCACGGTAAACAAGACTGACATCTGTGCTGACTCCATCGATTCCAACGACAACAGTGACATCAAACTGAAGGAAAAGATATGTCAGCAATTCATTTTCGTAACTGTGTGCAGAGGGAAGTATTCAAACCTCGTCCGGATCTGCCCCGTCGATTTCATCAAAGCTGAGGTCGCCATCATATTGCCCCTTGGCCTGGCGCGACTCGCGAACGGTCATTGCAGTGTTGAACAAGGGTCCACCATTGAGACCCAACTCGTGCTGGATCTCGGCGAGACTGGTATAGCGATAAGTCAACTGCTTGGCAGATTGCTCAAAAGTGTCCGAGACAACGTGCTGAGCGGTACCGTCCAGGTTGATGCGACTGATCAGGACATTGATCAATGGCCCGACCGTGTTCTCGATGCCGTTGATGGGTATATCACGACTTGATGCCAGATAGCCAAAGCAGACGTCTCTTGAACCAGTATACTGGGATAGCACAATGGCCCAGACTATCTGCATGAAGACTGAGCGTGTAATGCCCTTGCTCTGGCAGAAAGGGTGTAGTCCAGACGTTGTGCTCAATGGAAGGGAGACTCGAGTCTGAGACTTTGCATGTATGGGCGAACCAATGGCGCTCTCTGACGGAAAGTAGCACCTTTGGGTATTTGCGAGGAGCCGCGTCCAAAACTGGAGACTTTCAGCATTATTCGCATTCGTCACGTGTCGTATGTATTGGCTAAAGGGCGCGTTTGAAGACGCTGCCATGCCATCATAGGCCTTTGAGAGATCGCGCATCAGGATTTGAACGGATGCAGCATCAATCAGGGCGTGGGTAACGTCCAGCCGACAAGCCACATCGCCATTCCGGGCCGTGCATATTGTAAAGGCGTGCTCTGGTTCCCCAGCAGTGAATACTGGTCGTTCTAGCTCTTTCAAAACATCTGCCGGTCGCCTTGCATCAGAATTGATAACCGAGACCCTTGGAGATTGTTGTTGAAGCAGCACTTGGACGAAGTCGCCAACGTTGAGGCGCGGTACAAAGACGGTGGAAAGAATCGGGTGGTGCGCAGCCACGCTGATCCACGCCGTCCTGAGCTGCTCGGCAAGGATCGGACTATTGCTCTGAGCATGACACTCCCATACAAAATAGTTTGCATAGGATGCGGTTCCTTTGCTGATACTAAGGAGGATGCCATTTTGGAGTGAAGTGCAGGGGTAAATGTCTTGGACCCTGTCTATCGACACGCTCGCTTCGGGAAGTGTTTGACCAATCAGCGTGTCCAAATCCTTGTACGTGGTTTCCAGCAGAGGAAAGTCGCTGGGTGTAAAGTAAGGTGCCCGCTCGGACAAACAGGTGGCGGCGAGTGTCAACTTCTGCGCAAAGTTGGTCATCCAGGCTTCCAACTGCAGCTGGTACCGCATCTTTTCGTGGACTGCAAAAGAAATGCTCATGACACCATTGGCAACACCCACCAAGACTTCAACCAAACAAAACCTCTTGGCACTCGGCAGCGAGCTCAGTGATCTTCCAGATTCGCCAGATCTACCTTGAAGCTGGAAAAGCCCACTGCTCTTCTCCAACTGCTGATATACGCCGGTGAAATTGAGTGTTACCTCGGGAACGTCGTCTTCAGAAAAGAGTTGACCGTCTCTGGGCGTTCCATAGAGGTGATTGAAATAGGGACGCCCCTTGCCAGGGACACGACGTCGAAGGTCCTTGGCGATCCTGACCCAGTCGGCCATGTCTTGCTCGGCGGCCGCTACGGGAAGCTGAAGAGGGTACATGGTAGTGAACCAGCCCACGGTTTCTGAAAGATCAACCTCGACTTGGCCAAGAGGCTCCCTACCGTGGCCTTCCAAATGGACTGGGGGTGGCTGACGGTCTGCGAAAACTTGTTGGAATGAATAGTCCAAGGCTGCCACCAAGATGTCGGTGACTTCAGTACCAAAAGCTTGGTTGCTTTTGCCGAGCAAGAGATTGGTCGTATCAACATCTAGATGGATGTTGTAATTCTTGATACCTCCATGCGTATTTTCCGCTGCGGATATACCCCAGTACTCCAAGTTGGGGCGGTTAAAGGGAAAGGGAAGGACTCGGTCCAGCGAAAGTGACCGGCTTTCCTTTTGCTGCAATTCGCACCAGGAATGGAACGACGTCGGCCGATGCGCAAGGCTTTCTCCTTTTCTGACCATGGATTCAACTTCATGCCACAGAATCCGCCATGACACCAGGTCAATGACTAGATGATGGGCCACGAGCGACAGGAACTGTACTCCTTGCGCATCAGTGAGGAGACCAGCTGCAAATACTGGGCCATTGACAATGTCGATACTATCATGCTGAGCATTCACAAACTCATCGACTTGACCTATCGATGTTACAGAAGCTTCATCGAATCGAAACGAAGTCGGGCCGTTTTCGGAAACCACTTGCGTCCACTTGCCATGTTCATTCTGCTGAAAGCGTGCGCGGAGCATCGAATGCCGATCAACCACAACCTCCAACGCACTTTGAATGACATCGCTAGGGATTGTGTTGCGCAGCTTCAGCAGAAACCCTTGATTGAAATGGTTCAGACCCTCTGGGTGGAACTCGAGGAACATTTGCTGTATCGGTGATAACGCCCAGGCGATTCCCTCTGGTTCCTCTTCAACGAGAGAAGACACATGTGTCGCAACGGTGCAGATCTTTGCAATCTTCTGGATTGTTTGCTCTCGGATCATTTCCCCTACTGTAAGGAGAATGCCTTGAGATCGACACCGTGATACTACTTGCATGGCCGTGATGGAATCTCCGCCGATACGCAGGAACGAGACATCTGTCGAGATGTCGCTTGACCCCATGTTGAGTACTTCTGCCCAAACCTCCAGAAGGATTCTTTCGACATTGTTGGACGGGGTGATTCTCATGGTGTCTTGCTCTCTGAGGGTGCAAGCGCGAAAACTGGTACGTCCCATGTCGCGCAGCTGCCGTCGATCTGTCTTGCCGTTGTTTGTCATGGGGACTTTTCTGACTGGAATGAATGCATTAGGAACCATGTACGAAGGCAGAACATCAGACAAGCGCTCGTATAAACCATCTACAAGCTGATGAATTGCTTCGGACCACGCTTCTTCTGACTGGATTTCATCTAACCCCACATGGTCCGATTTCTGGTGAACAAATGCGACCAAAGTCGGATTGCTACTGCTTTCAGGCACTATCAAATCTGCCACCACAAGCCCGTCAAAGGGTTTAGGATGACAAACTTCATTAAGCTGTCGGCGGATGTGGTGTTCGATTTCACCCAACTCAACTCGTTGTCCTCGAATCTTGACCTGATTGTCTTTGCGGCCGGCGAATGCGAGGGTACCGTCAGGATTGTAGCGCACAAGATCTCCCGTTCTGTAGAGCCGACCGCGGCGGCCAGGATGGCTAGAGCATCCTTGGAGCAACCAAGAAGGATTCTCAACAAATGCTTCATTGGTACGATTGATATAACCTTGGCCGACTAGAGGTCCTTCTATCCAGAGCTCGCCGACCGTGCCGACCGGGGCCAGTGTCGGGGTTTCAGAGTTGGTCAAGATCCAGTTGGCGCTGCCGAGGCCTTTACCAATATACATGTCGCCACGTTGCAGAATTTTGGCATCGGTAGCGGCTGATACGACAGTGCATTCAGCAGGACCATACACGCTGAGCTTTCGCACGTTTGCAGGCCATGACTGGAAATCGGTCCATTTCTGTGGCTCGCCACCCAAGGCCACGCACCTGACATCTGGGAGGTTGTCAGGGTGTAAGAGCCGGCAGACTGATGGAGTCAAGAATAGGACAGTCGCCTTGAATCGAGCTATTGAATTCTCCAAGTCATCTTTTCGCTCCGATTCCGAGGGAACGCAAAGACAAGCACCGTGTGAAAATGCCTGCAGCACGTTGAACCAAGCGATATCAAAGCTGTATGATGCAAAGTCATACACGCGCTCACCGGGGCCGATTCCAAAAACAGATCCGTGATGTTTGATACCAGTCGAAAACGAAGAATGTGTCATGACTGCACCCTTTGGAGAGCCTGTGCTTCCAGAAGTGAAGAGCACCATTAGCTTATAGGATGGAAGGACGCTTGGCATTATGGTAACTGGCATCGTGTCCATAGTGGCAAAGGATTCTTGTCCAATGACAACCACATTGCAGCCGCCAACGCGTTGCGCCAGCGACTTGTTCTTAACCGATGAAATGATGAATTCTGGCTGGACTTGTTCAACGATACTCTTCAGGCGGTCCTCTGGCTGCGTAGTATCTAATGCGATCGATACGCCACCAGCCTTCATAACGCCCAGCATTGCCACCGCGGTCCATTTGGACTTTTCAAGACATAGTGGGACCATGGACTGTACAGAAAACCCTTTGCTGACCAAGTGGCGCGCGACGCGTGTTGACATTTCGTCGACTTCCTTGTAGGTCAGGTTTCCGTCCCAAGCGCATATTGCTAGAGCGTCTGGCTGCCTGCTTGCCACTGTCGAGATCAAGTCGTGCACGCAAGTCTCTTCAGCAGGTGGCACCTCCGAGTTCCACCGCCATATGTCTTGCAAATCGCTCGGGGACATGGTCGTGTTAACATCAGTCACGGATCGCGACGGAGGAGATTCAGCCAGTTGTTGCGTGACGAAAGCGAGCTGCTCGAGCATTTTCTGTGCCTTCCACGAGTCGATTGTCACGGAATCAAAGATGGCGACCATCCTGATTCCTGTCTGATTGATGAAGCACTGAATGGTCAATGCATAGGATGAGCGGCCGACGTCAGTCTCTAGACGTTTCCACTCGCCTACGTTGCTCGCAATGGCATGAGTCTCTTCTCCGGGCTGTACCACGAGCAGAGTCTGGAAGCCGCAAGCCTGGCGAGCATCATTGCCAAGTTTGGAGATTTGATGCAGACCGTACTGGCCAAATGAGTTCAACTCATGTCCTTGCGTCTCTATTGCCCCGAGATAGCTCTCCACGGTATCATTGTGGTTGACCTTGATACGCATGGGAGCAGTAGAGACGGTTGGGCCGATGAGGGACTGAATGCCTTTGAGAGCCTCAAGCCGACCAGAAATGACAGTCCCAAAGATGGTGTCCTCTGAATCATGGAAGCGTTTCATAACCAAGGCCCATGCTGCACGAAGGAGTGCTGTCCTCGAAATGCCCTGGACTCTGGGTATTGGAGGACAAAGATGCTCCACTGTGCTGTCGGCCTTTGGCGCATATGAAAGTTCTGGAAGTGCTGGAAAGGGCGAGTGTTGGACATTTGTGAGGGCAGATTGCCAGTACTGCTCTGAACCATTCTGGTTCTTACTGGCAATGTGTTCCACAAAGTGCTTGTATGATGGAAGTGGCTTGACAAGGCATCCATCATATCTCTGGCAGACTTGTTCAACCATGAGTGGGAACGTCCAGCCATCGTAGAGCGCGTGGTGGATGGCCCAGACAAACCACCGTGTCGCTCCCTGGGCATCCTTTACCAGTGTATAGCGCACCAAGGGGTCGCCAATGCCCCATTTCTCCGACTCTGTCTTCTCCTGACATTCTTCTAGAGAAGCTGCCTCGGACCATTCGACCTTTTTCGAGAGGACGACCTGCCTGAAACCGAGGTGATCGGAATGGGCAATGCGAGTGCGCAATACGGGGATGGCTTTGACAGCATCTTCAACTGCCAGTCGAAGCCTTTCAGTGTCTGCATTGGGGTTCAAAGACAAAACCACATGCTTCACATAAGCTGAAGAACCCTTGGTGGAAAGAGTGATCAAGGCTTCTTGCAAGGGTGTGCACTGATACAGGTCTTCTATCTCTGTGTGTTTGACATTCAGAGACAAGGCAATGCTCTGAGGGATGGAGACTGGCTCTTGACAGATGTCAAGGCCGTCATCAGTAGGAAAGATTGCGCCTGGAGCCATTTTCGGCTTCTTCACTTGAGAAAAAGGAGCTAATTCAACACAGGAGTTAAACGAGAAGGTATGAGTGTTGCTAGCTATGGGAATCTTGCAGTTCCTGGACAACCCTCCGTCACTGTCAGACCTCTTCATTTTATACTCGACATTCTCCAGGGACACCGACCAAGATCAGTTCTCATCGAGATCTCTCCTGACGATAATGACCCAGACCACGATCTTTTCGACGACGTTCTCATGTTCACCCGTGCGTGAGAAATTCTCTTGAAAGCGAGCAGTCCAATGGCGACATGTCGAACCACTCGTAGCACTGGGATTTGCATCCTCTCACGATGTTGCTTGAGCATGACCCTGGCTTATACTTCGTGACTATAATCCGTCAGCAGGAGCGCCACCGTAGAGCTCTATTCTGTTCTGGGATCACTAATCCACCAAAGGCATGGGTCTTTGAAACAGCGAAAGGAGTAGTGAATAATCGCGGATTATGGTGTCTCTGTACGTGCGTAATTGCTGAAACGAATGTCGAGTATCCCGATATCTAGGTAAGTGAAAAGAGTGTGAAAAGGAACATATAGGAACGCCAACCTCTTAGTAAGCTCTGCGTGATTCTGTAGGATTTTGACTATTTGAGTCTATTTTACGAGGGCACATGCATTGAATGAAATGATCACGCCAGGGCTGACGAGGAGAATTATGCATATATCAGTTTTTCTAGCATGAAGAGATTGGTATATGGATATAATCCATGTGCTTTCCTGAAGATGATTGGACGAGTAAATTGTGTTGAACTTGGTGGTCCAATCATGTTGAAATAAACCACCGACCCAGGTTTGTATCCATAAATATACACACAAATCTCCGTGTGCCGGGAAAGGGCGGTATTTGCCCTGATCTTGCACACGTTCCGTCCAGGCTGTTGCAACTACCCCTTATGAGAGGTGGAAGAAGCATGGTCACGGTCTCGGGAGACAAAAATAACGCCGCCATCTTCCGCCGCAAGCCGCAAAACTTCAACGGTCGAAAGGGACCAAGTTCGTTCGATGAGACGCGCCCCGCCGCTCGAGGTGAAAGAAAGAACATCTTTTAGTATATATGGCATGGCCGTCGCTTTCGTACCAGCCGCTCCTCCATTTAACGCTGGAAAAACCAGCTCAAACTCTATAAATTTTTCTTGAAAAGATCTGGCAAAGGGCGTAAGGGTTTTACGGACCGTCAGCGACGTAGCATGCTTATAATTTGCAAAAGGAACCGTAACGCGTCGTAGAAAGATGTAATCCGAGGTCTACCCTTTAATGTATCCAAATCTACGGTGCGACGGCAACTCCAAAAGGAAAAACTCCGGAAATAGAAGTCCTAGAAAAGAATCCCATTATCCAAGGAGGACGCTAAGGCTAGATATGCCTTTGCATACTAGGGATTACAGAACCTAAACGAGGTAAAGGCGGTACGTATATATAAAGTTATCGACGCGCTATAGCTAATAGCATAAATAATCTATTCCGATAAATCCTTTTACTAAAACTCCTTTTCGAGCCTAACCGCGTAGGTTTTTCGTTACCCGAGCGAGAAATTTAAAAAGGAATTTATAAACCTTAAGAATTATATTAAAGCTAATATTTCCATTATAGTTTAGGGGTCGATTTAGGCCGAAAAAATACGTAATATAGATATAGGCAAGCGCAGCTTATTAGTAGTAATAACCCGGGACCTAATGCCCGGTCCTAAAGGAAGGCAACGTGGATTTACTTTATAAAATTATTAAAAGTGCTTAAAAGAAGGTCTTTTACCATAATATAAAAATTAGCAAATGTTTTAGCAGGATAATGCCCTTATTTATAAATCGGATTTTATAAAGCAATAATTTTTTTAATACGGTATAGCTATTTACGAAAACTGGCTATTATATAGCCTAAATTTTAACCCTATTAAATAAATATAAATAATATTTAAAAGGAACCTTCGCAAAATATTCCTAAAGCTTTGGGACCTTAAGAAAAATATAGCAAATATAAAGTATTTTATTATTTATTTATATACGGCGTAAAAGGCAATTTTAAGCAGTTATATTATTAAATTAATTAATTTTATAAAAAAACGGCTTACCGCCGTAAAGCTAGCGCGTGGATAATATACTGGATTTTAATTTGTATAGTGAGAAAACGCGATATATAGTGTTTTTTTATTTTTACCATAGAAATTGATAAAGTTCTGTATAAGCGAAGTCGTGTATGCATATATAATCGGGTGGCTGGGAAATGGGGTGGACCGAGTATTTCTGGGACCCCACTGTAAACTTTAAAGTGATGAATACACCTTCCAAATGGTGCGATATCTCCATGTTGACCATGTCAGCAGCCATTCCCAAACCCACTTGCATGCTATCCCGTCCCTGATGACTGTATAGTATAGGGTGGAGCGCTGTGAGCGCCCACCGAGCGGTGAGTATCTTGTACCAGGGCAAACAATCCTTCATTGTTAGGGAGTGGTCAATACACTCGACTATTGTTTGAGTTCGTCTCCGCAATATATTCCTCAATACTGAGGTTATACCCGTGCCACATGCGCAAATCACCATGATAGGTACTCTGTATACCTTGATGAATCAGCACTCTGCAACACGTGGACAGTTGCGGACAAGTCCCGGATCAGTTCCGGGGACGCTAATGTAAATATTCCTTCCTTCGGAATCTCGCTTCACTACGTACTACACCCAAGTTGGGAAATACGAATCTGGATTTACGCCAAGCTGATTGGTCCGCTCGCGTTCTCTGGTCGCGTTGGTAAGCAGGGCGCCGCTTCATTGCATCCGCGAAACTTGGAAAACGCCGAAGCTACGAAAAGGACCAGTGTAGAACTTTGGCCATGGATCTCTTGCAAGTTCAACGTTGCCGGAAGAATAAGGTGCTTTGTGCCGAGGCTCAGTCAAAATTCATCATTTATTGCGTAATGCCCGCCATGTGCTACTCTTCGGTCGTCGATTTACAGACGGTAAGAGAGGTGAGCTTTAGGCGACTGGCAGCCGGTGCAATATTGGATACCTTGTAGCAACCTGGAAGCCTCAGCGGGATGAGGACCTAGGAGCTGGGAAGTGGACTGTGGGTAGCAGGGATCTCAAAAGCTTAGCGCTCAGATCACGGCGATACATGGCTCGCAGAATCATTTGCCAACATTCTTTTCATTCCTCTCTTCTCTATTTCTAAAGTAAAAAAAGCCAAGGCCCCCTCACCACCCTTAACAAAACACCAAAGCCACCCCAGCACCAGGCATTACCTACCTTGGCAAGTATGTACCTAGGTAGATAATGCAAAGCTTACATTGTGTCGTTCTCTTCCCAAAGTAAACCACGAAGCAATTGTTGTATACCACAGAGCACAATAACGAGAACTCTTTCCGACGCGCGCAAGTTGCAGGCTCTCTGCTTCACAAAGATGCAGTTGCAGCAGTGCAACGATGATGGGTTTGGCCCCGTGGTCAGGGGATGTGGCCGTGATTTTGACTTTACCCTCTTGTTCGAAAACACCATACTTTCCATTTTGCCTTCGGCACTGGTTCTAGTCGTCGCCTTGGGGAGAACATGGCATCTGTATCGCCAAAAGAAGCTGATCTCGGCTAGAATGCTCCAAGTAGTCAAGCTGGTCAGTTTTCACAGTCTTCGATAGTTTCCCTCAGTGCCCGGTTTACTAAATGTTGCATCTAGTTGACTCTTGCAATCTACACTGGGCTGCAGGCGGCTGTTCTCGGTGTCTGGTCCACACAACGACATGCTCCGTGGTCGAGCTCCTCCATTGCGGCGGCGGGGTTGTCGTTGTCGTCTGCCATTGCCCTGTGCGTACTTTCATATCTTGAGCATGGTCGTAATGTGCGCCCGTCGTCGGTCCTACTATTGTACCTTTTATTCTCTGCCCTGTTTGACGCGGTCCGCGCCCGTACGTCGTGGCTGTTGTCTCCAGGCTCAGCGCTCGCGGGCATTTCCATTGCTTCAGTCGTCTCGAAAGCCGTGGTTCTCGTCATGGAGTTGCACGAAAAGTCGGACTACATTGTGGCACCAGCCGAGGCATACGGACCTGAAAGCACCAGTAGTGTCCTGAACCGGAGCATCTTCTTCTGGCTCAATCCCCTTGTATGGAACGGCTCGCGAACAGTGCTCCGACCTGGGAATCTTGATGGCTTGACTCCAGAAATGACTTCGACTTCTCTTGGTCCACGTTTTCTCGATGCTTGGGCTGGGGCATCGGAAAGACGACAGAGCTATGCCACCATGCGGGCCATTTTGACCACTTTGTGGTGGCCAATACTCGGCACATTGGTCCCGCGAATTCTGCTCTTGGCTTTCACGATATGCCAGCCAGTCTTACTGCAAGCCTTGATCAGGTACTTGGGAGAGCCTTCTACCCCCGAGTCCGAATCAATTGGCAAGGGTCTCATAGGTGCGTACGCACTGGTATACATTGGAATTGCTGTAACTACTGGCGCCTATTGGTATCATCACTACCGAGTGCTCATCATGATTCGTGGTTGTCTGGTATCGGCAGTTAGCTGGCAGACGTTGAAAGTGAATACCCATGCCTTGGCCGATCAAAAGTCAGCCGTAACCCTGATGAGTACCGACGTTGAGAGAATCATATTTGGTCTGCGGAGCTTTCACGAATTTTGGGCCATTGTAATTCAGGTCGGAGTCTTGGCATATTTCCTGCAAAGACAGCTGGGAGTAGCGCTCGTGGTTCCCATTGTCGTCACAGTTCTCTCCGCTGTCGCGTCGGTCGCAGTCAGTCGGTCTTCCCATGCTCGTCAAACTGCGTGGATGGAGGCATCGCAGTCTCGGATCGGGGCGACTTCGAATATCCTGTCATCTATCAAGGCCATCAAGATGCGCGGACTGACAGACGTCGTGTCTTCCATTATCCAGCAACTTCGTGTGAAGGAACTTGAGCTCGCGGCAAAATTCAGAATATTGCTGGTGTGGACCGTCGGGCTAGGCTATATTCCGCAGTTCCTTTCACCTGTTCTGACATTTCTGGTGTTTGTCCTACAGGCACGAGCCACTCACTTGGTTTTTGACGCACCTCGGGCTTTCACTTCACTCTCCCTGCTTTTGCTTATTGCGCAGTCTTTGAGCCAGACTTTACTCGATCTGCCACAACTTGTCGCCGCTTTTGGTTCCTCTTCACGTATTGATGAGTTCCTGTCGGCCCAACACCAAAGAGATTTCCGAGAATTTGACCAACTCTCTGAAAAGGCAGTCGCTCTGTCGAGATTTGACAAAGTTCCCAAGAGCACAGATACTGCCAAGGTGAACCCCCTCAAAGAGCGTGTCCCTGAGCCCGCAAGTGTAGGAGACAAGGATAAGGATATCATTCGCATCAATCACGGCTACTATGGCTGGGGCACGATTGATGTTCTCCAGGATATCAATATCGCCATTCCGCGTGGTCAGCTCACGCTAGTCGTCGGACCAGTTGCTTGTGGCAAGACCACCTTGTGCCATGCGTTGGTAGGCGAGACGCCCACCGCAAAAGGCAGACTGCAGGTACTTGGTGACTCCAAGCAGATTGCCTTTTGCAGCCAGACACCATACTTGGTAAACGGTTCCATTAGGGATAATATTGTGGGCTTTTCCAACTTTACACAACCTTGGTACGATACCGTCATTGCTGCTTGTGCATTGTCTCAAGACATAGGCAAAATGCCTAGTCGAGACAATACCGTGGTTGGGAGTGACGGTATCAACTTGAGCGGTGGCCAGAGACAAAAGGTAGCACTAGCCAGAGCTCTCTACGCCAGGATCCCAATGATTGTCCTCGACGATATTCTGAGCGGTCTCGACAGCAAGGGGGCGAACCATGTCTTTTGGAACGTCATGGGCCCAGAGGGTGTTGCGCGACAACACAACGTGACAATTATATTTGCCACCCATGCCATAGAATTCCTTCCCTTTTGCGACCATATTGTCGCGCTGGATAGTTCTGGCCGAGTCGCGCACGAGGGAGATTACCAATCTTTACGCTCTCAAGAAGGGTTTTCCATGTACGTCAGCACCGCGCAGGATCGTGGCATAAAAAACGCCGACGGTCAGAGCGGTGGCGACGCAGAGGCCAGTCATGATGCGGCTGCTGAGCCAAGTACGATCGATGAAGTCATTCAGAACAACATGGGTGGTGACTTTACCGTCTACAGCTACTACATCATGGCGGTAGGCAACTGGGTTTCTAGTATTCTTCTACTACTAGTTGTACTTTACGCCGCCGCATATAACGTTCCAAGTTACTGGATCAATATTTGGAGCAGTGCCGCTGATCCGGGAAATCTCAAGTATTGGGGAGTCTATTCTGCATTGCAGCTCTTGGCCCTCTTGCTGTTGTTCGCCGCAGCATATCACTTGTTCATTGTGATCATCAACCGGGCAGGCTCAAGCTTGCACGCCCATCTTTTAAAGGCCGTCATGGAGGCGCCCTTGTCTTTTTTCAGCTCTACAGACGTTGGTGTCACAATCAATCGATTCTCTCAAGATCTTCAGTTGGTTGACAATGAACTCTCCTTGTCAATGCTGACGCTCCTCTTGACAGTATTCTTGTCGCTTGGTCAGGTCATCTTGATCATTGTTTCCAGTCCTTGGGTTGGAGTGGCCTTTATCATCATCATACCGGTATTCTACGCGCTGCAGAATTTCTATCTACGAACCTCACGCCAGCTCAGGTCTTTGGAGCTCGAAGCTAAGAGTCCATTGTATACGAGCTTCCTGGAGACACTGAGCGGGCTCTCTACGCTTAGGTCTTTTGGCTGGGCTTCCGAGACGCTGGACAAGAACCTGAAGCTTCTTGACTCGTCCCAGGAACCTCTCTACCTGCTCTACATGATCCAGCGCTGGCTGACGTTTGTCCTCGACACCATTGTCGCCTTGATAGCCATTATTGTTGTAGCGCTCTCCGTCGCCCTCAAGTCGAGCGGCGGGCTGGCCGGCGTGGCCCTGACCCAGGTCATGTCGCTGAGCATGATGCTAACAACCATTGTCTTGCAGTGGACCATTGTCGAGACCAGTATTGGCTCCGTCGGCAGGATCAAAGCCTTTGTGGAGAGTACGCCGTCTGAGAACAAGGATGGCGAGGATCTAGAACCGCCGCCGGCCTGGCCAACCAAGGGCAGCATTCAGCTCGACAATGTGAGCGCATTCTACGAGTGAGTGATCAGACTGTGTCGAGATGGGTCAAGTGGTTTCTGTGACTGACGAATGATTAGAACAAATCCAGACTCTCTCGTTCTCAAGAATATCAGCATAACCGTGGAAGGCGGACAAAAGATGGGGATATGTGGCCGAAGCGGCAGGTAAGGCATCAAACAAGATCATCCCAAAGTACAAGCCAGTATACTAAAAACACAATCATCAGTGGTAAATCTTCCCTCCTGCTGCTTCTTTCGCGCATGCTGGAGATGAAGGAGGGCTCCATCATTATCGACGACCTAGACATCAGCACTCTGCCTCGCAAGACGCTGAGGGCTCGTCTGAATATTGTCCCCCAAGAGCCCGTCTTTGTTACTGGTACCGTCCGCTTGAATCTGGATCCTTCTGGGGAGTTTTCAGATACGGAGATACTTGATGCGCTCAAGAGGGTTCATCTTCTCGACGTAATGGACGCCAAGGGCGGACTGGCGGCAGAGATGGACTCGGGTATATTGAGCCACGGTCAGCGCCAACTGTTCTGTCTGGCGGGCGCCATCCTTCGCAGGGCAAATATCGTATTGCTTGATGAAATCACGAGCAAGTAAGTCCATTGCTACTCACGACTTTGCTATAAAGAAATCTCATGCTGACACCTTTTTAAAACAGTGTGGACCAGGCTACCGACGCCATCATGCAGACAATCGTTCGCGAGCAGTTTAGGGACTGCACAGTCATTGCCATTGCGCATCGCCTGAGCACCATTGCCAACTTTGATCAGGTAGTGGTGCTCGACCACGTTGTCGTTCGTGAAGTCGGCAACCCGCAGCAGCTTCTTCGGGAGGACTCTAGATTCAAGGAAATGTGGGTGGAAAATGAGGCCTTGTAGGGTGGATTTGTTAGACTAGGGGTGAACCCAATACAGAGATGAGAACCACTTCCATTTGATTTGGATGGACTGAGTCCTGACACTACAAGCTATGCGGCCCAGTCTTTTGTGCAATGAGACCAGGCGGATCGTGGCTAGACACCCTAGACGGTTGCCAGCAGCTACATACAACAACAAGAATCACAGCTTGAGAGAGGGATTCGATAGGGAATCACGATCTTCAACAGTGATTCAAACCGTTAGTGAAAGATGAAAGACATTTTATCCTCAAAAGTAGTATTGATGTATGCCAAGACGAGCATCCCGCGGGAGCAATCGCTAGTGAGCGAGGCGATCGATTAATTGCGTGGGACCCTGGGAGCCCTACGGCGGGTCTGCTCCGGTTAGGGAGCCCCGTAGTTGCAGAGCCGCCGGAGCGATTAGCCCGGGATCGACACTCGGCATGAGATCATATCACACTGCGAGATAACGAAACACACGACTGAAATGCAAATTGTCCTTTTTTATTGCCCAAAGACCCTTAAAAACACATCCAGGGTCCGTAATATGTACGTTGGCTATAATGAATAACATCAGAGACTGCATTTCTATGCGATCAGAAGGGAAAAACTGGGGGCATGATGAAATCATGAAGTCAGAAGTGTGTCCTACCACCTATACACTTCTATGACGTATAGAGCTGTCAGACAGAACATGTGAAGTATATGAAGTCTCGAAATCCAGAGTAATGATCGAATTCAAATCAGATAATTCAGTCAATATTCTTCAATCAGTTGTGATACCCAAATTGCCCACAATTACAAGTTACACCTTGACACCATACAATACACATAACACACACCATCTCCAAAATGGCACCCGGAGACCACCAGCAGCACCTTCGCAACGTTGCCGAGCAGGCTGAGCGCGACCTCAACAGCTACCGAGCCAAGACGGGAGCCGGAAAGTTTTCTTCCAGCGACGACGCTGGCATCGACTCGCGCGTCGAGAACAGATTCCCCGGCGCCCAGGTGCAATACGACACTGAACTGAGCACCAACCGCGGCTACAACAAGCGCATCCCGCCCGAGGAGGGTGGTGACCTCGATGCCCGTGGAAGGTATGTTTGCGATCCGCGCTGGACAGTCCCATCATTATACTAACCCTTTATTCCTTCACCAGACAAACTCGCGGTGAGCACTTTGAGGGTACGGGCGGCCCCGAGCACAAGCTCGCACAGCAGCAGCGCGACTTTGGCGGCGAAAACACCTTTGACACGAGCGGACGACGACAGCCTCAGGCCTCGGACTCGTACGAGACTGGAAACCGCGACGTCATGTCCGAGGGCAAGCAGTTTGCCCAGGAGAACCTCCAGAGCGAGGGTCAGCCCCGAACCAAGGGCAAGTTCCCCGGCTCCGAGTACTATACCCCCGAGACCGTTCCGGGATCCATTTCCTCGGCTGGTTACGAGGCTCCCGAGTCGGTTACTCAGGCTAGTCGTGAGAGTGAGAACTATTAAGTTCAATTTGTCGAAAAGGACATTGTGTATTATATGTCTACTTTGAATAGCGTCTGGTGTTTGAAAAGTTACGAATAGTCATGACTTGCATTTGAATACACAAGCATTTGTGTCGCAGACCTGCCATTACAGTGAGTTCAGATTTGTGCAGCACGTTTATAATGAGTAGTACACGTTTCTGTATTGATTCACTTTTCGCAAATCCGTGCAACAAGATCTTCAATCTCACAAATGACCGAACCATACACGGCATTGCGCAACGTCGGTTTCTCCAGGTCACCGCCTTGCCCGAAATCGCAGTCGATACACTTGCGCACAACCTCTTGGAATCTGGGTCCCATCCGCGACGTCTGGCGCGCCAGTCTCCGGATGGCGACGACGTCGTCGGCGCTCATTGCGCTGCTCCATCGGTCAATCTGCAGCAGGGCGACGCCGAGGCTGTAGAGCGCCAGGTTGCGGATTCCGTAGAGCAGCTGGGCCTCGTCGCTGCCATCTTGAGGTTCAGCGGGACTGAGCTTTTCGTGCATGTAGGACTCGTCTCTCACTGCCGTGGTCGAATTAATCTGGGCGCTCAAATGTAGAGTCTGCAGACTTGTGGCCAGGTCTGTATCGTCATTGTTGCTCGGAAAGTAGTAGATGTTTTCGAGGCTCCAGTACGATTGCCACCATGGACTTGGATTAAAGAGGAGCATGCCGCGGGCCAGTGCCAATGCAAGTCGAAGCTGGTCAGGTATAGACAAGTTATTGGCGATTGATTGTTGCAAGACGGTGTGGAGAGGAAATGAGCTTTGGTTGGAAAGGGTCACACTTGGCCAGGTATCGGTTCCATGCCCAAGCACATGCCGAAAACCAGTCTCATCATCAATATACAGTACGGATGCAGTAGGAAGCGTTAGCGTGTTTGTCTTTTGGGAGATGGTGCCGCACACATCTTCTGCTTGGGACAGGTCCAAGGGAGCACATTGACAGGTCAGACTTGGTTCGATTATGGTTATTGTATTGGCCGTGAGCGTTGATGCTTGCGAGACTTCGTCGACATCCTTCACTCTCAATCTCTTGCTGGGCCGCGGAGCATCGCAAGAAGACAGAGACGCCACGCTTGAACATGGTGTCAATGGTGCTTGGAGACGATCCGCTATCTTTTGGGACATGACGTTTAGCTTGACCGTATCGCTATACTCTGATCAGTTGGACAATATTCTGGATCCCCGACATGCGTGGATGGTTTGGGTTACGCACGTAGTGGTTTTGAAGCCCGATACTGATCGGTTGCGCATCAGAAAGTCGACTGTTTCTCCAGCTTGACCTAGGAACAGAGCCAGGTCGTGATAAACATGTCTCGACTGAGAACAAGACCAGTTTTGCGTCAAGGCTTGGTAAAAGGATCGAGTGTATGGCGACAAGTGTTCATAATATGTCGGTATCTGCCTCGTCTCGTGTTTCTGAATTCTTGGCTTTGCTTGCTGAATCTGCTTGGCCGTCTTGCGTAGCCTCTTCAAATCTTGATTGAGCTCGTTGATGTTTTCAATCTTTGCCAGCCATTTCGATTTATGCTGTGTCACATCAATAGCTCCTTTGATACGTTGAGTTGTAGTCTGGATTTATTAGTAACAATTTTGAATCGAGAAAGGATCAGACTATTGCTCACAGTCTCTGTTGTTTCGAAAGACACGAGACTCAATTCCTTGTCAAGAGACATGATGATATCGTGAATGTCTTGCATCACATCCTTGAAATCATCGTGCCTCCTGCCAAGATACGTCTTGATCTGCTCGTCTAGCTGAGCCGAAGACCACAAGGGATTGTCTGGCTCCTCTATCATGAAAACGACATCAGCGGGGTCGACAATCTCCTGCAGTAGGAGATGGCATTCGTCGAGGAATACATGTGTTTCCTAAAGCAGTTTTAGTCATGGCATGGACTCAATTCCTACTTGAGACACACCTTTGTAAACTTTTTCCTTATCCTTTTGAGCTCCGACTTGGAATGTCGCAGTGTTTTCAGTGTGGCCTTGGCTGCTTTGATACCTTTTATGGCGCTTATACAAAGAGGTGTTATGCCAAGAATAAGTGATACAGGATCCATTTTGTGACGGTCGTGCGACCTTGGAAGCAATTCACAACATTCGTCATGAATGATGAGGGACCAGGAAGCCGAGAATGCAAATATAAGCAACAGAGCTGACAAGAGGATCTTCAGGCTCAGCGCCTAAGCCCCAATGTCGCCAGCGGGGAAGTGGTTCCTCTGTTCCCGAGCCGCATTTGCGACCAGAATCTGTCCAATAGAGGGGAATGAAATCTACTGCGCCGCATTCTTGCAGCCCAGCGGGATCATCCAACTCTGATGATGCCTTGTGCAGAAAGTGTACTCGGAATGAAATATATTTGATGAAAAAGTCTATTCCTCCATTGATACTGTTGAGTGAAAGCCCTACTCATGGTTGCACAATATACAGCTGGACCATATTGCAAAAGTGGGAGCTATGCACTCAGCCCAGGCTGGTGTGGATATACATCAAATGCAACACATGGATACTGGACCAGAGATCCAGCAATGGCAAAACACGGTGCTAGACAGCCACGATGCGCCCTCGGAAAAGTCGCCCTTGGCCTCTCTTTTTGCAGCCTGCTCCGAACTATTTACCCTACTGATCCAGTCTTTATCGCAAGAAACACCCCGGTCCCGTCTATGCGAGCTTCAGCGTAGCCATGATCGTCTTGTTCTCTGGGCCGATGCATACGGCATCGAGCAAGGAGACTTTGAAGGCAAATTGAAATTGTCGCAGCGAATCGGCGACTTTACCTTGAGAACCCTGAAGAACGTGTGTAGGGCTCTGACTCGGGGTAAACATTACAGACTCTTCTCCCTTTGCAGAAAGCTCTGCTGACATTGGCAGGACTTCTCCCGCTTGTTGATCAGCATGGCGCCAGAGCCGCGAAAATTTCCCTCAAGGCAGCAGATCTCTCAATCATGGCGGAAAAGCTGTCGGTACTAATCCAAGGTGATGACTACAGCGAATATTCCAGTAGTGACGAGTCTACAGACAGTGGCACTAAAGACGATGACGATACCACGGCCCATTCAGAGAAGCTGCGCGAGGTCACAAAGGATCTGACCACGGATACGGAATTTCTTCTAGATCTCGGCGCAAGATTTGACGAGCAGGTTGTGAACCCACTCGTCAACGAAGAAGCAGTGGACCCTCAAACGGTGGACGGATGGGATCCCTCGGAACATTTTGCTGAAAGAATCCGTCGCCTTTATCCTTCATGCGACAATGACTTGGCCAAGCGCCTCGGAAAGGCCAATTGGGAGCGAGTGCTCAAATTCCAAGAAAGCAAAGAAAGAAACGCCCCAGAGTCAGTAACTCTTGCCACGGCCATGTCGATATTCGTTGACCCGACACACCTACTACACGAACCAAAAGATACGACTTCGCTATTCAATGACTCTGGCCTGGGTACATCTGTACAAACCAGCAATCACCAAGCTCGCAGCAGATATGCCGCGTCACTGACCACCCAAGGTGGATGGAACAACAACGTATTGAGTATACCCAAACTTTCAACACGGGCAAAATTGGGCAACGAATTCAGTTGCATTGCCTGTGGAGAGCGATTGAAAATTCAAGATGAAGCCAAGTGGAAGTAAGACACCCGATGAGCCAACTCAAAGCCTACCTCTTGCCGACGTATGATGCTGATCATATATACCTGCAGCTCTCACATTATTACCGACCTTCAGCCGTACATGTGTTTGGAGGCCGGATGTGAGAGCCTAGTTTTTCTTTCGAAATCGAGCTGGATACGACATCTCAAACACTCTCATGACTCGTTGTATGACTGGACTGCAATAATTGCAATAATATGTCGTTTCTGCCACGAGCTCCTGCCTTCGGGAATGGACAGCATCGTGGAGCACTTGGCTGATCATTTAGAAAGTATTTCAGTCATGGCACTTCCCACGGACCAAAGCACTGAAACCCAGCCCCCGAGCACGTCGGCTCCGGCCCATCAGCCACCTTCTCCAAGCCAACAGCTCCCCATGTCCGCAGCTTCTCAAGTAGAAGTTGTATCAAGTACTGAGAGCAAGGTGGAAAACTTGTCAACAATAAAGCCTACACCATCGGCGGCATCCTCAACCAAAGACTCTAAACCAGTGGCTCGAGTACTATATGACTTTGCGGGACGAGAGCCAAACGAGCTCAGTGTAAAGGCCGGTGAGATTATCGAGATTGTGCAGAAAGAGGTCAACGGTATGAATCAATGCTCGCTTCTGGTAATCAAAGTCCGTCCGGCTGTACTAACTATTGATAGGCTGGTGGTTGGCCAGGAGCGTCCAGGGCCAAGCATGGGTTCCATCCACTTATGTCGATGAGGTCGTACCAGAAGCTCCAGCGCTTGCACGACAACAAGATCCACAGCCACTAATTTCGGTGAATCCCTCTCTAGTTAAGACTAAGAGAAAGAAAAATAGTCGAAGAGTCTCTCAGAATCACAAGCAACAAGACGTCCAGCATGGAACAAGCGATGATGCGTTCGATTCAAGGGATTCTGATACTTTTGAAATCGAAGAATCTATGATTGATTATAGCGATGAAGAACAACAGGATCGCGTGGGATCCGTACGCAGTGACGCCCAGGCATCTCCGGCCCCAAGTCAACTTCTTCACCATGTGCCCACACAGCAGACTCAACCATATGAGCAGCCGCAACTCGACATCGGCAGGCCTACTAGTGTGACCGCTGGTTCAGTTCCTCAGCTTGGGTACCAACAACCTCTACATGTACCAGGACATCGTGAAATGCTAGAGATGCATGAAGCACGCCGGCAACAGCGATTGAGGTTGCGGCAGCAGCAAGCTCAGGCTCAGGCTCAGGCGCAGGCGCAGGCGCAGGCGCAGGCTCGGACCCAGGCCTTGAGGATGGGTCAAGGGGACTCTTCTCAGGCCTCGCAGAGTGATGCATCAAGCCTCACGAGCGCTACCCGAGACGGAATGCAACAATCAGTTCACGATCACATGGCTCCAGGCATGGCTCATAATCCTAGCCAATCCAGCCCTACCATTACCAAGGACATGACGAACTACTTGGCCCCAGAGCTCTCACCTGAAGGCAGTGCCATGAATCAAGAATCTGAACAGCCGCATATTTCCGCAGAGAAAGACCCAAACAGTGACAACGAGTCGTTTCTGGAGGAGCAACAGCTTCCTACCTCTAAGGCTAGATCAAAGACGCGGAGTGATTTCCCGTCTCGGGCTTGGCTTGCTTCTATAGGCCTGCACGGTTTTGAATTCTCTGATTCAGTCACGTATCCGACACCTGCAGATGCTCCAAAAGCTGGTGATTCAATAAATGGTTTCGCAATGGGCCCTGAATTTGCTATAAGCGATTCTTTACTGGAAAGTTTATCAGAAATGCCACCGCCTCCAAGCCCCAAGAGTGTCTCTGTCCATGGCTACCAGCCGTCAAGTGGCCCTATCATGTTGTCATCAAAGCATGACTTGTTGGCTTCAGATGAGCCTGATAAGAGAAGCAAAGGCAAAGAGGTTGAAGGTTTTCTCGAAACGAGCACACCGAGCAGCTCTCTGACAGCGCGCTCGTCTGCCGTGAGTGGTGTCAATAGTCAAAGAAGAGGTGAACCTTTACCACCCTTCATGGTCGACAATGCCAGAGATCCAATTGCCGTGAAAAGAGCCCGCAACACGTTGGCTGCTCGCAAATCCCGCGAAAGGAGAGCTCAGAGATTGGACGACTTGGAACAAAAGATAGCAACACTCGAGGCGGAACGGAATCATTGGAAAGAGGCTTTTTTGGCAATGGGCCAAGACAAATCCAATGAGGACACAACTGGTGCATCGGTCAATGACAAACATGAATAAGTGGTCAAGGTCTATGAATATACAGTTATCCCTCTGGATGAAAGCGCCTGCTCAGCGTAGTTTTGTGTCTGACTAATGTAGCCATCTATAACTCCCGCTGACAACAGGCCACTGTTTTTGTCCCTGTTTATTATTCTTCGCGTCCATCATACACATTATACCAGTGCTTCACGGGAATGAATGTTTCAAGATCACTCTCTGGTGCTTTCATATGAATAAAAGAAAAGGCAATACAACTCAAGACCACGTTTGACCTCTGGAGGTCAAGAGAGATGCTTTCAACCACAACGGACAATCTTGTTACTTGAAAAGACGTGCTCATCTCAAACAATGCAGCGATAGTGGAAGCACAGCTATCTTGGAAGCCCGCTAACAAACGGCGCCGTGCAGCTTTGGCCCTCTGACAGCTTGGATTAGTGGGGTAGCTCCAGCGTTCCCCGCGATCCTACAGCGTTCAGCAGCAAATCGGACTTAAGCGCGACTGACCCGACGCGATCGATATGCTTGCATCATTAAAGATAACATCAGCCGGCGGTTGGATGGGCGTCACAAACGCTCAACAGTTCAACCTTTTCCCAAAGTCTTTACCTACATTAGGTACAATTGTGCATTTAGACAGCAGGATTTGATTGCCCACTTCCCGTTAATATTGCATCTCTTCCATCCCCTTGTCGACGAGGTCAGTGGCATTGCGTTCCAGGGCCTCCTGGTCAGGTCCATGCCTCCGCCTTCAACAACGCCAGCATTGCCACGGAACGGATCGGCCAGCACTGCCCATTCAAAGCACATCAAGCCATCGACCGACTTGTTCTCGAGCAAGCGACGACCTTCTGAGAGCCAGCCGACGGGCCACGACCTCAAGCGACCCAAGACTACGCCGCCGCCGGGCCAGTCGGCAACACACAAAATGAGCAAGGTCCAGGGCAAGCGGCCTGTCAATGCCGACTTGATTGACCTGACGAAACCCCGCGGCGCCAGCGCCTTTCAACCCAGCCAGGGCGCCAAGAAGCTCGTAATCAAGAACTTGCGCACCGTTTCGAGAACCCATGAGCTGGAACAGTACTATGCCAAGGTCTGGGAGGATCTCGATGCCGCCCTGCAGTCAGTATTCGCAAGACAACAGCCCAGAAAGCCACTCGACACACTGTACAAGGGCGTCGAGAGTCTCTGTCAGCATCTCCGCAAGAAGAACATTGACAACAAAACCCACAATGAGAACAAGCTCTACGAGTTCCTACGGCAGCGATGTGAAAACTATCTCAACGTAGAGGTGGTCAAGTCCATCCACGGTGGAGCTGGCGCAAACCCCGTCGAGGTTCTAAAGAGCGTGCTCAAGTATTGGGTCATATGGTGTCAGCAACTTGTGAGTCCGACAAATGTCCTACCCATCACCGATTGCTAATTTGAACAGGCCAGCATTCGATCGATATTCAGCTACCTGGACCGGACCTTTTTACTCAACTCCAAAGATCACCCCATGATCAATGACATGGGTATTCAGCTATACAGACGAATGTTGTTTGTGTCTTCAAAACTCGGATCTACAGCACTGACGGGCATCATTGACCTGGTCGACCGCGACCGAAGAGGAAACCCCAGCTTTGAAGCCTCGCTACTGCGCGAGTCCATCTCCATGCTTCATGTCTTGAACATTTATGGCAAATCTTTTGAACCTCGATTTCTAGAGTCGTCACGCAACTATTTCGAAGAGTTTGCCGAGATCCAAAGCGCCTTGTCTTTAAAGTCTTATATTACTGCCTGCAAGCGACTGTTGGCAGCTGAAGACCACAGATGTATTGCATACAATTTTGACAGTCTGACAAAGCGCCAACTCATGGACAGCGCACATTCTACCCTCATCGAGGGCTATTCTGAAAAGCTTCTTGACACTGGTAGTGTAAGCAAGCTGCTTGATGAGAATGCCGTCGACTCCATGCAAGCACTATACGAGCTTCTGCGGCTCTCCTCAATCCAGAAGAAGCTGCGTACCCCTTGGGAGGAATACATCAGAACGGCCGGTGCAGTCATTGTCAATGATACCGAAAGAGGCGACGAGATGGTCGTCCGACTGTTGGAGTTTCGAAGAGCATTGGATATTATGGTACGCGATGCTTTTAACCAAAACGACGACTTTACCTATGGCTTGAGAGAGGCATTCGGTCACTTTATCAATGACAGAAAGATATTGTCTTCCTGGAAGACTGGAACATCAAAGGTTGGCGAGATGATTGCCAAATACATTGACATGCTTCTCAGAGGCGGTCTAAAGACGATTCCTCAATCATTGCTATCAGACAACAAGGACCGCATGGTAGCGGAGCAAAGTGGTCTTGCCAGCACTGGAGATGAAGATGCTGAGCTGGATCGACAACTGGACCAAGCCTTGGAGTTGTTCAGATTCATTGAGGGCAAGGATGTCTTTGAAGCTTTCTACAAACAGGATTTGGCTCGAAGATTGCTCATGAACCGCAGTGCTAGTGCTGATGCTGAACGCAGCATGCTGACCAAGCTCAAGAGCGAGTGTGGTTCCAGCTTCACCCACAATCTCGAGCAAATGTTCAAGGACAAGGAGCTTGCGCGTGACGAAATGACCGCGTACAAGTCGTACCAAGAGAATACTGGCAATGACAAGGCACCGGTGGATTTGAACGTGGACATTTTGTCGGCGGCAGCCTGGCCAACCTATGGCGAAGTATCGCTCAACCTGCCCGCCAATGTGGCTGCCCAGATTGAACAATTTGAAAAGTTTTACCACAGCAAGCACACAGGACGTCGTCTTACTTGGAAGCACAACCTGGCTCACTGTGTTGTCAAGGCCAAGTTCAACAAGGGCTCAAAGGAGTTGCTCGTCAGTGCCTTTCAGGCTGTCGTTCTGGACCTTTTCAACCAAATTGAAGGTAAAGGCGAAGAGTTCCTGACCTTTGATCAGATCGCCAAGGCCTCGGGACTGGGAGATGGCGACCTTCGTCGCACGCTACAATCCCTTGCTTGTGGCAAATCTCGCGTGCTATCCAAGTTGCCAAAGGGCAAGGACGTCCAGACAACCGACACATTCAAGGTCAACAAGGCTTTCACGGACACGAGATACCGTGTCAAGATTAACCAGATCCAACTCAAGGAGACCAAGGAAGAGAATGAGGCAACTCACCAAAAGGTTGCAGTGGATAGACAGTTTGAGACTCAAGCTGCCATTGTGCGCATCATGAAGAGCAGAAAGACCATGACGCATGCCAATCTGGTTGCCGAAGTTATCAACCAAACCAAGAGTCGCGGTGCAGTAGACACGACAGAGATTAAGAAGAACATTGAAAAGTAAGTTGGACATTCATATCAAAAATGGTGATGCTAATACTTGTTTAGGCTCATTGAGAAGGATTACCTAGAAAGAGATGGTAATTCTTACGAGTACTTGGCATAAGATGATCTTGAGGAAAGTCCATCAATCATGTCTTGATGTGGTACTTATGAATAAATGAATCATGAGATGAGTACGTGCAGCAGAAAGCACTATCGGCAAAGCTAGACATGGAGGCAGACACGATTGGCCCGGCAAGACATCCATGAGAAGTTGCGAAGCAGGAGATTCAAGCTCGTGTGATTGACTTGCGGCCTGTATTACACAGCGTGGTATTTCTGCAGTGGGCGAGAGGCTTTTCACTCGACTAGTTGGTCTTTCAAGTTGGCTATTCACCAGCATGAGGAGAGGGATTACCATGCCTTGGAGTGCCACGATCGCAGGGAGACACCTGGTTTTCGCAATGAGTGTATCAGAGACGCAATCCACAGATGTGAATAAGAGTCCAGGTGTTCAATAGTATAAATAGACGAGATTCAAATCCGAGGAGAAGCTTCTTGATTCCCATCAGATAAAACTTTCGGTTACCAAAAAGTCCCAACAGCAAGTTTCTTCACCATGGGTTGTACATCCAGTAGATATCTTGATGATTATGATTATGATTATGACCAACGTGGTCCACGGCCTCGGCATCAATCCAGCCATGGCCATACCCACGGTCACCGCGACAATAGAGGCCCGCGCCCTCGACGTCGCTCCGCTGATGCTTATGGACCTCCTCGCCAGTAGGTAGACCATGACACTTTTCCGATGTATTCAAAGAAACCTGCTAACTTTTTACCCCATAGCCATAGTAGCCGCCGGGCAAGCGAAGGAGGACCGCTGAGAAATCAGGTAGCCTGGCACGGCTCACAACCAACAAACCACCTGTTTGATGTCGTGGGAGACCTTCGCGGCGACTCGCGTACCTCGTCGAGTCGCCCGCGCGCAGACAACATGATCATGAGCCCCTCGTCGGGATCGCAGTCGGTACGGCACAAGAAGATGGGGACAAAGTATTCGAGGAGTCAAGACTATGGAGACGTTCGCGGACGTAGTAGATGAGCTTCTCGTGCTTGATAGTATAGAGCTAGAGCAGCCAATTCGCACAACCTGGTTTGTATATGCGATTCCTGTTATTTCACAGCGAGGACATTAAAGACTAGCTCTTGAGTATCAATAGATAAAAATAAAACTTGGATTTTTTTTTCTGTTACAAGAACTTGTGCCCAAGGCTGCCAAGAGTCATGAATATGATATCAAGAGGCTCTAGATCATGCCATGCTTTCATGTGGACAGTGTAGGCGGGTTCCTTGGCACAAACTGATTGGTCCATCTCCGTTCAAGTGACTGCGCCTCGATGCCATTTGGGGGCGCATTTCCGCTATTATTAATGTCACAGCTCATCCTCAAGAGCCGCAAATAATACTTGGCATTGTCTTCCGCAATTCCGATCAATGAACAAACGCGGGCTGGAGTGTCGATTTCCGTGTGTCGGGCTCGGGAGATATTGCTGCGTCTGCCATCCAGGATCTTTTTCGGGTGACACAATTTGCAGTGAATCCTCTCTTACGTGACTTCGTTTCAATTATTTCATTGGCTTGCTATAAATGGAAAGTACAATTTTCTGTTGATCCTTGTCCTTTGGAGACGAGGCTGCCAAGGCTGTAGTTGTCATTTGGAGCTATTGAAAAGTCTTGCTGCTGACGGCCATCTTTTCATTGAACACGAAACTTGAAATCACCTTTCCAACCCGAAAAAAACTCCAAGGCAGGTTCATCCTCGAGGCCGAGCTTCTGTGCAACGTCAGCTAGTCGCCGGATGACGAAATCTACATCAAACATCATGTCGTCGAGTGTCCGGAAGCGAGTCATTGCTTGCGTAGACGGCACATGGTTCAACGAAGACGGCCAAGAAGGTAAAATGCATAGTCGCGTACAATATAAACTGAACTGACTGTTTTGGAATAGACAGGGGCCAAGGGAACAATAGCAATGTCTTTCGTGTCGAATCTTCGATCCAGCAGGGCATGGTGACCGATGTAGATGGTCGCCAGATTGAGCAGGTAGGCCTCGTCAAGAGACAAAAATGATGCATCACTGGCCCTGACTCTTTATAGATTACCCGGTACTATCCTGGTATCGGCGTCGGGGTCAGTCCCTTTGAGAAAATCAACGAGGGCATCCTTGGCCGGAGCTGCGAGAAGCTAATCGATGAGGTGTACGATGTGAGTACCTTGCTCTCAACAAAATTGCTTGCAAGAATTCATCTCTTGGTAGAGATCTCAGACTTGCTGACGGGCTCCAAGTTTTGCGTAGACAATATCGAGACTTCAAACGATGAAGTGTGGCTTTTTGGGTTTAGTCGTGGAGCCTGTGGGTTTCCAGTATCATCCAGACAATGATTACAGATGCTGATTGTTGTTTCAGTCATTGTCAGAGCAGTAGCCAAACTTTTGTGCAACGGCGTCATTCCCAGATCCAAAGGACCACAAATCAAGTCCGTGTTCAAAAAGCTGGGCAGCGATCCAGGAAGTCACAACAGTGGCCAAAGGCAAAACATTGTGTGGGTATACCAAGGTCCCATTCCAAGCAAGGTCACTGACATGTCATGATGCAGACGTAACCATGGCAAGCCGTTTCCCAGAATCAGATTTCTTGGGCTCTTTGACACGGTCAAGAGAGCCTTGGGGCTGAAAGACTTCCCAATTGTCGACGAAAACCGCATCGAGACTGTCCGACATGTAATGGCCCTCAATGAACACCGCTTGGCTCGCTACCCAGTCAAAGCTAAAGATGACACTCAATATATCGATCCCTCTCGGTCCATCATAGAGGCTTGGTTCATAGGAAGCCATCAAGATATCGGCGGTGGTGCTCTCCATGACGGCCTGTCGCTATACCCTTTGCAATGGATCTTGCACGAGGCAAGAGCCAACGGACTAGTTCTCGGGCATGGCCCCAAGGAACCGCACGATATCATCTCGGATCCTCTTCAGCTCGTCCTCCCGGGACAGTTTCCTTCGGTACCAGTATCTGGACCTTTGAACAACAAGGGCGCTCCGTGGAGATTTCGGTATTCAAACCAACTAGAGGTTTCCATGTATGACATTCGCGCTGTACACGGTGTGGTAGACCTCAAGACTCAGAAACAAAAGCTCACCAAACGTTCGGCTCCACCATCTCTCGCCACTCACAATGTGCGCCTCAATGCGGGCGCTCTTGATAGTCTAAAGCTGGGTGATCGGGGCGTCTTTGGCGAACGCCTAGGCAAGCTCAATGGATACAATCCAGACTGTAAGTTTCAAAGGCATCACCGTTGCAAGATGCTAATGCCACGTATAGCTCGATCTGGAACCATTGTTCATCCTTCAGTGTATCTGCTGGTAGAGTCATACTGTACACCACATCTTGCCAGCAGCCTCGAGGGGTTGCAGCACCATCTGGAGAGTTTCAGAGAGGAAGCCATGCTCCGAGCTTTGGCGCCTGATGGTATTGCTCTACTAGACGTTTATCCCTGGATCAGAGACTTTAACCCCACAATGGCTACGCCAACTTGCCGTATACTGATCTGTGGAGGCGCTGGAGTGGGCAAATCCACCATTTTGAATCGTGTCTTTGGCATGTCCTTGGTGAGTGTCCATGTCATGAAATGTCGAATGATGAAATTAATTGCTGTGCTCCAAGACTGGCATCAGTAGCATGGAGCGAGGTGCTCATGATGTTGAAAACGGCTACCAAGATGCTCAGCACCCCGGTGTTATCATTCACGACTCGGAGGGATTTCAGCAAGGTGGAAAACAGGAAGTCAAGGCCTTGACAAAGTTTCTGGAAAGACGATCTGGTTCGGTTGACATGAGAGAGAAACTCCAAGCGATTTGGTCAGGACCCTGAAAGCTCACACCTAATGATTTCCATTAACATCAAGTCAGGTTATGCATTCCAGCAGATGATGAGAGACCCGTCCAAGAGGGAATGGCCAATGTTCTAAAGGAAGTTGCCAGAATCACACCAGCTACGCCAGTCATTGTCGTGTGCACGAAAAAGGACAAGCTATTGATGAGCAAAACCAACAGATTTTCGTACGACGATATTGATGCAATCTGCCGAAACGATCTCCTCCCAGACGACAAGTTGCTGCGCAGGGAGCGAGAAATACTCGAAAGACGACAAGAAAGGATTGAGCTTGCCATAACCAAGGACATACTCACCAAGGATGCATGGCACTTGCTGCAAAACAAGCGATTTCAGTGTGTACTAGGTGGTGAAGTGCCAAGTGATTCGTCGGAAAACGCTCAATGTACGGCCCCTCGTCTAGACGTGTTGAATTCACAACTCTCTATATCACGGGAAAACTAATTGGCTACAGACGATGCCCGGTCCATTACCGAGCTGATACAGAAAACGGCGGAGCTGATCGAAGATGGATTGGCAGCCGACGGTATGATTGCGGCACAGATCCAAGACTTGGATATCAAGATTGACCGTGCCGTTGAAAAGACGCTGCAATTTCTTCGAAAAGCAATGTTTACCTCTACTTCCGCCGGTGTATTAGTGGTTGCCAATGCCGTAGGGACGCCGACGATTGCTCGACTCTTGTGTAGTGAAATTGTCACGGGCTGTTATGGCATTCCCAAACACATGGCGGCCAAGGCAGAAGGCCTGCTTGCCAGGATCGTCGGCAAGAATAGTGCCCTTTTTATTGGCCAGAGCATTGTCCAGAATGTTGCGCTGCTCGGAGTCGGCAGTATCTTTCTCGAGGCCGCAACCGCTGCGCGCGTGGTGCTCAAGTGCGCGTGCGACCTCATCCTCATCTTGGACCGCGCGTTTCGACTAGAAGGGCGAGCAAAGTTTGTGGGCTATGACAAGATTAGCGCCGTGGCCCTCAGCTACGTCACCAGAGGTAGAGGTAAAGAAAAGTCTCGACGGAGCCAGGTCCACGCAGCCATCAACAACCTCATCCCCCTGCTGTCAACAAGGCTGGTGGCGTCGCACTTTGGCGCCAGCATTCTCAAGTACAGATTGGAGATCAAGGACATACTCATAAAGTATCGCTTGGAAGAGGGTGATTACAGCACGCCACGATACAGTGTGAGCGAGTATGAAGACAAGTTGTCATTAATGGCATCTATTGAGGAGGATCAAGAGGATGAAAAGGAGCTTTCAAAGGGTCTATAAGACATGTGATTATTAAAGTTGACTAGTTTAATGAAGTTGTATTGTTCCACTCCATTTATAGCAGGACCAAATAGTGACATAATCCACCAGTATAGCGGGTAGCAAAGAAAAGGAGTATATTATTCTTTGGGATATGAAAAGCCAAGATTCGAATTTGAGAAATACATCTTTGACTTGCCCATTTCCAGAGCCTGTCAAACATGAGCTGACGAGATTCTTTCCCGCGACTGTATATCACGAATTGCAGCATCAAAGTCGTGAAAAATACACATGGAAGCAGTCATGTGTCCTTGAATCGACCGTCTTCGAATCACCGTGAATGGTCTACATCGCTCCTCAGGCTTCACTATAGAGTCCAGTATCCCAGATCCTCAGCTCTCCGCTCTTTCTATCATCATCGGTAAACAATCCGTTCCACGCGCTCCAAGTCTGCTTCAACACGACACCCTTGTCGCTACCCGGTCCATTGGCACCAAAATACTCCTGCAATGCAGGCTCGATGCCTTCATATCCAACAATGTACCTCGGAAGTTCTTGCTTTTTCCCATTGACAGGCCACAGCTCGTTGGCAAGGAAACCGACCTTGTCATCATCAAAGCGACGGTCTTCTGGGACATAGGCCTCCCTTTCCGCTGATCCAGGTGCGGTATGAAGTGGGGGGTCGCAAGTCAGAGCGCGCGCCCTCAAGGCCGGGTAGACGAGATGTGAGCGCCATGGCGTGGCATGACAAGGTGTCAGGAAGAGTGCAAAGAGCTCAAGTGGTTCGGCAGTCTCATTGGCGTAGACAAAAGGCATGGGCATTGTCAAGTTTTTTGGGTGGATTCTCTGGAAATCTGCACGGAGCTGATCCATGACCAGTATCGGCCCAGCAGAATGAAAGTACGACAGGTATGCTGCAATCACGATATTGACCAAGAGCCCGACCACGACAAGTGGCTTGCGTTGGATACCCACTGCACCGCGCGACGTGGGGATACCATCTGCCTGCGGTACAATGAAAAAGGATGAAATGTAGGGGCCAGCAAGAATGTGCAGTATGGGTAGCAGAGGATATATGAAGCGAACCTCTTTGTGGACGATAAAGGACAGCGTTAAGATGGTAATGAGAACCGCAAAAGCCAAAGCCTTGAAGGCATTCTTGGCTGCAAGTGAGGCGGTCGCGTTTTCTCGAAAAGACAGCAATCCCATGACGGCAAAAGGGCTCACCGTGGTACACGACAAGGTGATTCCCTGGGACAGGTAGTAGTGCCAATCATTCTGGCCATAAAAGATTGCCAGAGACTGCGCGATATTAAAGTTGAGCCAATTCAGTGGTGGAAATGTCCATTCACCAAAATATTGCGCATCTGCCAGCAGGGACAGGCCGAGAGCAAATGATCTAAAGAGTCAGCTTGTCACAGGAAAGCTCCAGCTTTGGATAACTCACCCACACAAGAGGGATTCCCGTATCAGGACCAAACCCGTCTTGAAAGTAAAGGGCGAGTCGCCATCCATGGTCAGCCTCGTCATGGCAAGAGTGCCAATGGCAGCCCAAATGAGAGCATTGGTAGGGCGCAGCAGAATGGCAAAGGCAGCAAATACTATAGAGAGTCGAAGGCTGATTCTAGCTGTCAGTGAATCAAATCAAAAATACAGACCGATACTCTTACCTATTCACGGAGCCCGATTTCTGGAATACTTCTGCTGCTTGAGCTTCATCCTTGCCAGATTTCACAAGACCAAGCAAGTCCCAAGGAAAGTAGTGAAGGGCAGCAATAGTCAGAGTGGCTTCTAGACAATTTGAAAAAGTCCGCGTCGAGCAGTACCATTGCCATGGATTTGCAACACTCATGAGCAGCTATGATAAGTGTGAGTATCATAAAGGGAGGGTACAAGAGAAGAGGACACATACCACAGACCAGGCCGTGGCGGTATTGCGCCCAAACAACTTTTCAGCAAGTCTCCATGCGAACCAATCCGTCAGTGCAGCCAGTCCAGCCTGTACAACCTTTGGGGCTGCCAGCAGAGCAAAGGCCCTATAATGGCCAGGCAAAGAAATCGTCGACAGATAGTTTGCAACAGCGCCATATCCAAGGGCAAAGATGCCGGGGTGTAGTGACGAGCGTAGTCGATATTCCCATTCCTATGGTATAATGATTAGGCTATAAGCTCGTCTGTCCAGGACCATGCATAGTTTCTGCTCCAGAATTCAGGGGCTTTCTCTTACCCAGGTCATCCAAGCGCCACTGTCTGGCCCAAACACAAGTTGCCATGCCGGTTCAAGGGCTTGAAAATACTCGTCTGGTTGAAAGTAGGTTCGAACACAAAGGGCATTGACGAGTCTGAAAGCAAAGAGCACGGCCAGCGCATCTTTTACTTGCGCAGCTGCAGTGTCTTGCTGTACAGGACGAGTCTCGGACGCGTCGTTGCCGGAGACTGCCGCTGCCGTCCCGTCTCGGGGGGCGTCTTCTCCAGTGGCCATGACCGGTCCGGGAGTCCGATTCGCCTCGCTAGAGTACAAACAGGAATGATTAGAGGCCGATATAATCCCCGACAGACTGGGACTTGGTCTTTTTGGAGACGTGTGGCCTCGATTGGTGGTGACTGTTGACTGACCTCAGCCGCGAATTGGAATCGGCAGATACCGACGATACGGTTTCCTGAGGCTCAACTTAGCCTGGGTAGATTGTCACTAATGCGGTCCTAGGCCCGTGGCGAGCGTGGGGAGGTGAGGCTAGGGGTCTTAGGGGCTGGCACCAGAGTCAGGATCAGCCAAGGACGTGTGGCTCCAGTGGCTCCAGTGGCTCCAGTGGCTCCAGAGGCTCAGACCGACGCTGCGACCGTGGGGCTGTTCTTTTGCTTGTGAATTGCCCCTCCTCGCGAGAGACGGGAAATCCCCCCACACATTCGGTCATTGCTCTCACAAGGGTGACAATTCACCGAAGGAATGCATTACAGACGCATACCTTACATGATGACACCCCAACTGGGCTGATAAGCCGCAGCTCGTTAGTACTCTAGTCGCCAATGTCGTATGCCGCTGCCGGCCAGCCCGCCTAGCAGCTGCCTGCGAATGATCTCGAGCCTGGAGGATTGAGCATGACAACCCCTGACTCGCCATTGGCCACTGCTACGAATCGTCTGTCGCAAGCCTTCCGTCCCTCGGACGTGACGCCGTGCCCGCGGGGGTTTGCGGACGGGCACCTCGCCTGCGCCGAATTCGAAGCAGGTCGTCGGCTCTTGTGCGAATTGGAACGTATACGGCCATCATGAACAGAGCCAATCGATGACTGCTCACAATGGCCTTGACCGGGCTGACAATTGGTAGGATCACCGCTTGCCGGACTCTTTCTCCTCTCGTCTTGTCTCTCCTCTTGGCCGGTTTGCTTCGGCTTGAACGTCTCATGTGACAGTTTCCTACGCAAGGTGCTGGGTCTAGCTACCCAGCCATGGACTGCAACAATCGCTTCTACTTGCACTTAGAGGCTTAGTGGCTACGGCATCCCTTCCACACTCTGCCCTTGCCCGAGATATTATTACTTAAGACATGCCCCCGCCTATCTCTTGATTGGATTTTCTTTCTCCTTCTATTGTCTTTCTACCTAGAATCTTTCAACGCAACCAATCGCCTTGAACTCGACTCTGTAGAGGTTGCTCGTCGTAATCACAAGCCCATTTCACTCATCGCGAATGGCATACTGCTCAAGAGAGCATCACATCTTTTCATTCTTTGACACTGGAACATACCTCACCTCGAACTCACCCATCTAAACACCCACGACCACCCACCTGCTCAGCAATCATGGCCCCTCACGCAAATGACGTTACCGAGAATGGCTCGTCTGCCTCTTCCAGGTACCACGCCTCCTCGACCAAGGGTGCAATTGAGGCTGAACACAAGTTCGCTGCTCACAACTACCACCCTCTGCCCATTGTCTTCTCACGTGCTTCAGGTGTAGACGTTTGGGATCCCGAGGGCAAGCACTACCTCGACTTTTTGTCCGCCTACAGTGCTGTCAACCAAGGACATTGTCACCCTGAGCTCGTCAAGGCCCTCACCGAGCAGGCTGGACGTCTCACTCTCAGCTCGAGAGCCTTTCACAATGACGTCTTTCCCAAGTGGGCTGAAAAGGTCCAGCAAATGTTTGGCTACGACATGGTCTTGCCCATGAACACTGGAGCTGAAGCCGTCGAGACTGCCATCAAGATTGCCAGAAAGTGGGCTTACAAGGTCAAGGGTGTCCCGCAAGGCAAGGCCTTGATCTTTGGTGCCGAGGAGAACTTTCACGGGCGAACTGTCAGTATATCCTACCATGTATCGCCAGTCTATATCAGCTAACAATAGAGCCAGATGACTGCAGTCACCCTTTCCACCGATCCCGAGTCCAAGGACAACTATGGCCCATATGTTCCCAACATTGGCGCCGTCAACCCCTCGACCGGCAAGGCCATTCGATACAATAACGTGGAGGACCTTGAGGCGCTTCTTGAGGCGCACGGTAAAGAGACGGCCGCGTTCATTGTCGAGCCAATCCAGGGCGAGGCAGGCGTAGTTGTCCCCGATGAGGACTACCTTGTCAAGGTCTCGGAGCTTTGCAAGAAGCACAATGTCCTGTTCATCTGTGACGAGATTCAGACTGGCATTGGACGTACTGGTAGAATGCTCTGCTCGCAGTGGGCAGGTATCAAGCCTGATCTCGTCACCCTTGGCAAGGCCATTTCTGGTGGTCTCTACCCCGTGAGCGCGGTTCTGGGTAGCAAGGAGATCATGCTCGTAGTTGAGCCTGGAACACACGGCTCCACCTACGGTGGCAACCCGCTCGGATGCGCCGTGTCCATTCGTGCCCTCGAGATTATGGAAGAAGAGCAGTTGACGGAAAAGGCCGAAAAGCTCGGTAACATTTTCCGACAGAGCCTCGAAGCTTTCAACTCGCCAATGATCAAGCTCGTTCGTGGCAAGGGTCTGCTCAATGCCGTTGTCATCAACGAGGACCAGACCAATGGCCACTCGGCTTGGGATCTGTGCCTTTTGCTCAAGGAAAAGGGTGTCTTGGTATGATCATATATACTCATGATGCTTGGGAATGTGATGCTAACACTCAAATAGGCCAAGCCAACTCACGGAAACATTATTCGTTTCGCTCCGCCCCTGGTCATTAGCGAAACCCAGCTCCGCAAAGCCATCAACATTATTGGCGATGCTCTCAAGGAGCTTCCGTCGCTCAAGCAGCACGAGTATGTCCACGTTGGCATTGAAAACTAAAGTGCTCTAGCACATGGTGCCTCTTCATCGTTGTGCAGTAGTGAGGTGACGCATGTGCCCTGGCGCGTAAATATTACTGGGCTACCCTCCTCCGACATTGCACAACAGCAATGTCACGGCATGGGTAATACGGAGATTGTCATGATAGCATCATTGGGAAAAGTGTCCGAGTTCGCCGCAGACGATTGCCACATGGGCATTTTTTGACTGTGGTTTCTGTTTCTGCTACGACCAATTATTGTGCTTTGGTTGGCAAACCAATTTGTGTGTGCTTAATAGCGAAGCCATCTGATTTACGGAAAAGGAGTTAGTGTTAGGCTTGTGCATGAACCTTGAGAGATTGGAGTTCTGCCCGCTTATTGGGCCTAGGTATTTTACATAGCACATGAATCACAATACCCCATATGCAGTGCAATGTTTCTCAAGTTTCAATATACTTGGGTGTCTGGTGTGCGCTCATGTAGGCATCAGAGTCAAGCGTGCAAGATTTAAATCAGCCAAAATGACATGCACAAAGTGGTGGATCATAATGGCCCAGCTTTGCACGCGGCGATTGAGGCCTTTTCGGATAGATGCTGTCAACCTGGAACCTGGATGAATCGCCTAATGTGGCAGCCTTGACCTTATACATGGGCTATGGGACACAGTCCGGATGCACGAGATGTAGATCGCGTCGCCCAGCTGCGGGTGTTTGAAACCAAATCTGGATGTGCGGGGAGACTTTGATAGGAAAATAAATTACATCTCCTGCTACCACCACTGGAACTCGTTTTCTGCCTCTCTGTATGGAAGGCTTTATTTAGGAACGTTTTGGGGCCTGTCTTTAACACGCAAGACATGCATAGAGTAACAAGGGGTAATCAATTCACTGCGCGTGCTCAGTGTACTCTGTAGACAGCGGGGACTTGGGGACTCTCACAATATTTTTTTTTGCTTTTGCCTTTGGATAAACATGCAGAAGCTCTGGAGCCAATCAGTGACGAGGCGCAGGATGACTCGAACTCTTTTTCGGGGTTATAGGGCTCGTCAACAGCAAGGGTCCAAGGGGGGGTCTATGCAGCATGTAAGTACCTACTTGAAAACCATCATGACAAAACTGCAGATCCATCTGCAGGGTTCGAGTTGGGAAGCTGGATTCATGATGGAATACATGACAATCCTCCAGGTAAACGTCTGCAAATATGATGTATTTGTGTAATCTAGTCAAGCCTATCACTTTTCCCATCCTACGAACGTGCGTGGGATTCGTTCCTCTAGTTTAGACTATTTCATGTGATGCTAGAGAGCGACTATACACAATTAGAACGTACAAGACAGTCCAATGCCAAACATGGAAACCTCGAATATTCAGACACTAGAACATTTCGCGATCGTCCGTTGCCCAGCTTGACTCACTGTTTCCGATGCATGCCATGTACGAAATGTTACCCACCTCGCATGTATCTATCCACGTATCGTGGTATCATATCAATGGACTCCCATGTGTGTTACCTTGGCATGGCTGCCCACACTCGATGGGGAACCACAGGCGATCGCGGGGAAACCTTGGTGGACTGCCTGCATCTACTCCTACCTAATCAACTGTTCCTCAAGGTTGGCGATAAGAAGCCAGGCCAACAAGAAGTAAAGGTAGGGGACCTACTTCTTTTTACCCACTATACTGCTTCACAGTGGGTTGCATACAGATCAGGCAAAGAACCAACGAATATCCACTCGGGCAAAGGGTGCCTTGAGCGCCTCATGGTGAAACCCGCCATACCCGCGTGGCCGAATCGTCCGTTTGGTTCTGGGCCCATTTGGACTATGCGCGAGAAAGATATGCATCTATCCCGAATAGCAAGTGTCTGTGTTATCTCCCTCTCCCTCTGTGTATTACTTTGACCTAAAGGTAAGACTCTTGTCTCATGCCAAACAATGACGACCAGAGAACCGGGACATCCATCGTGACAAGAGAGACGATTGTTTCTTTGACGTTTACTGTCAAGCATCCTGAGCGGGTATCATTGAGTTATGTCTTCAATCCGGATTTGGTAAGCCGCCGCTTCCGTCATCAAGCAGGGCAGAGGAATTGCCTTTGCACGAGATTCGGAAGGGTGTCGTGCAATCGGCACAGTCAAGGCGGGCGTGCCTACCTAGGTTAGGACGACTTCTAGCGCAACGGTATCGGACAGGACTCTGGACAGGACAGGCTGCTTGGTGTAGATCAACAGATCATATGACAGGGTCCTAGCACTTTGGACGCTCTGATAGATGTGGTGCCCATCCATCTCCCCGTGATGGCAACATGGGAGCGATTCCGCAATTGTGACCGGTGCCTTTTTTATTCGCCATCTGGTCCGTCGACTAGACAAGAGCTTAGTGTTGCTCGGGTCTGTTATCATCATGGCTCATTAGCACGTCTTTGTCTCGATTTGCATGAATTCTCACAAATCTCTTATCTGTCCTTGGTTCTGTCTACCTGTTATGCATAAATACCTACATTACGTAGAAACCCGACTGGAAAGCTCGAACTGGGAGGATATCATAGTACAAACTACTAGTAATATTCATGGAACAACATGTCGTCCTTCTAGCCGCATGCGACCATGCCCAGTGACAGGATAGAGTGGACTCTCACCCCTGGTGAGATGCCTGTTATTCCGTCTGCCCCATGCAGCCAGCATTGAAAGCTGGGCATAAGAGACGGCAGCTCCTTGCAATGCGCAAGGCAAAGAAGAGCGCTTCTTCGGTAATCTTGCCTCGGTGCGCTTTGCGTGTTATGCATCAAAAGAGGGATACAGTAGCCAACCATAACCTACCGCGACACACCAGACGGACAGGAGAGTGGTATTCCGTAGAGCGCAGCACAGCTATTTCATACTCACTTGCAGATGGTGTAGGTTGCAGGCAAGGGGGAAGGGCGCACAGCAGACAAGTAGTAGTATTGTTATCGGGATCTGCTTCTGTTCTCTACTAGCCCGGCTCGCTCGTTGCCCTGTCCTGCCCTGCCCTGCCACCCAAGACCAGACCTCGAGACAGGAGACACACGGGCGAAGCTCTTATCGCGGAGCTGTGCTGGCTTGCTGCACTTGACCCCAAGGGGGGCAAGCCGGGGACGTGGCATTCATTGATTGTCACGAGCCAGGTGGACGGCGGGTAATCGATATCATTCGCAAAAGAGAAAAAGGGATCACAGTGCATGGAAGGGTAAGATGCGAATGAAAAGGCCTCGATGGGCTTACACCGACAGACAGGAGATACTCCCGCATCATCGTCGATTGGCTGGGGACATGAAATACCGACTGGGTCTCTGGAGGACCTTGCCTGTCTGTTTCTCGCATCGCGATAGGGCGTACGAGCAGTTACTAGTCAGTCCATCTTACCTGGCAGTGGCCCTGTCCTATGGTGTAGCTGCCTTCTCAACAAGAAACAAATCAAATGGTCATGGCCAAGGACTGCAATGGGCGCTGAGCAGTCGGCGCCTCAGTCCCAAGTAGAGAACTTCTAGGTAGGTACCTCTAAGCCTGCATCTCGAGCTAGTCGTGTACTCGACTAGCCTGTAGGTACCACCGGGCCCCCCCCAGCTCGGGTCTGATCGAAAACCAGAGACAATCGATATCCACTTTGGGACAGGTCCCCATGCCCCAATAATCGCTGCCATAGTCGCCTCATCACGTCTTTTGCGGTCGCTTTCTTGTCATCTGATTCTTGTCACTTCTGACTTTCAATACTCTCACACGGGCACTCTCAGATCTTCTTCTTCTTTTTACTTTCTCGTTGAACTTGTCCTTCCCCTACCACTTTTCCCTCACCCTTTTCCCCTGCTATATCCAAGCAGAGTATTCGACACCCATACCAACTTGAAACCTACCTCTTGCTTGATTCCCGGTTTCTTTTTTTCCCTTGCTATTTACATTAGCATTGTATAATATTATACCACTCTTTTCCCACTGATATTAGACTGGGCGTAAGTTGACTCATCAGTCCTCGATCCGCCCGCCGCCCGAGTAGTCAATTAACGGGGTTTCGCTACATCGTCCAGTGCCGAGTCATTCAGTTGATGTCGGTCGACCAACCAGAGCCAGTCACCACTGCACCCACTTTGAGCTCCGCTTGCAGCTCCCAGCTCTGTGACTAGGACGCTTTTCCCAACAGCGTATCGTCACTGATTTGAGTGACTGCCTTACCCTGCCTATCGGCGCCCCATTATCGCATCGCATCCCCATACGACGGGACCCTTCAGTTCCTCGTGCCGCTGCCTCGCGTTCCATTCGACCTGCCTGCCTACCCATCACTCCCAAATCCATCTCTTCTTCTCTCACGATATCAGGCATCGCCGTCGGCCTCTGCAGGCTTTCTGAACCTTCATTTCTCCCCTGCCGTCCCGACGCCCTCCCAACGTGTTCAACGTACCTTGTCCCCGCCTTTTGTCAAGGTACCCAAGCTTCACCTCTAACTCGAGCCTATCGGATACCTGCCGCCGAGGTACCTGGTTGTAGGTACACCCGTTCATTGCCAACAACTTGCCTCCTCAAGGTTCAGACGTGCACATCTCCTCATCTGGCACATCCCGGTACATTCTGCACTTCTGCCTTGTCAACTTGTCAGAGCAAAAGGGACCCGAGCTGTCATCCCAAGCCCCGGCAACCTGAACTTTTATCCGTGGTCGTTCCTCGAGCTTCTCTCGCCCATCTACCAAACCAGTTGGAGCTTCAAGACTAACCCCAAGACTCGATTCTAGACTCGAGAACAACACATCATTCCCGATTCCTCAAGACGCCTCGGCGGAATAGTCTGGAACCAGACTTGTTCTTTATCCCATCTTGTTTCGAACCCGATGCGCCGCTCCATTTCGACGCTTGCATGATACCTCGAGTTGCTTTGCAGCTCCCGACTCCCTTATAAGCCCGTCCGGGCGCCAACCACCCAAGCTTCCTGCCTGAGCCAACTATACACAGGGAGCCATGGCGGACCGTCATTCATCATCGTCCTCGAGGCGAACGAGGACTGGCGACGGCGCCGTTGGCCAATTTATCATCGGGTCAGAGATTGGCAAAGGTAGCTTTGCGCAGGTCTATCTGGGCAGACATCAGGTTCGCACTCCTTGTTTAAGTGTCCATTGCAAACAACCCATCATTTCTTGTTATTTCGCAAGTGCTTTTGCCCATGCACTGTTCTCGTTTCATTGTTTCAGGAAACGAAACATTTCCAGTGGTGCCTTGACTCGTTGCTTGCTTTGCCTACACACTTATAGACCATGACTAATCTTGGCATTGATAGACCTCGGGCGCTGCAGTCGCTATCAAGTCCGTCGACCTCGGCCGTCTGAACAAGAAGCTCAAGGACAATCTGTACAGCGAAATCAATATTCTAAAAAAACTGCGACACCCCCATATTGTTGCCCTTCATGACTGCCTCGAATCGACAACACACATTAATCTCATCATGGAATACTGCGAGCTTGGCGATCTCTCGTTATTCATCAAGAAGAGAGAAAAGCTACTTACGCATCCGGCCACGTGCGACATGGCACGCAAGTACCCCAGTGTCCCAAATGCCGGCCTCAACGAGGTGGTGATTCGCCACTTTTTGAAGCAGCTGGCCTCTGCACTGCAATTCTTGCGGGCAAGCAATCTGGTACATCGTGACGTCAAGCCGCAAAATCTTCTCCTACTGCCCTCGGTCCAGTACAGAGAAGGAAATGGAGAGGCCAGACCAGTGCTCAGCGCCAGCCGCGACTCTTTAATCCCAGTTGTAGGTCTAGAGTCGCTACCAATGTTGAAGCTGGCAGATTTCGGTTTCGCTCGTGTTTTGCCCGCTACATCAATGGCAGAAACTTTATGCGGATCGCCTCTTTATATGGCACCCGAGATTCTACGTTATGAGCGTTACAATGCCAAGGCCGACCTGTGGTCTGTTGGTACCGTTTTATACGAAATGGTGTCTGGGAGGCCACCGTTCCGCGCGAGCAATCATGTGGAGCTGTTGCGGAAAATCGAACTCGCCAACGATCAAATCAGATTCTCACGAGATTGCCAGGTCAGTTCCGAATTGAAGACGTTGATTAGGGGCCTACTCAAGTTCAAGGCTACTGCCCGCATTAGCTTTGAGAACTTTTTCAACGATCCAGTTGTGATAGAGGAAATTCCTGGCTTGGTTGAAGATGATTTACCAAAGATTGAAAGATCGCTTTCCAAAAAGGACACTCGAATTGCCAGCAAGACTGACGAGCCGCGGTCGACACCACGCCGCATGTCTTTCCGTCGGCAATTCAGGACAGAATCGGATACCACGCAGGAAGTTGGCCCCTCATCACCACGCGAAAGGCCGCTCAGGTCTTCGCCACTGGCTAGTCCGGCAGAGTTCCCGGGAGATGAGCCAGCTCAGCCAGCCTCACGGATTGCCCGATCCCCACGAGAAGATATTGCACCAGGCCTCGGCATTCGGCGTCCACAACCCGTTCCCTCGACGTCGGCACCTGTGCAACCCACACTGCTCAGCGAAAGACGCCGCCGGGGACCCTCGGACGCATCACTCAACAGATATATTCGAGAGGAGCCCTCACCATCGTCCTCGGCACCAAAAGAATCCAGCAGCAAGGGTAAAGCAAGGGGTGCTGACCAAGGTGACGATGATGCACAAGACGTCGCCTTTATGAGAGAATATGTTGTCGTGGAGAAGAAGCACGTCGAAGTTAATGCTTTTGCCGATCAATTAGCAGCCCAAGGGGCACAGGCGCAAACAATGTCTCCCAAAGCTGGACAAATCGTCCGCCGAGCGACTCAACAAGGTGTTCCGACATCGACAACGGGAGCTATACCTGCAGAACGATCCAGGGCCCTCCAAATTGCGCAGGGCAACAGACCGGACCCCAATAGGCGGGGTTCCTATGACAAGGCCTTGTCTGCAAGTCCAAAGTCGACGACATCGGTGATTTCCAAGGCTATTCAGGATGCCAGTCTGCGTCTGTTGGGATTCAAGTACCCAGCTCACCTGCTCGGAAAGGGCGCTTCTCCGCCACATCTCTACAGCCCGTTTCCAGCATATCCGGCACCAAACGCACCTCCCGGGCTTCTCACAGACGGTCGCCAGAGTGGTGTGATTGATGAAGATTCCAGAGTAGCTCAGTGCATTGAAGATTGTGCGACCCGGAGCGATGTTGTCTGGGGATTTGCCGAGGTAAAGTTCAAGCAACTTGTTCCTCTGGCGCCGTCACAAGATCATGGTCTCGGAGGAGCACCTGCCGATCAGCTCGCCTCGGAGGATGAAGACGGTTTGACTACCGAAGCAGTCGTTGTGCTTTCGGAAGAAGCCCTCGTGCTCTATGTAAAGGCCTTGTCACTCTTGGCAAAGTCCATGGATATTGCCAGTGTCTGGTGGGCAAAGAAAGCCAGGACCGATCCCATGGTGGTCCGCGATACCTTGGCTGCCCAGAATCTTGTCATGAGGGTCAACTCTGCCGTCCAGTGGGTGCGTAAGCGCTTCAATGAAACACTGGAAAAGGCCGAGCTGGTCAGGCTCAAGCTTCTCGAAGCTCAGAAGCAGCTCCCAGAAGACCACCCTAGCCACCCCCAAAATAATCAGCAAGAGCTTGCTGCCATTGCTGGAGCTTCGGGCGCCGAGGGGATTGTGCTCCCCGCCGGTCTCAGTGCTGAAAAGCTCATGTATGATCGAGCTTTGGAGATGAGCAGAGCCGCTGCAATCAATGAGATTGCCAACGAAGATTTGCCCGGTTGCGAACTGTCATATAATACCGCGATCCGCATGCTTGAAGCCGTCTTGGACAACGATGAAGATGTGACTAGAAAGAGATCGCAAGGCAGCACAAATGACCAGGAAGACACACTGGACATGAACCAGGATGACCAACAGGCTGTTTACAAGAGTGCGTCTTTTCCTCTCATACATTGACCAGCCGCTAACATGCCAATTAGTGATACAAATGATCAGAGGTCGTCTGGCTGCTCTTCAAAAGAAGATGCAGATGATTGCAAATGCTTCAAAGGCACAGCAAAAGGCGCTTCCGAGAAGCCGCAGCGGTGACATTACACCGCGTAGTGCGCCACAGCACTGATTCACGAATCACGAAGACACGTACAAGACTGCTTAACTCTCTACTCTTGGTACAACTAAAACTACTATTATTCACGATGCCTCACGGCTAGCACACAAGAAGCTGTTGACTCTTGCGCTGGCAGAGTCTCGGTCGTGCTCACCATATAGCAATTTCTCAGGTTTCATCACTACAGGCGTTTGGTCGGTCCGGTTCCATTTCCAGTCCTTTTTACTAGTCTGTTCATATTCCCATACTTTTTTTTTCTTTCCCGAATTTAGGGCATTTGCGTACTGGTCCTTTTCAGCGGATCGATGGCATCTGTAGAGCACAACAGAGTGTTGGCTCTGGTGGATTTGCAAGATTGTGCATTTGACACATGGGAATCCGCACTCCACCAAAGCAGGCGTGGAATATTGCAAAGGGTTGCCCACTGGCGTACGACAGGGTTCACGGTACCATTCAGCTTCTTTGTTGCCAATGAGGAAACGTGATGGACAGTGGCGAATAGCGGAAGCCGTCTTTTCATTTAGAGCTGAAAGCAGCAAATGGCAACTTTTTGGGCGTCAAGGGCATTGGTTGTAAGGTATTGGGTATGGTCTGAGTGGAGCTTTTCATTTTCCTACCTCTTGATTACCTGGTCCTCTCGATATTCTCTGGCCTAAAATACCTGCCTCGCTGCTCGTATACGGCCATGAAAGGATTCGAGATTTTTTGTAAGAGAGTAGGAAAGCATTGTTTTTGGGCGGATCTGAAGCGAACACGAGCCGAGAGAATGAAAGCAGTAGCATTGGCTCTGCAAACCAAGTCCACAAGTATAAGTGGCTAATTGAAAGAAGTAAAACCATGTGTTTTGGTATAAACGTGATGACAATGATACCCTTGGTGATTTCGGCCATATATTGACAATACCACTCACTCTTGCTCAAATATCCATGAGAATATTGCTCATGTGCTCATTGCAAATCATGGTCTTTCTCGAGATTGACACAATTGAATTTAGCACCACTCACCAGCCACTCACCAGCCACTCATGATATTCATCGATTCCTATCCAAAGCTTCATAATATGTATACCTATGAACGAAAGATTGTGCGCCTAATGATTGCCGGCTTGAGACGTCTAAATTGTTCATCCCAATACACGTGACCATCATCAATGTAGGCGCAGCGTTCATCATGTGCCATTGCTTATGGACTGCTGCCTATAATATACGAGATCGTTTTGATAGTCGAGAGGGCTTTTTACAACTTACTTTCCATGTTACTGATATGACGAAATTAGTGCCAATGTTTTGCGGTCTGAGCATCCACTTTGAACCAAACCTGCTCGAGAATCTTGGTACAGATCTAATATCAAAAGTGCAATATGGGAATGTGGTCCCCTCACCCAAACGATACTGGGTCCCGAGACATCCACTCGACACGAGGTTGAAGGTGGACACTCGAGCCTGGACCTGGCTGCTGGAGCTGGACATGGATCATTCCCGTTGGGACATGGGGAAAAAGCGTAAAAACGGTTTCTTCCGCATCATTGTCGCACAAACAGGAGACGGCAATGCAGTGTCCATCTACCTTTTTCTTTTCTGGTTAGCCCGTCATATGTAGTACAGCTTTTCCAGCCCAAAAAAAGACGTATGGTGAGGCAAGATTCCAGCTGACAAGCTCGGGTTTGCAGTACGTAGTCGGAATGTAACAAAGAAGTTGCTGCTCTGCCCCCGTTAGGTGGCGCCGCCGTCATCTTTTTCAAGCAGGGCACGGCGGGCGCAGGGCGTTTTGGAGCGCCATCGGGAACCGAGGCCCCGTCTCCGGGTTGGTCAGTCAGGTTTTCTTTCTTTGTTACTTTTATTTTTTTCTCTCTTCTGGCATTCCCTGTCCTTGTCTCCAAAGATCCGGGGAGTTTGACTGGGAGCTAGAAAAGGGTAGGCGCTGACGCGTGAGGCTGTGCGACGACTCAACCAATGCGCCATGCAGGCCTGGCAGGCAGGGCAAAGAAAGAGGATAGCCGAGTTGATGAGGAAAAAAGAGCCCCAAGCTCTAATCGATGGCGCACAGCAGATAAGAGAGCCAAAGCGTGAGGGAAAAAAGAGAGACGTCATTTTTCGCGCCTGCGACCCTGACCCTTGTTCAGGTACGACGGGCCGACGCATCTGTTTCTTCTTTCACTTCTTTTTTGGACCTTGGCTGGCTTTGTTACATGGCACATTACCTCATCATCTATGAGTTTGCATGCAGAGTCGAACATGGTCCGATTATGTTGCCGTTTTCAAGGGGGAAACTCGCTGATTGGGCTTGCTGGGTGAAGCTGTAGCTGATTCGACGATGCAGTGCAGCTGTGACCTGATCAAGTGACCAGCACAAGGAGATGAACCCGACAAGAATGCCAATTCCCCAATGTTAAGAGATGTATATCAGTAAGAGTCTCCATATCAATCAGTACTCCAGGCACGGACGAGGACAAAACAATAAATGACCACATGGCGGGATACAGCGGAATACCTTATTAGAAATAGTAGCATGAACCAGTGATATATGGCTTTTCGAGGTTGCGTAACCACACAGATGGGCGCTACGACGGGCTGCGACGATGTGGGGTGGCGTTGCAGGCGAGTACCCCGTCAAGAAAAGGTTCCCGCGTTGGATATAATCGCCAAGGGATTCAGGATCCAGGTAACCAGGGGCCAACATGTCAGACATATGACTCGACTCGGGCCTGCAGAGGGGCTTCTTATTGTCACTTCATCCGGCAGCTGGTGGCAATCATGGAGTTTTGCTCCAAGTCGTGATTGTCCAATTTAACGAGTAAAGAGGCATATGAACCGATGCCCCACGTGGTAATATATTGCAAAGGAAATACTGTCCAGGTACCGAGGGCATGGAAGCCTGTTTGGGCTCGAGGATGACGAAGATAGCGATAGTGCGACAAGGAAATAGTCCAAGTCTGCCGATCCCAAGCAGTTTTTGTAAAAAGGCCATACTCGAGCCCCTGGGCAACACATGGTTCTGAGAGTTCTAGACCTCGTAGGCAGCTGGTCCGAACCGAGAAGTTAGCACTTACATGGTAAGATCGACGGGGCCACGCGCTGGTATGCATATTTTATCGGCCAAGATACTGGACAAGTTTGAGCGAGGGCGAAGATCATTGAACTGGTAGCCCAGGAGCAATTCAAAGTGGGCGGGCGCCAAATCAAATCCTATAACACAGTGTAGATAGCGGCGCGCGGTTGATGATCATTATTCATGGATGACCGGCACCGATCTGGGTCGTAGCCTCTCATAGGATAAAGATGCTCTGCCGAGTCAGTGTTTCAAAAGTCGTGACGACGAGTCGGAGACGCTGCCGCCAAAAAAAGACCAGCTTGCTAGCCAGCCCACTTCTCACTCGGTTGGGAAACGACGAAACAAGAACGTTCAACCGCAAAGAGCTTGATTGGGTTTGGATAATATGGCGAGTGCTGAACCTTTGCACCGTTTCTGTTTGCAAATAAAAGTCTTGATTTGGCGCAACTGTGTCGAGTGTCCAAGTATGCTAAAATAAAGCCATAGGGTGAGACAAGGGCCGCAAGCAGCAGCGATTCCTGACTAACCTATTTGCAGTTTTAGCAGCTTCCGGCCTCCCGAATTATGTTTGCTGTAAACTCATCACTAGTTGTTAATTATCTTGAAAAACTTGGTGACGTTGAGATACCTTGCGTAGTCCATCGTCATTTTGGATCATGAAGTTTAGCACGACTGGGACCTCGGTTGGCCCAATATGAAGACGGATAATCGCGGTTCTGGTCGTAGTAATCTCATGTAGCTCGTACGCGGTTGGCTCTGTTGCGGCAGATAGTGAGCGACAATAGACTGGAACATGAGCAGAAACGATTTTAAAATACGCGAATATCAAACAAAGGTGTGAGGAATCTGGCACGTAACCATTGCATCTTTAGATATCTTAGTTCTCTGCTCCAAAGTGACGACAACAGAACTGGCCAGCGCCAAGGTTCGTCCAGAGTCACATACACGAAGATAAAAAAGAGTGGTGCAGGTCTTATTGAGTTTAGCTTTGCAACAGCCGAGATTGAGCTCTGGGGCAGTTTGGAGGTCTCGAACGTTAAAAAAGCAATAGGGAAGGAGGGGGAGAAAAAGAATTGACTGGGTCGGGAATATTTGAATGAATTGTACTCTCGAGCTAGGCATCATGTACCGGTTGATCCTTTCAAGGGTCTGCTCTGGTCATTTGATATCCAACATGAAAGTACCTAGGTATGCAAGGTGCGTAGTGGACTGAGAAAATACCGACTATGAACTCACTAATAAGACGGGATCTTGAGTTGGGATTTCCATCAATCCTTTGATTCATTGGATTTGCTTGTCGAGTGGACTAGTAGTGGGCCAATGGTCCCTGAAGATTGTCGAGTCAGCTCTTCAGTGAGCATGGTCCAGGACGATGATCTGATTGAGTGGTGGCCTGGGCGGGAATCAAAGAAGCTCTTCCAAGACTTGTCGATCAGGCTCTGCCCTGCCCTACCTCTCACCAATGCGCACTGGCCGTGCTCTGTTCTGTACATCAAACATGCCTGTTTTGCCTGATCGCTCGCGTGGTTGAGGCAAAACTTATAGCTGAATGCCATGTTGAAGAAATCCGGGGTTGAAGCCGACTGAGCGAGTCCATGAATGATTGAAACTCCATCTGACTGACTGAACCACGAGGGGTTGTTGTTCAAGTGATTACCACTCTTGGCTAGAAAGACACGAGGAACACAAGCTATGAAGAATAGCTCCAAGCTCGACCTTGTACTAATTACGTTGCCCGTCTGCCGTAGCTGCCAATTCTTGTGCTCTAATAAGATACATGACTGGCGAGTGCATGGCCTCATTTCCAAAGGACAAAATCAAGAAGGAAAAGAAAACAAGTCGAATCTCAAGTCATCTACTAATCAGAATACCTTTCCAATTGATCTGGGATCATCCAAGAGCAAAGTGACTGCTCGTTTATTTCGGTCTACCCGTCCAATTGGATCAGCCGACCGATCAGCAGAAGCGTCCGTCTGGCTGTCTGCCTTCAGGGAGGTTAGGGGGGAAGCTCAGCAAGAGACTTTTGCCTGTGGTTTGTCCAAAAATAGCGACGGCTGGATACGTAGCTGACGCCCATCGACCAATGTGCCCTGTTTGTCCACTAGGTCATTGCTGGGTTGTGTACTTGTGGAAGGCTTTCAAGGTACATGATGCACACCTTATTTTGCTACCCACCAGACACGATCAAGAAGAGAAATGACTGCAGTACGCGAAAGAGGGGAGAAGGGAAAACAGAAAAGAGAGAAACTTATCAACCAACCACTATGTGAGTATCTGCCGCCGGATACCCATCAGTCCAGTTTGACTCGGCGCGTTCATTCATTCACTCATTCGCTCGTTGGCTCATTCATTCATCTTTATTGATTGAGAAAAGAGGAGAGCTACCCTGGCCTTGTACCTAGACTAGGGGTACTTGCACAGCGCTATTGCCCGACTTAGCAGGCGGCCACTGAGTGACTGGAGTCTCCAGCACAAGTCCAGTCCAGTCCTACAACTAGGTAGTCCCCAGTCTCCCAGCCAATTTTCACCAGACCAGATTTCCCCCCCAGTCGGCCAGTTTTAGTCTGCTGCTTGCCCGCCTGTCGCTCACTGCCAGAGATCGAGCGGCCGCCGCCCCCAAAGCACAGTACCCAGCTTGACCCTTCCCTTCCCCAGCGTCCCAGAATCAGCCCTCTTCTCCCACTAAACAACCGCCGGGCATCCCTCCCTCGTACCTCACACCCCCCAAGCATTACCTGCCTACCTGACCTACCTTGCGCACAGAGCAACAACACCACGCCGCCCACTCGTCGCAACCCATCGCACTAGCAACTCCCGCCTCATCAGTTGCCGTGCGCTGCCTCCCGAATGTACCACGGCGTCCGCTGCTGCTTCTCTCCGCTCGTCACCACCTTTTGCCATTTGCTGCATCTCACATAGACGACTTCACTGCGAGTCGCCATTTACTTAGTGGCCCCGACAACGACGACGATACTGCTGCTCACGGTCGCGGTCGCCCGCGCGTCATTGTTTCCACCATGACGTCCGCCGCCGCACCCTCCAAGCAGCAGCCAGCGCCGACCGACCCTCCCCAACATCTCGCTGCACAACCTTCCTCGGCCGTTCCTCAGTCGCCCCCAACCAAGCGAGATCTAAAGTCGTGGTGGAAGCGCTTTCAGGTTCAATCCAAGCATCAAGAGGCGCATGGTAAGATACAGTCGCCTTGTCCCCTCTTGTTCCCAATGCCCAATCTACTTTACATTGTCATGGCTCGTCGAGTACCTGGCGACTCAGGCAGATATCGACTTGGAACACAATGCGCAACCTGGCTGGCAAGTTGATCATTGGCAATGTCTGTCTGTCTCAAGCATCAGATCCAATGAGACTGGCCTGGAAACGGTTGGGCCCCACGATCCCGACTGCTCTCCTCCCTCCTCCAGAATGTTCATCACTCTGCAGATGTACATTTGCTGCTGCTTCATTGCAGAACCTCGTCCAGTAGCTTCTTCCAGCAGTGTCGCTGACCAAATAGTCACAGAAAGCCGCCCCCAGGGCATCTTTGGTGTCCCGCTGCGTCAGAGCATCACATATGCCAATGTGGCCATCTCTCTTGTCGATGACGACGGCAAGAGCTACATCTATGGCTATGTCCCAATTGTTGTTGCCAAATGCGGAGTCTTTTTAAAGGAGAAAGGTGCGTCGCCTGTACTCGTTTCCCACCGGGGAGTGACATCACCGCCACTTGTATCGTGGGGCCGTTTGTTGCTGACATGTCGTTACAGCCACCAGCATAGAAGGCATCTTCCGTTTGAGCGGCTCCGAGAAGCGCATCAAGGAACTGAAACAGGCATTTGACTCCCCCGATCGATATGGCAAGGGTCTCGTTTGGGACGGTTACACGGTGCACGACGCGGCTAACGTTCTTCGGCGCTACCTCAATGACCTTCCCGAGCCTGTGGTTCCACTGGATCTGTATGAGAAATTCCGACAGCCTCTAAAGGGACATACCAAGCAGGCTGTAGGCGATACCGAGGGCACTCAGCTGGCCGACAACTTCAACGAGGCCGAGGCTATTGAAAAGTACCAGGAGCTCATCAAGATACTGCCTCCGCTGAATCGCCAATTGCTCCTCTACATTCTCGATCTACTCGCTGTTTTTGCTGCCAAGGCGGACGAGAATCGCATGACGGCGCAAAATCTGGCTGCTATTTTCCAGCCTGGAATGCTCTCGCATCCCAACCATGCAATGGCCCCAGAGGAATACCGCCTCAATCAGTGTGTCATTATTTTCCTAATCGAAAACCAAGACCACTTCTTGATAGGCATGCAAGGCACGGCGGCAGATGAAAAGACCAAGCAGGACATTGAAAAGGGAACGCCCGTTATAGTCGCACCTGTGACGCCAACCAAGAGCCGTAGTGCAGGACCTGTGAGAACCGCCTCCAATGCTAGCGCGGGCGCCGAGAGTGTCAGTCGAGATGGCAAGATTCGTCGGAACAGATCAGTGTCCTCGAGGCACTCACGCCAATCCAACGGAGCCTCGACTCCCGGAAGCCCAGCACTTGCTACGACCCCGATTACCTCGAGTGGTGGCGGTGGTTTGGGCAGAAGCAATACTGTCCCTTCAAAGAAATCGCCTCATATCCCCTCGGGTCGTTTTCAGCGACAGGATGGTTCCTCGGCAGCCGCAGCCACATCAACGTCGCCCTCGCCAGGGACCAGCAAGACTACGCCACCTCCCACTGTAGAAGAAACGCCAGTACAATCGACTGGTGAGCTGTTGAGTGTTGCACAAGCCAGTGGTCCGGAATCCAGTCTGGGCCCCGGCTCGGTCGCAGCTCAGAAGAGCAATGAAAAGCTCTTGGATCCATCGTCGGCAGCAACGTCGGAAGCAACAACGCCCGCCAAGGAGCGAATCATTCAAAATCTATTCAATCTGTCGCCCCCCGATGGCGACAAGAGACAGCCTAACAAGCTCCGCAAGAAGAGGATACCAGGTAGCGCTAATCCTAGTGCGCAGAGCTCTACCGCCTCCCTCACTCATTCCGGAGCTATTTCGCCTGCTCACGAGTCTAACAATCCTTTTGACAAGTCGACTCGCATTGAACCCACCGTTCCCGAGGACGTGCCAGCCGAGACGACCTCGGAATCAACGCCGACAACCGCGGCAGCGCCTTTTGCAGGAACTTTGCCAACGACACAGACGGAGCCAACCAGGACTCTCAAGCCCAAGCCCTCACCACCTACCTCGCTTCATTCTTCTTTCAACGAAGGCTCGGATTTGGAACAGATTGACGATAATGCGTCAAATCATGGACTTGAGCAGGATAAAGAAAGAAAACGGCGGTGGAGGCTGTCAAGAAAGAAGGAAGACATGCCCGGCGCTCAGCACTTTCACCACCATAACCTCGGCGTGAATAATCATGCTGAAGGTAGCACGTCAACCATTGGCAGCGGAGGAAGGGTGCGAAAGAGCTGGACGGGCGAATCGTCAGATGTTGCTGCTACTTTGGCCGAGACAGAGTCTGCCAGAGAAAGGGACGAAGCAAGGGGACCGCTGGGCTGGATCAAGAACAAGTATCGCGAAGCAAAGGAGACTGCAGATCAAAAGCGGGCCAAGTCACCGCCCGAGGACCAAGGTATTCATGGATTCTTGCCACGTCGAGGCAAGAGCATCGACATGAAGAGAAGCAACGAGGACAAGCCGGCAGAAACCAACAGTGAACCTCACAATGTCCCCCTGCCCATGTCGCCACCCCCGGGGCGTACCACGCACGAAGAAGTCCCCAAGGCTTCGTAGGAGGATGGATCCTTGATGCAACTTTTGGGCCACGATACAGGATATGCGATTACGTGAATAAAGGAGGAAATTCGATTTCTCCAACGAGTTTTACTTGAATGATTTGGCGGGGAGTATGTGGGACCAAGATGTTTTTCTACTGTTTCAATTTTCATTTTCATTCTTGTCGAAAAAGGGGGCCCCGAGTTTAAAATGATTCTCCAAACGCCTTCTTCCGTTCTTGGGCGAGGCGTCATGTCTAAAGTGTTCATGATGGGAAGCTTTGTTTTTGAAAGCAAAACGAAAAATAAGTGCCTGAGAACAATGGGACTTAAAGTGGCGGCAAAGGTCGCTTCTTGCATGCTTATACCCCCGTTGCCTCGACTGCTACAATACAATGTATTATTTGTTCTCAAGGCCTGTTTTTCCCCCCGAGGAGAGATGCGCGTGGGTGGCGGAAATAAAGGAGATGTATTATGAATCAGTGGATGCTAAAGTCCACGATTCATGGACTGCGCATTAGGGGTATATGCCAATGATCACAAGAGACAATCATGGTAACGAGGGTGTCGACTTCAGTTTCACTCTGGAGAATGAACATGTAATCAATTGTCCCCTTTTCTTGGGGTGGTATCTGAAATCTGACTATACGCATCATCTAAGAGACAAATGCTGCGGTTGTTTCCCGCGAGTTTCTTTCACAGGAAGCCTGAAATTTCTCAAAACTAGTACATGTACTTGAACTCTGGGTTCAAATCTCCCAACTCTCTCTTTTCATACTCGGATAGGCCTACGTCGTGAACAGACTTGGCGCGGCGCTTGTTCTCGATGAGCAGCGAGATCAAGTAAGCCACGGAGGCGAGAGCGCTGAGGGCGGTGAACGCAATGGTGATGGCGTAGCCCTTGACGTAGTAAGGAGCGTCGGCATCGACAAAAACGTAGGTGGCAATGATCCCGCCAATGTTGCCAAAGCCGACTTGCCAGGCAACACCGATTGAGCGGCGATGATGCCCTCCAAGATTCATGTTAAACCAGCAGACGATGATGGGCATGGCGCCGTATGTGCCCATGACGACGAGGAATAGCGCCGCGTACTCTAGGTGAAGGTTGTCGTGCACCGAGAGCAGAATGCCGAATCCTGTAATAGACAGGCACAGTGGCAAAATGGCAAACAGCGCCCGATGGCGGAACCAGTCTGAAAAGGTTGCAATAACGACAGAGAAGACGAATGACGCTGCCCATGGCGGGACGGAGCGGAGCTGAGTTTGAATTGCGTCATAATGGTATCTGCAAGATGGTGAGTCGCAATATCCTTGTGTAAACTTGAGAATGCTACAAGGCTTACGTCTTGATGATTGCTGGTGCAAAGAATGCATAACCGTAAGCCTGGTATCATGTTAGTAGTGATTCCACCAATAGTCAATGTGTTGAATTGGTCCTTACCGGCACAATCAGACCAAAATACATGAGACCTCCAAGCCACACGCGGTATTCCTTCATGACCTTGACAACATCGCGGAATCCAACCTTGCGCTCGGCTGCACTGTAACCTTGATCGGCCTGTAGACGGGCGCGAACATATTCACGCTCGTCTTCCCGAAGCCATGGAGCTTGTTCCGGGCTAAAAAGTTTTTCTAGTATCAGCCATGACCCCAGAAGAATGGCAGCATGTAAACTTACAAAGATGGAAAGGAAAAGAAAAAGATAAAGGCAACCACAACAGTCAAGATTCCCTCGAGGATAAAGATCCAGCGCCATCCATGATAGCCGCGAACACCGTCCACTGCAACTGTTGTGAGTATTCGACATGAGCGGGACTGGGCATGCTCGGTAGAAACTCACTCTTTCCGATTGCCGAAGCTAGCAAACCACCAAAAGCACCGGCAAGACTCGTAGATGAGAAGAACAGGCTGTAACGCTTTTGAGCCTCGCTACGCTTGTACCACATTCCTGGAGCAACAGTGTCAATAGGTGGATATGTCAAGGGATCTAATGCTTGGACTCACCAAGTAGATAGAAGCAGCCTGGAAACATGCCAGTTTCAAAAAAGCCCAAGAAGAAGCGAGTTGCCAAAAGTCCAGAATAGCTTTGAACCAAGCCTTGACATACGGAAACGATGCCAAATCCCATCATGCAGCCCGGTAGCGTATATTCATGTCAGTGAAATCGGGCTGATGAGAAGGAGGGCTAGGGTACTTATCATATCCTAGGTGATAGACGTTTCAAGAGAATATTGCTCGGAATCTCAAAGAATACATAGGGTACGAAGAACATTGTCAATGCTTCATAAGTCAGCTTCTAGGGATTTCGATCGTAGGGTGGGGGGTCAAGAGCGCTGAATACTGACCAGTATTGTATTGTGTGCCAGTCAAGTGGAGATCATCTGCAAGATGGAACGTTTTTGCATTGGCAATGTTGATTCGGTCCAGATAAGCCAAGAGATACATGATGATGACAAAAGGCATCAGGCGCGTATCGATGCGCCAGACCATGTGGCGCTCAGTGGTGTGCGGTGGACAAACAACTCCGAGCTCGTCGTAGACCAGGTCTCCCACAGGTTCGGCATTGTCGTCGCCAGAGACGTCGGCTGAGATGATGTTAGCATTTTGCATATTGAGTGCGTCTTGACACGATTGTCTCCGATGCTTTGCCATTATTGTCCATGCTACAGGACTGATGCCGAGCCAATGTGCTTTACCAAGGAAATGAAACGTCGAAATAGAGCATACAAACCTTTTCTGCCTTTGGTCAACATGACTCCAACTTTTCCTTGACTCTATGCTACAGTGTAGCAAGCCGAAATGCGTGTCGTCGTCGCACCAGGATTATGTTACTAGTTGTTTGGTGATGGGGAAGAAGAGGAGAGAGAATAAATGTGTGCGACAGCGGTGAGAAATCCGTCAGCAGGATTGCTTAGCGATACGGAGAATAATGTACAGACCCAGCCAGGCAAGCAGAATCACATTGCTCCAAAAGCGAAATGCGCGCGACACACTGGCTGTAAGGTCCGAGTCCGGATCGGGGCCGTCAAAATTGGGCTGGTCTATTCCCCAGGGACCCTGTGACTGTGGAGAATGCTGACCTCGGTAGATTGACGGGGGATCCGGGGCAACCAAAAAGCGAACAAAGAGACAGGATCAACGGGCTAGGATCCAGGTTCAGCGTTCAGCTAGATTCCATAAGGATCAGTAGTGGCTTGCCCGAGTTTACACTCCGCCGGACCGTAGGCGGAGTACCAAGTCGGGCGGCGGCTCGTTCTTGTCCCTAGATTCGTATCCCTGAGCACAATCTCCATGGAAAGAGTCAAGCCTTGCTGTTTCGCAATTTGGCACCATTCATTCATTGAGCCATTCACTGGATATCCGTCGGATGATTCAGTTTCTTGGATTTTCAGTGCCGATCTCGCCCAGCAACCAAGCCCATAATGCTGGTCCATGGGGTGACTGGAGGGTCCAACTCTGCAACTAGTCTCACAAGGGACTAACTTGCCGATAGACATATTCCCCGTCATATCCGCCGGCATAGAAGATGGAGAAGGAGGAGAAAGAAAATAGTCGCAGTGTTCGGCCTCTTGTTTCCAGAGAATGATACAACACACGAATGCTAAGAGGAGAAGATGGCCTAGAATTGACCCAAGTGAGATTGTAACGAGAATGGGAGAGGATAGCGCAAGCTTCAGCTTCTTTCCCTTTGCTGATATTTTCTCACTTGCACCTTCCGTCGACTCCCTCTGCCATGGGCACGCACTTTGGCACTGCCCATGTACTACTGTAACTTAGAAAAATCTGAGATTGCAGAAAAGCTTGGTTGTATCCAAACAGACTAGGACTATCCAGTCATTACATGATTTGCGATCACTGTGTGTTTGAGCTGAAAGTTGGCTTTGAGCTTACAAAAGCTTGGTTCAACCACCAGAGTAATGTTCATCCAATCCCACGATGGAAATTGTTCAGCGTCAAGGAGGCAAGTCCAGGTCGGCCGGCTCCTAGACTGGCCCTAGTTCTGTTAGGCATTCCCCCGCCATCCACAGAGGAGCCGCCCGTCAATTGCGGGGGGCGCCCCTCTTCCGCAGCGCCTCAGCGGCTACGTACGAACATGACCAAAACGAAATCCTCTTGCCCCACGTTGGTGGCGCACTTTACTCTGTATTAGAAATTGTCAGATAGTGGACTATGGTTCCCATACACTGGCGTGTGCTTAAGCACACGGATTAACACTATAGTATCTAGATAGATATACGGGACTTTCCGGGGATTAGCCGGGGCCACTTAAATAAGCGTATATTTTATTAAAATTAAAAAGCGCAAAATATAAATTAATATATTATATAATTAATATTAATATTAAATTAATTTAAATTTTAATAGGAAAATATTATTTTAATTAATAATTAAAAATTTTAATGCTTTTGCCGAAGCTATAAAAATAATAATTACGAAAAAAGCCGGAATCGGCTTAACGGTATTATTAAAAATAACCTTTAATTAAAATAATTAGGAATATACGTTTTAAATTTAAGCATAAATTACCGGATTAATTAATTACCTTAAAAATAAAACGACTTTAATTAAAACTTTAATCGAACCGGATATTAAAAAAATTAAATATATAAAAACCGCGATAGCGATTTTCGAAATTATAAACGAAAGCGATAATCCGAATATTTAAAATAAAAAAAATAAAGAATAAATAATAACGGATTTTACCGAAAAAAGTTAAAAATCGTTTAATTTTAATTATAATTATTATAAAATAAAAAAGGCTATATACGCTAAATAATATATAGCGATTAAAAAGATTACGAAATAAATAATTATTACGATTTTTTTAGATTTTTTTTTTATATATTATTTAATTAACGAGCCTTTATATAAATAATACGAAAATTTTAAAGCTTATTATAATAAATTAGCTTTAAATAATAAAAAAAAGCAAAAAAATAATATTTCGAAGCTTTTAAACTTTTAAAAATATTAAAAAAAGCTATAAATTAGGTTAATAAATAAAAAATAATTATAGCGAAAGCCTAAATAAAGCAAATAATTAAAATATAAAATAATTCGGTTTAAATTATAAATTTTTTAAATACCGTTATTTTAATTATATTATAATAGGCTGCTTTTTATTAAATTTATAAAAAATAAAATATTTTAAATAAAAATTTAAAATATCGGATAATAAATAATAATTTTTATAAAAGCTTAAATATTTAATAACCGATTAAGCCAAAAATTAAAAAAAGCGCTTTTATAATTTACGCTAATAAAGCTAATAAATAGCCTTAAAACGGATAAAATAAAAACGCTTATTTTATTAAAAATTAAATGCTTTTCCGATTAAATACGGCTAATTTATATAAAAAAAGGGTAAATAAATTATTTATAATAAAAAGCAAAAAAATATTAAATATTTTATTTATTATTTTTTTTACGCTTTTAATTTATATTTTTATATATTTTTTAAAAAAGCCTATTTAGGTTTCGTTTTTAAAAATAAAATATAAATATAAATAAATAAAATTTTTAAAAAAGATTTTAATTTATAAAAATAGGTTTGTAATATAAAAAGGATTAAAATCAGCCGAATTAGTATATTATAAATAATTAAAAACGAATTATTTCCGATTAATACGGATTAATAAGACGGACGACTAATAGCAAACGTATAAAGTAATTTTATAATATTTATAAAAAATTACCTTTTGCGCTATTTAATTATTTTAAATTTAGTAATAATAATTTTAATTATAAATATAAAATAAAGCTTATTAATTATAAATAAATTTTTAATTACGATTTTATTTAATTAGGCGATCGGAAATTATTTATTTATAAATATAATATAATAATTATATAATTTAGATTTAAAATATTATTATTAAATAATATAGCCTATTATCCTAAATTGCTAATTATATTAATATTATTCCGTTAATTATAAAAATAAAGATATTATTAGGATAATAAAAATAATCCTATAATATTACGCAAAAAAAAAATAAATTTTTAATTAGTATATTTTAAAATTAATACGGATAATACGTTTTTAAATATAGATTTTACGAATTATTTTTAGCGTTATTTGCTATTTACCGAAAAAAATATATAATATAAATAAAAAGGCTATTATTAATTAAAAAAGCTATACGATAATATTATAAAATAAGATATTTAGGCCCGGTAGCTTTCGAATATTTTATTTATTTATTTTAAAAAGTAAAAATTAAAAGACTAATTATAATAAAATATAAAGCCTGCGTATTTATAAAAATTACGCGCTAATTATAGCGAGCGCTACGGCTAATTAACGAAAATTATAGTAAACGATTAGCTATAAATTTTTATAATTATATTAAAAAAATCGAAAATTATATATTTTAAATATTAATTATTTATCGGTAAACGGGATATATATAAAATTATTATTTTACGGAAAAAATTATTATTATATTAATTAACGTTTTCTAATCGTTTTTAAATATAATAAAAACTTAATATAATATTAAAATTAAAATTATCGAATACGATAACGAAATTACCAAAATTAAATAGGTAATTAGAAAATATTTTAAAAATAAATATATTAAATTTAAGCCTTTAATATTATATATATAAATTTAAAATAAAGCTATTAAACGTTTAAAAAATATAATTAAAAAAAATATATAATATATACCGGCATAAAACTCCTTTATTAATTTTAGCCTAAAATCGGTAAAACCGCGGTATACCTATATAATTATATACCGAATTATAATTTCCGATAGCGTATATTATATATAAAATTTTATAAAATAATTACGAAAGCAAAAAAAATCCTAAATCCGAGCTATAAGCCTAATTAAATTTATTTTAAAGTATTCGGATATAAAGCGTACGTAATAACGCTAACGGTATAATAAAAATTCGGCCGTTTATAGCAATTAGCATTTAAGGCATAAATAAAATATTTAATCGGATATAGGTTATTTAATATTTATAAAATTTAAATTTTTAATTAAAATAAATTAATTAATACGAAAAATATAATTATAAATAAAAAAAAATTATGCGACGGAAAATAGGATATATTTAAAAACGAGCTTTTAAATATTAATATTTAGTTTATCGCCGATTTTATAATTAATTACGTAATATTTAAGGATAAGATTTTATAAAAATTAAAAAGTAAAAAAACCGCCGTAAAAAATATCCTATTAAGCGATAATTAAAATAATTAGGAAAAAAATAATAATTAAAAAAATAAGGAAATAGCGCTAAATAAAAGGGATAAATAATACTTTTTTATTACCGCGAAATTTGCCTTTTAAATTTTATTATAAATACCTTTATTAGCCTTATTAATATATAATATAAAGGCAATTATAATTAAAAATACGGCGTTATTAAAAAAAAAACCTAAAATAATCCTATAGCAAATAGCTTTTTTAATTAATTATAAAGCTATTTCTAAAATAAAATAAAATAATAATTAAAACAATAAAACGAAACTAAAACGCTTTTTTCGTTAAAAAATAAAAATTTATAAAACGGAAATTTTAGCTTTCCTTAAATAATATTATAAATTATATTATTATCCGTTTAATAAATTATTTTTTTAAATAAAAATTAATTATTTATAAAATTATAAAAATATATAATTTTAAATCGAAATTAATAAAAAAGATTTACGAATAAAAAACAAATAAATCTTTAATTATATATAAATATGTATATATAAATTTAATAAGCACGGGAAATTTTAAAAATATAAAGCAAAATTCGTCGTTTACGGTAATTAATAGGCGAAATTTTAAAATTAGGAAATTTACGCGGCTATATTAATTAAAAAATTATTTCGCATTTTAATCGCGATTATAGCAAAATTCGATTTTAAATTAATATAATATAACGTAATAAACGCGTTTATATACGCTTTTATCGATTAAAATATATTTATAAAAATACCGGATAAATATCGAAAAAAAAATATTATATTATTATTAAATAAAATATTTTATAAATTACGGATATTATTATTATTATAATAAAAAAAGTTTATAAAAATTTTGGCCGAAATCGGTTATACCTAAATATTATATAAGCTTTACGTATTTATTAATAAAAAAATACTAATTTTTTTTTTACGTTAATAACGTAATTATCGCATATAAAAATAAAAATAAAAAAGCTATTAATTATTTAATATAATATTTTATAAAAAAATATAAAATTAATAATAGCGAGTTAATATAATAATTTTTCGGGATAAAAATAATTAAAAATCGTATATTTAAAATAATTTAATTATTTTAAAAGGCTTATTTTAAAAAAATCGCTAAATTTATAAATAAATAAAAAATTTATACGACGCTAATAGGCTACGAAAAATTTATACTTTAATTAATTATAACGCTTTTATATAAAATATAAAAATATTAAAAAAAAATCGGATTATTATTATTTGCGGCTATATTTACGAAACTAAATATTATATTTATAATAGCTAAATTAGCTTAATTTTTTAATAATTTAAGCTAAATATATTAAAAAGCTATTAATCGAGCTTTAATTTACCTAATTAATATTAAAGAATTTTCGCTTAAAATCGGAAAATTTTTTAATTTAATAATTATTAATAATATATTATTTGCCGATAATAATATTAATTATAAAAATATTTAAATATTCGCTATAAAATTATTCGGAGAATTAATTAATTAGCGATTAAATAAATAAAATATAATTATTATTTTTATTATAAAAGCTAAATTATTTATTTTAGCATAAACTGCTAAAAAAATATTATTCGTTAGCCGATTATTAAAGGAATTATCGATATAACTAAATAATAGTATTATTATTATTAAATATAATAATAAGCAGATTATTAATTTAATTAACGCCGAAATCGCGTTATTAAAAATAAAACTCCGTTATATAAATATTTATAATTATTAATTACGGCAAAAAGCCTAAAAAAAGATTAAAATTATTTATAAACCCTTAAATAAAATAATAATAAATAAATTAACGAAAAGCTTATTAATAAAAAAATAATAAAATTTTTTATAATAAATAAAATTTAAAATTACTTATCGTAATTAAAACGAATAACCTTAAAAAAAGCTATATTTTATTAATTAGTAATTTTAATTTAAATATAGCTAAATTTACGATAAATCGTAAATTTAAAAGGGTATATTAAATAATAAATTATAATTTTTATATATTAGCGTATATTTAAATATACGGATTAATATTATAATATCTAAATAAATATACGGGACCTCCCGGGGATTAGCCGGGGCTACCTAAATAAGCGTATACCTTATTAAAACTAAAAGGCGCAGAATATAGATTAATATATTATATAATTGACACCAATATTAGACCAGTTTAAACTCCAATAGGAAAGCACCACCTTGATCAACAGAAATCATGAATGCTCGACTTGCCTTTTGAACAAAACGTCAACAAGGCAAGCGGTTCATTCATTGACTGTTTCCAGATACTCTCGAGTAGAATAAATCATCAGTATTTTGTTTTCCAACGAGGGAACAGACTACGTGCAATTTTCAAGATGCTGATGGCTTTGGCGGATCTGTCATGTCTTACTTTTTACGTTGTTTCCGTGGCACCTAATCTGGACCAGTCACGATACAGCCAGAAACTTGTGCGCTGGATGAAACAACAGCTTGAACTGTTTGAGGGCATACTCTGGGTCCCGTATCCTGTCAAATATTCAAGTCATTGTCAATACCTCAAGATACATAAGCGGAGCTGTGGCTGAGGCTGGAAATCAAACTTTCATGGTATGCTCGGTGATGCCAAGGGACATTTATATGTGCTTCATCTCAATGGTTACGTATTATGGTGGGTGTCTTTATGGTCCTTGAAGCTAGGAATTGTTAATTTCGTGATCCCCCGAATGGAATACTGATCTTGGATGGATGGCATTCTGCCAATAACCATGTTACGGGCCGACTACCGAGGCCGATCGCCGATTAGGGCCGTCCTAGCCTTGCTAGAGAGTCGCGCAAAGGGCACGCCTGTTCCCAAAGACTCGCTTGTCCAATGACATTCAAAATAGGAGGATGGACAACACTTTGCTGTCTATTGTCGCCAGCCTATCTTCTTGTGAGGTGCCTGATAAGATCACGTCGTTGTTTCTTTTCTGTCCTCGAGCTCGGTGGCCCGTGGCTACGCGACTCGTCCAGTTGGGGCCTAGTATAAACGAAATTTCTACGTCATCGTGGCCATTCGATTCCTGGCTCATCACTTTTTGTGACGGCCCACGATTGCATTATCTTGAGCTTTCAATGTCGCGGCAGAGATTGGGTCGGCCAATTGAATAAAATACTCATGCCACAACTCGGTTAGATGTGCAACACGCAAATCACCGCCCATCTCTATCAGCTCGCTGAAAGAGGGTTCTTATTGATCGATCAACGCAGGTCATCCTGGCAATCTGGCCTGCAGAATCTCATCACAACAGGCCGCTAGCCAGATCCTACATTTCCCAAAGGCCTGGGAACCTCGAGCAAAAACGCGGCCATTGGACAGAACCCCACCAAAATTCAAGCACGCCATCGATAAAGTTTACCTCGAACCACGTTTTGGTGTGTCACTGAGAGCAAAGAATAAAAATGTTCGCAAGGTTTAGGCAAGACTTGGTAATCGCCGTCTTGTCTTGGAATGGCAATGGCGTGGCTTTGGCCCCCTGTGTATCCATTTTGGCCGCGTACATGACAGGAGCCAAAGATGGTCGCTCCGATGGCGTGCTCACGAGGCTGAAGAAAAGAATGAAAATATGGGAAATAATGATTGAATTATGGACTGGATTGCCTGGACACGGCCTCTTTTCATTATCAAAGAACCCCCCCGGTCTTGTGTCCCCAATTTTTGTGATTCCTACAGGTACGGCTAACCCGAGCTAAGCTGTCGTTTCTCTAGGATATGCACCAGGTTCCTTGAATAACAGGCACGTTACAGCACCTTGTTCGAGTCGCCCGAACCTGTCGCCGCTAGTTTTCTTGGATTTGCTCGTTCTTTTAAACTCTCTCTTTCCATCTACCAGATACACCAAGTAGTCTTTTTCTGCAGCAGCATCCATCCTCTTGCGCATATTCTTTTCTTGGCCAGCGAGGTGCCTAGAGGTATATATAAGCTACCGGCCAAGACCTGAATTCGAAAGACCCCCATCATCTCCTAGATACATATCTCGACCCAGATAGCACTTTCAACGCCACCCGTTGCTACAATTTGTATCGTGATCGCATTTGCTTATCGGGCATCGCTTGTGCAATCCGCATATTTGCTTCGACCGCTGTCTTCCTGCCATGGCTTTCGACACGGCTTCTGATCCCCCTTCCAAGGGGATCGCTGATGAGCGAGGCGCCAATCTTGTCGCCGAGCCAGGTATCCCGCGAGGTCGCGCCGCCTGGTTTGGCGGCCCCAATGTTCGAATTGGCCCGCGCATTGCACCTATAGTCGCCCCCATTGGCTCCGAAACTGCCGCCACATCAAGCAGCGATCTCAGCAATGCCGAAGATATCATGCTCAAGCAAAAGAGTGACGAGGAGAATTGCGCTATCCAGTACCGCACTTGTAGTTGGCAAAAGGTGCGTCCATCATCTTGGCTCCCCCGACAAGAGATCCTCCCGTCCCGCCCAGACGGCAGCCAAGGCATGGCATTGCGCTAATCTCCAGATCTCAGACTGCTGCACTCTTATTCTCCGAATACATTTGTTTGGTATGTACCTTAAATTTCGAGTAAAAAGAAAACAAAACTTTGGTTATTGTCATATTATGACGAACGCCGGGACATGCATTTGCCGACATGAACATGACTAACCATTTTATAGGCCATTATGAGTTTTCCCTGGTCATACAGTGTTCTTGGCCTGGTGCCTGGGTGAGTATCAACTCCAAGTCAACACTTTCGGCGACAGGTACCTAATATTCCACAGACTCATCCTCACTGTTGTACAGGCTCTGCTCGTCCTCTACACGTATGGTTTTCCCAGACACACACTTTCCCGGGCGGTAATGCTGACATGATTAGTTCAATCATCTTGTGGGAGTTTTGTTTGAGACATCCCGAGGTTCGCGACGTGTGTGATATCGGTCAAATGCTCTTTTGGAACCAAAAATGGGCTTGGTGGTTTACAGCCGTCATGTTTGTTTTGAACAATACCTTTATTCAGGTTAGCAATGAATCTCGACCTTTTGCTGCGTTCCGTATTAACAATCGCAGGGCCTTCATGTTCTCGTTGGAGCCAAGTACATCAACACCATGATTGGTTCGGGGGATCCAGGCGTGTCTTGCCAGACTGTTTCTTTTGGAATCATCGTTGCCCTCATTTCTTGGCTCTGCTCTCTGCCTCGAACATTCGACATGCTTTCCAAGCTAGGAACTGCTTCAGCCTTTTTCACGTTCATCTCGGTCATTCTAGCCACCATTTTTGCCGCCATTCAAGCTCACCCGGCCACATATACCGAAGAATTGGGCAATCCAATCGTCACGGCCATTCCAATTGCCGGTACAACCTTTGTCTCTGGTCTCAATGCGTTTCTCAACATTAGTTATACTTTTATCGGTCAAATTACGCTGCCCAGTTTCATTGCCGAGATGAAGGAACCCAGAGACTTTCCAAAGGCTTTGTGGGCCTGCACGATTCTCGAAATCCTCGTCTTCAGTATCGTGGGAGCTGTTGTGTATGCCTATGTTGGCAACCAGTACATGACTGCGCCTGCATTTGGATCGCTCGAACCCCTGTTCAAAAAGGTTTGTGGAATTATACTGTTATTCCTCTCCTGTGAAAGATGCTGACTGGGTCCAGATTTCATTCTCATTCATGATCCCGACATTGATCTTTCTGGGCGTTCTTTACGCCTCGGTTTCGGCCCGGTTCATCTTTTTCCGCATCTTCCAAAACTCTCGCCACAAGAATGAACATACCGTGGTTGGCTGGGTCAGCTGGTCTGGAATTCTTTGCAAGTACCCCGGTTCTAACCTTGACACATTTTTCTAACCCTCTTGTAGTGGCCACCTGGATTTTGGCTTTCATTATTGCCAACGTTATTCCATTCTTCAGCTCATGTTAGTACATCTCTCAGACTTACCAGCGGAAAGCTAACTTGACCAGTGCTCTCTCTCATGTCTTCGCTTTTTGACTCATTCTTTGGCTTCATCTTTTGGGGAGTGGCATACTTTCGCATGCGACGGGCCGATGGATCGGTTGCCATTACGGGAGATCGCTCGTTCCGTGGCTGGTTTGAGGGTGCGCTCAACATTGTAAGTCTCTGGAATCAAACTCAAACAACCATTACTAACCTCACAGATTATAATCATTACTGGATTCTTTTTCTTGACCGCCGGAACATATGCTTCAGTCGAGGGCATATTACTTGAATTCGAAGCCGGCACCGTCGGCAGCGTTTTCCAGTGCACGAGTAATGGTATTTAAAAAGTCGAAATGGTACATTATATGCGGAGATTACAGCGTCTGCTTTGTGGGACTGAGTGACCATGGTTCAGGACATGAGCAGCAAGACTTGAAAACCATGACCTTGTCGGAGCAAGTGGAAACAGCATTGAACCACTGCATCAGGGACTTATAGTAATAAACAAGAAAGTCAATATTGGTGAGCTCTTATGATCAATCGCCAAATGCATCTAGTGGATGCAGACCTGGACTTTAACATCCGGCAATCGGCGACATCATTTAAAAGTCAACACTCTGCTGCTGGCATTCCCTCTCCTGCATTTTATCGAGACAACAGTCCCTCCGCAGACCCTTATAGACAATGCGCACAAGGCATGCGCTAAGACGGTGTCGAGATGTGTGCCGTGCGGATATTCAACGATGAGAGTCATTCAAACATTGGACTTTCCAGCGCACTCTCACATGGTCCTGGCCAGTTCCTACAGAAGCCCGAATCCGTCCATCTCAATTTTGAACACGGGCTTTCGTAAACAAAGCAGTAGGCGACCTGTTTCACTCAATCCATCTGAGGAAATTGACGCCAGAGTGTGTTCCTGATCGTTCAGTCATTATTCAGATGAAGCACCTGATCTCACCGGCCGAGTGTTCCCCCAAAGAATCACTATGGGACGCACTCTCCTCCAAACAAGAAGAGGTGTAGGAATTACTATCCGGATATGCTACTTTCTCTACAGTACAATCCTTCGCTTCCAGATACCAAGTCGACTTTGTCATGTCCCTTGTCGAGCCGATAAGGAGCGCGACAGCGGTTGAGAATGCAGTCGGGAAGTCGGTCAACTAATGAGTGCCAGGGGACTTGTATGCTAGTGTCAGACGAACCTAGGAAACTCACAGATCGACATTATCACATTTATGGAACAACTTTCCATTGAGAATAACAATCTGCCGCCAACAAGCACTGGTTCGACCTTGTATTGTTTATATTCGCCAACCCATGTGTATGCTGGTCATGATGTGACAGCGCCATCAGCCACATGCGAATATCAACGTTTCCAAGATAAACCTGCCATTTCCTCCTGCATAACAGGAGGAAAGTACCACTAAACACAGGTATAGGCGCCATCTATGATCAAGTCTGAGCCGCTCGTGTAGCTAGATGCATCCGATGCTAGGAACAAATACACTCCCTTCATCTCGTGGGGCTGACCTTCCCTGCCCATGGGTATTTTGTCCTTCCACGTATTCTTTGTCTCAGCGGATGCAAAGGTCGATATCTCCGTTTCGATATAGCCGGGTGATACACTATTTGCCCTTGCATACTGACACCACTCCACTGCCAGGGACTTGCCTGCAAGAAATGATTAATCCTCTGCGAGATCAAATCCGCGGTTGAACGTGGCGTTTTACAGAATGAGGCCCAGAATAATTGACAAAGGATGGAAAATACTGACATAGATGAGAAACAGCTGCTTTCGATGCGTTGTAGGCAGCTTGTACTGATGGGATGTTTACAATATGTCCGCTCATGCTAGCTGTTGCAATGAAGCTACCGTAGCTGTAGTTGTGCAGCTTGTTTCCAAACACATCTGTACCTGTGCACATCTGGCGCTTCCACACTTTGCCGTACGCACGGGCGCAGTAAAAGACACCGTCTGGGTTGATTGACATGACATCCCGGTAGTGCTCTAGCGGACCTTCGATCACTGGTCCCTTGGTCCATGGAATACCCGAGTTGGCGACAAAGATATCAAGTCGACCATTAAACTCCTTGATCTGCTCATTGACCGCTGTCTCGACATCATCCGCCATGGTCACGTCAATCTTGTAGGCGCGGCCTGTGAGGAGGGGGAAGGGTTAGTCATGAGTTGATTTTGGCATGGAGGGATCCATCTCAGCTGCTCTTACACTTGACACCATACTCCCTCTCAATGGCATCTGCCTTTTTCGGCGCTTCGTTGTTGCTGTGATACCATATTGCTACATTGGCGCCAGCCTCAGCATATGCTTCGACGACGGCAAAGCCTATCCCAGAGCCACCACCGCAAACAATGGCAGTCCGCCCCTTCAACGAGAGCAAGGGAAAAACCCTCGTCTCAGTTGGAGCAACTGTGGATTAAAAGAATTTAAGGTAAGCGTAAGGAAGTTTTCAACACATAAATGGGTTTTCCAGAGGAAAGGATCCCTCACCTGTGTTGCCATGAGTAAACTTGCCGTCCTTCATTTGTCCAATGCAGGTCAAGGTGAGGCCTAAAATCCGGAGGAAAAAGGGTAAAGAAAATACAAGAGGGTTCCTAGTTCATCCGTTTAGATGTGCTTGAGTTTCCTCGCCCAAGAATCTGAACTCGTTTATGGTTTCATGTGGGTGATGAATCGCACCTTGGGTTATAAACATACTGTAAAATGCTACTACAGTATGTAGTACGGAAACAAACACGAGTCTACAAGTATCCATCCACCTATAGTAGTCGCGTCCACAGAGACGACCCACATGATATCGCAATGTTCCTTGGTACCCACGGCTGTCGGCAGCCATGAAGATCAGACCAGCTCATATGCCGTTCCCCGTCGGGATAATGGGACCGAGAACAGGAAAAAAAGAAAGAGAAGAAGAACCAGCGGGTTTTCTCTTTGGAATAATATACCCCAAAAACAACCTCCTCATTCCGACAGCAACACCACGCACCGCTTATCGCACTGCGCACTGGAAAAAAAAAAAAAAAAAAGGCCATGGGTCGCAAGAGGACTGCTTGTACTGCTTGTGCTGCGATTAAAGCTGCATGCAACAAGGGCCGCCCGTGTTCGCGCTGTGGAAGGCTATCGCTATCTTGCCAGTACGTGCAGGGTGACACAATTGTCTATACAGGCCCCGAGGCCGGACCGCAGGGCGCAGAGGCGATCCTGCGACGGTCCAAGGCAGCTTGTTTGAATTGCCGTCGACAACGGAAAAAGTGCGACGAGCAGAGGCCCAAGTGCGGCAACTGTAGTCGACTTCAGCTACGGTGCGTCCTCCCGCCCCAACAGCAGCGGCCCTCTCCCAGCTCGGAGTTGGCCGTTTCTGCACCGGCCGAGGACGGACACAAGCGACGACTGCATTTTGCGTTGTTCGCAGATTGGATCGGCCTTGTGGAATACGAGGCCGAGCCTGCGCCGTTGACGTCGTCGACATCTGTTGCATCCGTCAGCCCCGCCCTCGTCGACTTGCCTATACCATCCCGCGCAGAACATGCAGCTTATGCCACTTTCCTGCCCTCAACGGCATTGAATAATTTGACAGGCGTCAAGCCAGGCTCACTTGTATCGTGTGATATTGGCGAACGACACCTGTGGAATCACTTTATCCTGTCGGTGGCGCGTGTTCTTGTCAACAGTCGCGACGACGCCCGCAATCCATTCCTAGCTGTCGCAGTCCCCATGGCTTTGGACAGCTTCTTGGTGCGGCACGCACTGCTAGCACTCTCAGCTTGCCACCTAGGTCGCGTATATTCCAGTTTCCGTCACGACCTGCAAAAGCACCGGCGTACTGCCCTTGCAGTGCTGAAAGAAGAGATGATGGCGCTGTCGCAAGACTGTGACCTCGAAGAGATACTCATGGGAACGATGCTCTTACTCCTTACCGAGGTGCGTGTACATTTACATTCGTGGAAGCACCTAGGTTGCCGCCCGAGAACTGATCACTTGGGTTTGCCTCCAGATCTGTGATAGCACATCCAAGAAGTGGTTGCTCTACCTGCGAGGCGCGCACACGCTGTTGGCAATGCTACCTACTACTGTTCATGAGTCACGAGGCTCGCATATGCTATTGACTAAACTCTATAACCATGTGTGTTGTATCGCAACTATCACCTCCAATAATGTACCCGATGCCATTGAGTTTCAATCGGATCTACTCCGGTCAGAACTGGATGGGCAAGACTGTATATTTGGAGTACACGGTCTCCATCGCCTCTTACCATGTATTCGAAAGATGAAGTTCGACTTGGACCATGAGCCGTCATTAGCAACAGACGGTGTATTCCAAGCACATATTTGCAAGATCGAGCTTGAAATACAGAGTTGGGCACCCCACGATGCCGTAAATGATGGATTGCGGTCCCAAGACATTAGAGCTGCTGCCTTTTGTACCCAATGGGCCTTGATCCTTTATCTCAACCAGACACTTCGGCGCCTGAAAAGCAACGATGTCCAAATCTCAAAAGCAGCGGATACAATCATTTCGGCACTCTCCCTGATACGTCTAAGCTCGGAAGTAGAAGCACATTTGTTGTTTCCGGTGTTCATGGCCGGAGTGGGTAGCGTCACCAAAGCAAACCGTCTTACAGTGGACTATAGGCTGCGGGGGATGGCAAAGACTGTGGGGTTTGGTAACATCAATGTGGCTCATGGACTGCTGGAAAGCATATGGCAGCTTGCCAACCAGGGTGAATGGACAGACTGGGATGAGCTGATGCAGGCTGAGTGTCCAATCTTGGTATTATTTTGAGTTAACTTGAGTGCATGCAAACTGCCATTTGACAAGGACGGAGTAGATCCATGCCACGTGATAAACACTATGGTCTGGAACAAGGGAAGAAAGAATCAGCGGGGCAACGAGGTGGTCGCTGCAAACCCGAGAGCAGTCACTGCTCTCGATAAGCCGTCGCTTACAATCTCCGGCGGGATAAGAAAGGGGCTGACGGAATTCATCACCTGCCACGGGGCGGTCTGGCTTTTCCTCCCTGCGGTTCTCTCTGAATGTCCGTGGATCGCTAGACTGATGATCGTAGCATATGAACCATGACGGCATAGGACGTCTTGTTCGTGGATGCGGGAATACAAACTTGCACTTTGCTCGCCAAAGAGTGTATTACAATTTTGATTTTCTCTTTTTTCCTCGATCAAGCTTCCTACAAGTCGCTTTCATCTTTCTCAAGACCAAGGAACTCGGATCAACCTATAGGTTCAGTCATCAAAATGGCCGTCGGAGCCTCCACAGCTTCCATCATCCGAACCGATGACAGCCATATCCTGGAAACGAGTAGCCTTGTTGGGCAAGACATCACGATGCAATCGCCATTCCCAGATATTTTAAGGTATGACCAATGTGGAGACTCGGGACTTTTCTACTAACTAGCATTACAGCGAAGACTATCCCGACTTTCGCGCCGAGATCTCAAAGAACAGGTTTGCGGTAATAAAAAATGCAGTACCACGAGAACGAGCAATTCAATATGAAGCAAAAGCACACGCATGGCTGAACTCTTTTGAAGCTGGCTTGGACCTCGATGACCCGTCAACGTGGTTGGCGGAGAACCTGCCACTCGCAAACAGCATTGGTTCTTATGCACACTATTGCGTCGCACACGAAAAGTTCGTCTGGGAAGCCCGGCAGGAGCCTGGAGTATTGGACGCGTTTTCCAAGCTGTGGGAGACGGACCGGCTGCTTGTCAGTTTTGACAGCCTGAATGTCACGCTTCCCAACCGCAGGGACACGCCTCGTCGCGAGCCTTGGGAGCATATCGATCAGAGCCCTCTACGCCGTGGCGTTCACTGCGTGCAGGGCATCATTAACCTCTCGCCCTCGGGCCCAGAGGATGGTGGCCTCGTAGTATTCCCGGGCTCGCACAAGCTAAACGACGAGTTTTTTGACGCCAAGTCTCGCACAGACAAGGAATCATGGCAGCCGCTCAAGGACGTCTACCTTTTCGGAGCCGACGAGTTGAAATGGTTTGCATCGCGGGGAGTTGTCGCGCACAAGGTCTGCGCAGAGCCAGGCGATCTCATCATGTGGGATAGTCGAACGATACACTACGGAGCGGAGCCTACCGAGAGGAGCTCTCAGATCCGAACGGTGATCTATGCGACTTACTCACCAGCGGCTCTTGCATCGCCAGACCAGTTGAAGCTGAAAAGGGAGGCCTTTCAGAGCTACAGCGGGACAAGTCATTGGCCGCACATGTATATCGTACCTCGAAGCAATATCCCATTGTTTCCCGACAGAACTGTAGATCCCAGAGGCAGAAATGAGCCTTTGGAGAAGCCCGAACTGACGGACAAGCTACTAAAGCTTGGTGGCATGAAGGACTATTAAAATGGGATGCCTCGGGGTAGAGGTTGAGTGAGCAATGGAGCTGAAATTGAAAGCCGTGGGCAACGGGAAAAGTGCCAGACTGTTGTTTACGACTACTCTTGTCCTGTTTGAAGGACCTCTTCATATTGTCCTATTGATCTTTTCTTGTTTCATTCTTCTGATTAACTCTTATGCGCACAACTGCATGACACGGCTGCCCTTTACGGACTTGATCACTTGTAATCTAATTGAGTAAAATACGGAATGGGAGTGATTGCAAAAGGAATTGCACCACTGTCGAGGTTCCACCTTGCTGATAAGACTCAAAATGCGTAGAGGTCAGCACAAGTTACGAATTGAAGATACTGCACAGAATACGGCCAGATGGAAGAATTCAAAAATGAAGAGGTGTGCCAATGTTGATGCCAAAGGGAACAAGCCCAGCCAGCGCGCTGCTCAAATCCATCACCCACCCTTCCGAGCGCTACATACGCTCCCACCATCAGTCGTGATCTTGCACTCCAGTGGCCCTGGCTTGGCAATGGTTAGTTCAGTTTGGCTGACCAGTGATATGGCAGGCATTGAGTATGCCGTCGGGATCCACAATTCTAAAAGAAAGCCGTCGGTACTCTACACTACTAACCCGCACGCAACTCTATCTAGCAGATAACGTGAAGCTTCAGTTGCAAACTTCAAAACCGGTTTGGGAGTACACATCCTTGTGTCTCCACCCTTGAATCTGATCCTCCTCATTTGTGCCTTTGTCAAGGACTGACTGCCGAGTCTGGATTGAGACAAGGGAGCGAAAGAACTGTGAGCGTAGCACGGGTGACCTTGTGATAAGCCAACCCACACGGCAGTCGTAGTCTTCTTAAATGCAAGATTATATGTAAGATATCTCTTTGTCTGTCCCACGCTTGAATAGTCAACAGGTATAATTTGACAGACAGCAGTGGCAGAAGTAAGCTGACTCGGCGTAGATTCAACTTGATCCAAATCATCATCACTCCGTACATTATACGCCTACCGCAGGTAGCCAAAATGATGGCGATTGCGTTGTGCAATCTCTTCAATACAGGCTCGCTCGGACCACTGCAGCCAAAGTCAAGTCGGAGCACAATCATCTTGCTTATTGCATCATGTTGTGTTTTTGCAACTGTGAGTACCTAAACATATTGCGGGAATTTCTTTAAACTTGGACAAGGCTGACCCCAAACCCAATTCAAAGACTCAAGGCTATGACTCCGCTCTAATGTGAGTAGATCTCGGCAATCACAAGCAAGCACCTCAGCAGTACCCAACCCAAACTAAATCTACTCGACAGGAACGGCATCAACATCATGCCGCAATATACCGAATGGTTTCAGCTGACCACGACGACTACTGCCCTCAACACGTGTGCCAGCTATATCGGTTGGGGGGTTGCGGCCTTGTTCATGGGCCCAGCTGTCGAGGCCGTTGGCCGCAAAGGCGGTGTCGTCATGTCCGTCATTCTCAAACTCATTGGAATCGCTCTCATGGCTGGGGCCCATAATGTCCTAATGTTTGTCATTGGTCGAATCATCCTTGGTTGGGGGACAGGCACTGCTGCCATTGGGGCCTCTACGTACGTCTATTAATCTCCCAGTCCCCCACAATGTAGTGGTAAGGAATACTTTGAATAGCTTTGCTAATATAGAGACTACAGTTGGTTAGCCGAAACTCTTCCGTCAAAGATTCGTGGGCTGGGACTGAGTATAACATATTCGGTCTACTTTGTTGGTATGTATACATCATTGAGACCATGAATCATGCAGGAATTGACCTCACTTTGTGTACCCCTTCATGCTGACATGACATCATGCAGGTGCTCTCATGGCATCCGGAGTTTGTATCGGAACCGAGTACATCGATGACGAGTGGAGCTGGCGCATTCCGTGCTTGCTTCAAAGCATATTTAGCATTGGATGCGTGTGTGTACTTTGGTTCACTCCAGAGTCGCCCAGATGGCTCGCATACCACGGCCGCGTGGACGAATCTCTGAAAGTCTTGGCGTCGATATATGCGGACGGCGACGCATCGAATACACAGGTCCTGCAAGAACACAAGGCCATTTTGGACCAACTGAATTGGGAGCGCAATAAAGGAAAAAAGCTCACGTATTCGGAGATATTCCGCACTCGTAATGCTTATAGACGCGTGGCCCTCGCCATGTCTGTGGCTATCATTGGAATGATGAGTGGTAAGGACTTGGTTATTTCACAAATACGAATGCGAACTAACTGTTGAAGGTAACAATATTGTTTCCTACTATCTAGGTGATATGCTGAATGGCGCTGGTATCTACGATGATACTACTCAACTCCAAATTGTATGTTCAAGTAATTTTCCCGTCACCTCTGTTGTACACCATCATGTTACTAAACGCAAAATTCATGATTATAGAATGTTATTTTAAATGCATGGTCACTTGTTTGCTCGCTCATCGGCACCTATTCCATGGATAAAGCTGGCCGCAAAACCCTCTGTCTGATTGCCTGCATTGGCATGACCATTTCTTTATTCTTGGTTGGTGCTTTGACAAAGTGTGAGTGATCCCAACTTTCCAAAATGGTAGTGAATGCTCTAACAAGTGACTAGGCACAAGTATATGGAACGGGCGAAAACCTGTCAGGTGCTTATGCAAATGTAGCCATGATCTTTGTTTTTCAAGGCTTCTACAGTGTTGGAATCACGCCGATTACGCAGCTGTACCCCCCTGAAGTGATGAATTATTCAATCAGAACAAATGGGATGGCCCTGTGGGCATTTTGTGTCACTGCGACTGGGTGAGGCTTGGGTTTTCTTTTTCTTGTCACATTTCCTCCCCTCTCGGTTCCGACAGTCTTCCATGACATTTTGTGTATCTTGGCTAATTTGCTCATCTTTTATAGACTTTTCACAACTTTCGTCTTCCCCTTTGGCTTTGCTGCTATTGGTTGGATAATGTACATGATCAACGCAGCATATGATGTTCTTCAGATTATATACGTGGCTTTGTATTGGGTCGAAACCAAGGGACTAACCCTTGAGGAGATTGACAATATCATGGATAGGATCAAGAAGCCCGCAGTGGCGGTTATTGATGGAATCCCAGGCGATGCAGGCTCACAGCTGCGCTCGAGCAAGATGAACATGGGTGCTGGAGTGAAAGAGATGGGCAAATTGGAGGAGTAGCAACTATTCCAAGTCGATGAGATTCTACCATGTGGTCTCCTTGGCGAAATATCTCGCATCGGTGTTTTTGTAGGTGCAAATGCATTCCTATTCTTTTTTTTTTTTTTCTTTTTTCCAATTTCCCAGCGTATGGACATGACGACGCCCGTTAGCGATTTGCAGCCCGGCATCAACACCATCAGGTCGGCCGAGCGTATACTTGAAAAGGTTTGGGAGCACCGGGATTTGGTGCATCTTGGCCAAGCATCGCCACAACAATGGCAAGATATCTCAAGCAATATGAACGAGTCATGTATACTTTATTGAAGTTTGATTTAGATTTTTAAAACAAAGCTTAGTTATATTTGTACGTTGTGCTGCACAAGTACACTCTGCTGAACATGACTATTGGGACTAAATCCACGACCGCATAATGAGTCGACGGAATGATGCACCGTATTTTAGACAGGCGAAATGCGTCGATCAGGGAAAGCTAATGA